TGCTACATGTCAACGTGTTTGTTATGTCACGACTCAATAGAGGTCGAATGTGTCGTAGAGCCCTAATATGAAGATTTCACAACCTGACTATATTTTGCATAATGCTAAAACGACGTAATCTGGCCGAGTATGGTGCGGAGGCTCTTTAGATGAGTAGAAAACTTAATCCTGGAGTCTGCGACTGCCACACCTGATACCTCCCACCACATGTTTTCGCCTGAATGCCAAGCAGCAGAACCTCTGATTTTTCTCGATTAAGCCACATTTCGTTTTATGAAAATCACACGTGCACTGCTCGAGAGCAATATTCGAGGTTCCCGAGGCTCTACATATCTAATTTTAACTTCGATGCGGTGTACAATTGTGTATTATCAGCATATTTATGGAACTTTATGTCATGCGGTGAAATGACATTGGCGATCGGAGACTATTGAAAATAGGAAAGGCAAAAGGATGGACCCCTTTGGTACGCCAACTAAACATGGCATAGGCGATGACTGTTCGTCACCCAGCTTGAGAAACTGTGATTAGCACGTAGGTACGACTCAATCCACCCCAGTGCCATACCCGATACACCGAACCTTGACCTTAGCCACCCGATGAGAATCTCATGGTCGATGGTGTCGAAGGCAGCTGTGAGATCGAGGGCCAACCAACACTGTGGTGCACCGGTCATCCATGATCTTGTTGAGGTCATCAGTTATCTTTATTAGTGCCATCTCAGTGCTGTGGAACTTCCGGTATGCTAACTGCGACGGGTTGAATCTGCCCATCGCAGCAACGTGGGGAAGTAACCACTGCAGACAAAGGCGCTCCATGAGATTTGAAATTGTACTCAGGTTTGAGATCGGATGATCATTTGCTTGCTCACTAAGGCTCAAGCCAACTTTTTTCAGGAGTAGTGTTACCTGCGCCATTTTGAACCAGTCTGGGAGACAGTCCTCGCTGAACGATTTGCAAGGTGGACAATCAGCAGCGCAATTACGTCTGGGTATGATTTGAGAATCGACATGTGGATGTAGTCCAGCGGCGATGTTTTATTTGTCAGCCCTGCGATGAACATTGACACCTCTCCCACCGACGTTGGTGCCAGGGTCCCGAGTTTTGCATTGGTTCTAGGTTTATCAAACTCAGGTGACAGACCGGGAGAATGCATTGCCTTCAACTTATAAATGGCTGTCCTGATCGTCACTGTTTTAGACCCTTCACGATGCACTGCAGAGACACAGGGGTCACGAGCCAACTCATTGACACGCAGAGCATAGCATGATGTGACACTCAATAATGAACCGGTTGGCAGATCTGCAGGTGGCCCTGTAAGCGAGTTGGACAAACCAGTTTTCTTTCAAAGATACTCCAGCCTCCTCCACGTCTGCTTCACAGCGATCGCCTCTGGTGACAGCCAGTTACCGTGTGCTTAGCCCGTTTTCTCTGTGCTTTTTCGATGGGTACGGGTTCTTCAAGAACAGCAGTGATGTCATTTTCTCATTGATATGTAAATTAATCGACCGTCGATGCAGGATTTAGACATGCCGATGACGACCAGTATGTTCTGACAGAATATGTGCGGGAAAATGTGCACCATCTCCATCCACATACCACAGTCCACAATGCCAATTCAGGTGAATAAAGTTAACCTCGCCGTGATCAACGTCATGTCAATTTTGTGATGCAGTTAGCCAGCCTGATGATCTCGGCACAACACAGACAGGACAGACCGGCTCAGTGACTTATATTGTTTTATTATAGACTTACAAAAAGAGAGGCGGCTGGTTTGATCCCTGGCTCAGCAGTTGAAACAATGGGCAAATTTAATAAATCCCCCTGCCTGTTCACTCAGCAGTCTACATAAATGGGTATACCACATTCAATCAGATCGCGTGTGGTGGGGTTATTTCCTCCAAGGTGTCTGGCCAGCGTTGAAGAGTATGGCAAGGGTTCTTCAGAGCTTCCTCTCGTGGAGGCCCCTTCTGTCAGCAGTGCCTTGAGCAAGCAACTGCAGGGCTGCACCTTTTACTTTTGTTTTCATAGCCGCCAACCCAGAGAGAGCTGGATAGACCCGTGTGGTGATGGACTCAGCAATGGGTTTAGGGAATTTATTTTAAATATTTGGAAATAAGTAAATGTTATATTACATTTTATTCCTGGAATGTTCCAAATTAAACCTAAAACTATAACATAATTTTTTTTCGATTTAAAGCTTTCGTGACTGCAAGGATTCATCTTCTTGGTTCTTTCGGTAAAGTCACGTAGAATGAGAATAAAACAATATAAGACAATAAAATTCTCACGACGTTTTGGCCACAACACAAGTAGCCTTCTTCAGGTGAAGGAACAGAACTGTCGGGATGACAACGCTTTAATGAACGCTGCTAAGATGTGCAGCGTCTTTTAAGCTAGGTGGGAGAAGTAAAGCGCCTTGACAAAGGAGTTTACATATCAAACAGGAAAATTTTGCATTGAAATAGCTGTGTTAAAGTGTTGGATCAGCAGGGTGCTAAAGTCAGAAATTAGCATATAACTGGGAGATTAGCATGATGTTAGTGTGAGGGATTAGCATGTGACTGGTCACGGAAATAGCTTTGTTAAAGTCAAAGTTTACATATCAACAGAGGCATTTAGGATATGGACGCTAAAGGACTGCAACTACCCAACTATCATACAATAAACCGATGTGAAAAAACTAAGCATAAACTACATCAATATAATAAATATACTCAATATATTCTTCAATAAGTTGAGCTATAAACATAAACTAACTGGGTATACACTACACTATATAATGAATACCATATAGTAAACTAATAAAAAGCTAAAATATAAACTACATCAATGTTATCAATAGACTCTATATACTCTCCAATTAGCTGAGCGCTTCAATGAACGCTGCTGAGATTCGCAGCGTCTTTTAGGCTAGGTGGGAGAGGTAAAGCGCCTTGAAAAATGAGTTTACATATCAAACAGGAGAATTTAGCATTGAAATAGCTGTGTTAAAGTGTTGGATCAACAGGGTGTTAAAGTCAGAAATTAGCATGTAACTGGGTGATTAGCATGATGTTAATGTGAGGGATTAGCATGTGACTGGTCACGGAAATAGCTATGTTAAAGTCAAAGTTTACATCTCAACAGAGGTATTTAGTATATGGACGCTAAAGGACTGCAACTACCCAACTATCATACAATAAACCGATGTGAAAAAACTAAGTATAAACTACATCAATATAATATACTCAATATATTCTTCAATAAGTTGAGCTATAAACATAAACTAACTGGGTATACACTACACTATATAATGAATACCATATAGTAAACTAATACAAAACTAAAATATAAACTACATCAATGTTATCAATAAACTCTATATACTCTCCAATCAGCTGAGCTACTAACAATAAGTCGTTATACATTACAATTCCATTTGGCGAAAAAATGGGTGGCGGTTTTTTTCTTTTCAACGTTAGCACCACAGACAGCGACGAGCTTTGTTCAGACGGACGATTCCATCTATGCTCGGAACGGAGGAGGGGGGAGAAACAGCCACGATGTGCTATTATACTCCATGTTATAAACTATACCATTAACCGTGGTGTGAGAGGTATTAAGAGGCAATGCCAGCGAAAGGGCTGCGGTCTGAAGGTCATCGTAAAATACAATTAATTAAGAACCAAAATGGTTTAAAACATCTTTCCAATGGTTACTAAGCCAGAATCCATCTTCTCGGTTGAAATTGTCTCTGTGCTTGTATATGTGGATGGCCTCATGAACGAATCTCTCATGGCAGCCGGTTGGCTTGCAAAAAACCTCCGTCTTGGAGAAGTCAATGTCATGTGAGCCAACTGAATTGTAACAGTGATCTGCCACGGCAGAGGAGTTCGTCCTACCGTGTTTCAAGTCTGCTTTATGTTCGTGGATGCGGTCCGAGATATGTCGTTTGGTTTCTCCAATGTAGCTGCTACCACAGAGGCACTTTAGTTTGTAAATGCCCGGGTACTGTATGTCTGGAACAGCATCTTTTACAGATGGAACCAGATCACGGATTTTATGTACTGTGTTGAATCAGACCTGGATCTTGTGTTTGTTCAGGATTTTGGAGATCTTTTTTGTGACCCCCGCAAACAAAAAAGACACGTCTTTTTTGTTTGCATTTTGACTGCTTGTGTTGTGGTTATTGCAAACATGATGCCTTGAATAAAGGTGTCAGTTTTTGTGCCAGTTAAAAGGGTAAAACCTATTCCTATATCTTGTTACTGGCAAAGGAGGTCTCATAATGTAAATGCTCACCCCGAGCCCTCAATACTCTGATAGTGCGCTGTTTTTGAGTTGTACGCCTTTTGGCGTCTTCTGGTCCAACACCAATGGAGACTAGGCTCTAAGAAAAGCCGTCTCGGGTGTGGACCAATCAAATTCAAAGAGAGTGCATATTATCAGAGTTGTCTTTTTTGTTTGCATTTTGACTGCTTGTGTTGTGGTTATTGCAAACATGATGCCTTGAATAAAGGTGTCAGTTTTTGTGCCAGTTAAAAGGGTGAAACCTATTCCTATATCTTGTTACTGGCAAAGGAGGTCTCATAATGTATAAACTTTCTTCCGTTTTTCATTTCAAGTATATTTGTGTGCTTTTAAGCTGCATTCTAACCTTATTTTTTTTATATAGTTCCAAAATGTTTAATTCCATTCCATTTATAGAAAATGCCAGTTTGGATAGTTTTGCTTATTAGTAAAATTTGAGCCATGAACCTAACCTTAATTTAAAGCAGAGCGAATTTACTTACTAAAATCATAATTTGCCTAAACATTACCTAACCTGTTGACATTGGATTTATAGATTGATCAATAATTAATACATTTGTATGAAAACAAATATTTGATAAATGCTTTAGAATTTTACAACTTTCTAACAGTAACATTTACTTAAAAAAACACACACACACCATACAGTAAGCAGGGGTGCTGAATATTTTGTAAACATTTGGGATTTTATTTTCTCCCAAAATATTTAATGAACATTCAAACTTTCCGTATAATAAAACAAGGGTTAACTGCTTTTGAAAGTAACCTTTATTATATTTGCAATCATCAAAGTACAAAGCAAAAATGTATAGAAACCTATATAATCTGATATATATATTTTCGAAGGTAGTGTTGTTGTGCAAGTGTTGAGTTTTTTTGCATATTGTGCTTGTGTACCACGCGAATGCAGTATCAGCAAATACTTGATTAATCTGAGGCATAATTCGAGAAATTTAACTCGTATTGGATGCAATATATCCCCATGGCTCCCACACATAATAATAATAATAAAGTGATAAAATATTTACGAAGTTTTTTAATTCAACAAAATCCGATTGATTTTTGCTGCAAGTATTAACACGCGTAAAATATTATGATGGTTACGTGTGATCTTGTCATACATGTGTAGACAACACAAAACAACGTCATCAAAAACCAACAAAGAGAAACACAACTTAAATAAAAGCCCTTCCCATTTAAGACCTACATTTCGTACAGAATAACAAGTGCATATGATTAAGCAGTGTGTGATTGCTGTTTGTGTACATGGCGGTGTGTGTGATGCTCTCAAAAGTATGGGAAAATAATTTGTTACAAAGAAGATTCCATATTGTGAAGAGTTCACTATTTAAGAAAACTAGTAGTCGTATTATTTTATTGTTTCCCTTCTACGTTACTTTACCGAAAGAACCAAGAATATAGTAGTAGTAATTTTCTGGTGTACTAACTATACGTTGACATTTTAAGACATGTTTAGGGAAGTTGCTTATATTTTGTCTTCACATTCTGCTTTGGAAATAAATTCTTCAGATATATTTGTATCTGTCATTAAGGAGGAGAAAAACAACCACATTCAATAGTAATAATAACAAATGTACAACACAGTTAAGTAAAATGTTTCCATTATTGCCCACCATTTATAAAAAGTAGGTGAAAAACATTATGAGACCTCCTTTGCCAGAAACAAGATATAGGAATAGGTTTTACCCTTTTAACTGGCACAAAAACTGACACCTTTATTCAAGGCATCATGTTTGCAATGACCACAACACAAGCAGTCAAAATGCAAACAAAAAAGACAACTCTGATAATAATATGCACTGTCCTTGAATTTGATTGGTCCACACCCGAGACAGCTTTTCTTAGAGCCTAGTCTCCATTGGTGGAGACTGATAGTGCGCTGTTTTTGAGTTGTACGCCTTTTGGCGTCTTCTGGTCCAACACCAATGGAGACTAGGCTCTAAGAAAAGCTGTCTCGGGTGTGGACCAATCAAATTCAAGGACAGTGCATATTATTATCAGAGTTGTCTTTTTTGTTTGCATTTTGACTGCTTGTGTTGTGGTCATTGCAAACATGATGCCTTGAATAAAGGTGTCAGTTTTTGTGCCAGTTAAAAGGGTAAAACCTATTCCTATAGGTGAAAAACATTTGTTTTATGGTCTACAAGATAAGTCAGCTTCTCACCTCATTCTCCATTTGGTTGATGCTCAGAGATGGATCAAAATTCAACTTTACTCTAAAATTATACTTTGCTGTAATACACGAAGGACGAAACAGTGTTAATGTAAATGTACACCAACATCTACTCACAGAGACAGGTAAAAAGAAACACGAAATAAGTTTTATTTTTACAAAGACTGAGAGGATACACTTGCTTACCTGGTCTGCATAAAAATAAAGCTTCATCCGAGCCATCTACACAGTCCACGTCGCCATCACAAACAAGAGAAAGAGGAACGCATCCACTGCGTTTGCACTGAAAGTCCCCATCAACACAGGCTGCAAGGCACACATCACCACACTCTTGGTGAGTTTTAATTCACATTTGGTCAATGTGATTATCAAAGGTTTGGTAGCTCAAAAATGAAAATTCTGAACTAAGCTACTCACTGCAGTTGGTCTCATCTGAGTAGTCCCCACAGTCGTTGACTCCATCACAGAAGCTCTCCTTTGCCAGGCAGGTCCCATTGCCACAAGGAAGTTGCAGCTCTGGGAGGCAATGGCAGCTGGGAGTCTCATCGCTGTGGTCTGCACAGTCGGCCTCTCCATTGCAGTAAAACCTCCCAGAGATGCATTGCTTCTTGTCAGCACAGCGGAAATCACTCACTGCACACTCTGAGTTGTCACATGATAGACGACTATTGGTGTTAGTTTTTCACTTTTAGTTTGTTGGGAGAAATACGAGAGGTGTGTCTTTTGATGACCATGGGGAAGCATCATTTACATTAAAAATATGAATGAAAGCAAAATCGTGATGAAAGTTACCGATATCACAACCAATTTCATCTGATCCATCACTGCAGTCCGTTTCTCCATCACAAACAAACATCGAGTCCACACACAGCCTGCTGCTCCTGCATGTGAATTGGCTTGGAGAACAAGCTGCAAGACAAAAGCACGTGTAAATATTGATTGTAAGCAATGGTTTACCAAAAAAGTGCACTTTAGTCATGTACATTGTTTTGTATTTTGATAGACATTTGACTCACTGCAGTTGGCCTCATCTGAGTAGTCCCCACAGTCGTTGACTCCATCACAGAAGCTCTCCTTTGCCAGGCAGGTCCCATTGCCACAAGGCAGTTGCAGCTCTGGGAGGCAATGGCAGCTCGGAGTCTCATCGCTGTGGTCTGCACAGTCAGCCTCTCCATTGCAATGAAACCATCCAGGTATGCACTGCTTCTTGTTAGCACAGCGGAACTCATGCACTGCACACTCTGAATTGTCACAAATACTATTCAATGGGTGTTTTTTTTACTTTTAATGTCCATATATTTACTTTTCTGGTGGTCCTCGGAGCCACGTCTCTTTAGGACGAACATAGACACTTTTGATTTTAATATATTCATTCTAAGTAGAAAGAGAATCGATGTTAAAATTACCGATATCACAGCCAATTTCATCTGATCCATCACTGCAGTCCGTTTCTCCATCACAAACAAACATCGAGTCCACACACAGCCTGCTGCTCCTGCATGTGAACTGAAATGGTGAACAAGCTGCAAGGAAAATGAGAAGCAATTATTAAACAATAGTTTATGTAACACGACTTATTTAAGCCGTGAACCAATTTCTCAACCAAATCAATTCCATACCCCCATCCATCAAATTCACCATGGAAGTGGAGAAGGATGGTAAGCTACCATTCCTGGATGTTTTATTTAAGAGACCTGATGGCTCGTTGGGACACTCTGTCTATAGGAAAGCCACCCACACAGATTTCTATCTGAAACCTCATTCCCACCACCATCCAGCACAGAAGAATTCCCTCATCAAAACACTACACCATAGGGCCCGCTGCATTTCCGACCAACACCACCTAGCCAGTGAACTGGAACACGTACACCAGGCCTTCAAGATGAATGGGTACTCGGACCGCATTATTCGCAAAGCTGTTTCTCCAACCATGGAGAAACAACCCCCTGAGAAGCCGATGAAAACCATCATGTTACCATACATAGCAGGTGTTACCAAAAATATTGACGAAATCTTAAACAAACACAAGATCCAGGTCCGATTCAATACAGTACACAAAATCCGTGATCAAATCCCATCTGTGAAGGATGTCATTCCTGATATGCAATATCCTGGAGTTTACAAACTGAGTTGTACCTGTGGTAGCAATTACTTTGGGGAAACAAAATGACGTCTCGGACCGTGTCCGTGAACACAAGGAAGATCTGAAACACGGCAGAACCAATACCTCTGCCGTAGCTGACCATTGTTATAACGCTGTGGGCTCGCATGATATTGTTTTTTCTGAGACCAAGGTACTCTGCAAACCTTCTGGCTATTATCAAAGGTTTGTTCATGAAGCCATGCAGAAAAATAAACAGACATAACTTCAACCGAGAAGATGGATACAAATTGAGCAATCATTGGAAGGATGTTATTAACCAGGTAAAATCGTAACTGCTTTATGGTTGTGTCTATCATATCTGCCGGGTACTAATCTATTATTCCGAGTTAATTTCCCCCCCCGCATCCCCTCGGCCTCCCACTTCCAGCCCCACCCACTTCCCCCCCAGCCTCACGTCCCCTCTCCTAGCGCTCACGCAGTGCCCCCCTACCCCACACCCCCCCCCCCCTCTATCTCTCCCCCCTTTCCCCTCCCCCCTTCTTACCTATATAAGCTCTTGCCACGGCAGCTCTCTCTCCCACTTCAGCAAAAAAATAAAATCTTGCTGTGGTTTTCCCACCTGATGATGATTGCTTGTGTTGCTATCAAAACATCGTGATTTTTTTATTTTAATTTATTTCTAACTACGTGACTTTACCGAAATAACCAAAGAGTATGATATACATTGTTTTCAATTGGAAAGACATTAAACTCACTGCAGTTTGCCTCATCTGAGTAGTCCCCACAGTCGTTGACTCCATCACAGAAGCTCTCCTTTGCCAGGCAGGTCCCATTTCCACAAGGCAGCTGTTGGTCTGTGTGGCACTGACAGTTTGGAGTCTCATCGCTCTTGTCCATGCAGTCCGGCTCTCCATTGCAGTAAAACCGCCCAGAGATGCATTGCTTCTTGTTTGCACAACGGAACTCATTCACTGCACACTCTGGGTTGTCACATGATAGACAACTATTGGTGTTAGTTATTTTCCTTCGAAAACCTTTCATGTATATAGTTTGTTGGGAGTAATATGAGGTGTCTTTAAAGGACCATAATGAAGCATTTTCAAAAATTACAACAGTTATAAAAGCACATTGGTGATGAAAGGTACCTATATCACAGCCAATTTCATCGGATCCATCACTGCAGTCCGTTTCTCCATCACAAACAAACATCGAGTCCACACACAGCTTGCTGCTCCTGCACGTGAATTGGCTTGGAGAACAAGCTGCAAGACAAAAGCATGTGTAAATATTGATTGTAAGCAATGGTTTACCAAAAAAGTACACTTTAGTCATATACATTGTTTTGTATTTTGATAGACATTTGACTCACTGCAGTTGGCCTCATCTGAGTAGTCCCCACAGTCGTTGACTCCATCACAGAAGCTCTCCTTTGCCAGGCAGGTCCCATTGCCACAAGGCAGTTGCAGCTCTGGGAGGCAATGGCAGCTCGGAGTCTCATCGCTGTAGTCTGCACAGTCGGCCTCTCCATTGCAATGAAACAATCCAGGTATGCACTGCTTCTTGTTAGCACAGCGGAACTCATGCACTGCACACTCTGAATTGTCACAAATACTATTCAATGGGTGTTTTTTTTACTTTAAATGTCCATATATTTACTTTTCTGGTGGTCCTCGGAGCCACGTCTCTTTAGGACAAACATAAACACTTTTGATTTTAATATATTCATTCTAAGTAGAAATAGAATTGATGTTAAAGTTACCGATATCACAGCCAATTTCATCTGATCCATCACTGCAGTCCGTTTCTCCATCACAAACAAACATCGAGTCCACACACAGCCTGCTCCTCCTGCATGTGAACTGAAATGGTGAACAAGCTGCAAGGAAAATGAGAAGCAATTATTAAACAATAGTTTATGTAACACGACTTATTTAAGCCTTGAATCAATTTCTCAACCAAATCAATTCCATACACCCATCCATCAAATTCACCATGGAAATGGAGAAGGATGGTAAGCTACCATTCCTGGATGTTTTATTTGAGAAGAGACCTGATGGCTCGTTGGGACACTGTCTATAGGAAAGCCACCCACACAGATTTCTATCTGAAACCTGATTCCCACCACCATCCAGCACAGAAGAATTCCCTCATCAAAACACTACACCATAGGGCCCGCTGCATTTCCGACCAACACCATCTAGCCAGTGAACTGGAACACGTACACCAGGCCTTCAAGATGAATGGGTACTCGGACCGCATTATTCGCAAAGCTGTTTCTCCAACCATGGAGAAACAACCCCCTGAGAGGCCGATGAAAACCATCATGTTACCATACATAGCAGGTGTTACCAAAAATATTGACGAAATCTTAAACAAACACAAGATCCAGGTCCGATTCAATACAGTACACAAAATCCGTGATCTAATCCCATCTGTGAAGGATGTCATTCCTGATATGCAATATCCTGGAGTTTACAAACTGAGTTGTACCTGTGGTAGCAGTTACTTTGGGGAAACAAAATGACGTCTCGGACCGTGTCCGTGAACACAAGGCAGATCTGAAACACGGCAGAACCAATACCTCTGCCGTAGCTGACCATTGTTATAACGCTGTGGGCTCGCATGATATTGTTTTTTTCTGAGACCAAGGTACTCTGCAAACCTTCTGGCTACTATCAAAGGTTTGTTCATGAAGCCATGCAGAAAAATAAACAGACATAACTTCAACCGAGAAGATGGATACAAATTGAGCAATCATTGGAAGGATGTTATTAACCAGGTAAAATCGTAACTGCTTTATGGTTGTGTCTATCATATCTGCTGGGTACTAGTCTATTATTCCGAGTTAATTTCCCCCCCCCCCCCGCATCCCCTCGGCCTCCCACTTCCAGCCCCACCCACTTCCCCCCCCAGCCTCACGTCCCCTCTCCTAGCGCTCACGCAGTGCCCGCCTATCCCACACCCCACCCTCTCTATCTCTCCCCCCTTTCCCCGCCCCCCTTCTTACCTAGATAAGCTCTTGCCACGGCAGCTCTCTCTCCCACTTCAGCAAAAAATAAAATCTTGCTGTGGTTTTCCCACCTGATGATGATTGCTTGTGTTGCTATCGAAACATCGTGATTTGTTTTATTTTAATTTATTTCTAACTACGTGACTTTACCGAAATAACCAAAGAGTATGATATACATTGTTTTCAATTGGAAAGACATTAAACTCACTGCAGTTGGCCTCATCTGAGTAGTCCCCACAGTCGTTGACTCCATCACAGAAGCTCTCCTTTGCCAGGCAGGTCCCATTTCCACAAGGCAGCTGTTGGTCTGTGTGGCACTGACAGTTTGGAGTCTCATCGCTCTTGTCCATGCAGTCCGGCTCTCCATTGCAGTAATACCGCCCAGAGATGCATTGCTTCTTGTTTGCACAACGGAACTCATTCACTGCACACTCTGGGTTGTCACATGATAGACAACTATTGGTGTTAGTTTTTTTACTTCGAAAACCTTTCATGTATATAGTTTGTTGGGAGTAATATGAGGTGTGTCTTTAAAGGACCATAATGAAGCATTTTCAAAAATTACAACAGTTATAAAAGCACATTGGTGATGAAAGGTACCTATATCACAGCCAATTTCATCGGATCCATCACTGCAGTCTGTTTCTCCATCACAAACAAACATCGAGTCCACACACAGCTTGCTGCTCCTGCACGTGAATTGGCTTGGAGAACAAGCTGCAAGACAAAAGCATGTGTAAATATTGATTGTAAGCAATGGTTTACCAAAAAAGTGCACTTTAGTCATATACATTGTTTTGTATTTTGATAGACATTTGACTCACTGCAGTTGGCCTCATCTGAGTAGTCCCCACAGTCGTTGACTCCATCACAGAAGCTCTCCTTTGCCAGGCAGGTCCCATTGCCACAAGGCAGTTGCAGCTCTGGGAGGCAATGGCAGCTCGGAGTCTCATCGCTGTAGTCTGCACAGTCGGCCTCTCCATTGCAATGAAACCATCCAGGTATGCACTGCTTCTTGTTAGCACAGCGGAACTCATGCACTGCACACTCTGAATTGTCACAAATACTATTCAATGGGTGTTTTTTTACTTTAAATGTCCATATATTTACTTTTCTGGTGGTCCTCGGAGCCACGTCTCTTTAGGACAAACATAAACACTTTTGATTTTAATATATTCATTCTAAGTAGAAATAGAATCGATGTTAAAGTTACCGATATCACAGCCAATTTCATCTGATCCATCACTGCAGTCCGTTTCTCCATCACAAACAAACATCGAGTCCACACACAGCCTGCTCCTCCTGCATGTGAACTGAAATGGTGAACAAGCTGCAAGGAAAATGAGAAGCAATTATTAAACAATAGTTTATGTAACACGACTTATTTAAGCCTTGAATCAATTTCTCAACCAAATCAATTCCATACACCCATCCATCAAATTCACCATGGAAATGGAGAAGGATGGTAAGCTACCATTCCTGGATGTTTTATTTGAGAAGAGACCTGATGGCTCGTTGGGACACTGTCTATAGGAAAGCCACCCACACAGATTTCTATCTGAAACCTGATTCCCACCACCATCCAGCACAGAAGAATTCCCTCATCAAAACACTACACCATAGGGCCCACTGCATTTCCGACCAACACCACCTAGCCAGTGAACTGGAACACGTACACCAGGCCTTCAAGATGAATGGGTACTCGGACCGCATTATTCGCAAAGCTGTTTCTCCAACCATGGAGAAACAACCCCCTGAGAGGCTGATGAAAACCATCATGTTACCATACATAGCAGGTGTTACCAAAAATATTGACGAAATCTTAAACAAACACAAGATCCAGGTCCGATTCAATACAGTACACAAAATCCGTGATCTAATCCCATCTGTGAAGGATGTCATTCCTGATATGCAATATCCTGGAGTTTACAAACTGAGTTGTACCTGTGGTAGCAGTTACTTTGGGGAAACAAAATGACGTCTCGGACCGTGTCCGTGAACACAAGGCAGATCTGAAACACGGCAGAACCAATACCTCTGCCGTAGCTGACCATTGTTATAACGCTGTGGGCTCGCATGATATTGTTTTTTTCTGAGACCAAGGTACTCTGCAAACCTTCTGGCTACTATCAAAGGTTTGTTCATGAAGCCATGCAGAAAAATAAACAGACATAACTTCAACCGAGAAGATGGATACAAATTGAGCAATCATTGGAAGGATGTTATTAACCAGGTAAAATCGTAACTGCTTTATGGTTGTGTCTATCATATCTGCTGCGTACTAGTCTATTATTCCGAGTTAATTTCCCCCCCCCCCCGCATCCCCTCGGTCTCCCACTTCCAGCCCCACCCACTTCCCCCCCCAGCCTCACGTCCCCTCTCCTAGCGCTCACGCAGTGCCCGCCTATCCCACACCCCACCCTCTCTATCTCTCCCCCCTTTCCCCTCCCCCCTTCTTACCTATATAAGCTCTTGCCACGGCAGCTCTCTCTCCCACTTCAGCAAAAAATAAAATCTTGCTGTGGTTTTCCCACCTGATGATGATTGCTTGTGTTGCTATCGAAACATCGTGATTTGTTTGATTTTAATTTATTTCTAACTACGTGACTTTACCGAAATAACCAAAGAGTATGATATACATTGTTTTAAATTGGAAAGACATTAAACTCACTGCAGTTGGCCTCATCTGAGTAGTCCCCACAGTCGTTGACTCCATCACAGAAGCTCTCCTTTGCCAGGCAGGTCCCATTTCCACAAGGCAGCTGTTGGTCTGTGTGGCACTGACAGTTTGGAGTCTCATCGCTCTTGTCCATGCAGTCTGGCTCTCCATTGCAGTAAAACCGCCCAGAGATGCATTGCTTCTTGTTTGCACAACGGAACTCATTCACTGCACACTCTGGGTTGTCACATGATAGACAACTATTGGTGTTAGTTATTTTACTTCGAAAACCTTTCATGTATATAGTTTGTTGGGAGTAATATGAGGTGTGTCTTTAAAGGACCATAATGAAGCATTTTCAAAAATTACAACAGTTATAAAAGCACATTGGTGATGAAAGGTACCTATATCACAGCCAATTTCATCGGATCCATCACTGCAGTCCGTTTCTCCATCACAAACAAACATCGAGTCCACACACAGCTTGCTGCTCCTGCACGTGAATTGGCTTGGAGAACAAGCTGCAAGACAAAAGCATGTGTGAATATTGATTGTAAGCAATGGTTTACCAAAAAAGTGTACTTTAGTCATATACATTGTTTTGTATTTTGATAGACATTTGACTCACTGCAGTTGGCCTCATCTGAGTAGTCCCCACAGTCGTTGACTCCATCACAGAAGCTCTCCTTTGCAAGGCAGGTCCCATTGCCACAAGGCAGTTGCAGCTCTGGGAGGCAATGGCAGCTCGGAGTCTCATCGCTGTAGTCTGCACAGTCGGCCTCTCCATTGCAATGAAACCATCCAGGTATGCACTGCTTCTTGTTAGCACAGCGGAACTCATGCACTGCGCACTCTGAATTGTCACAAATACTATTCAATGGGTGTTTTTTTACTTTAAATGTCCATATATTTACTTTTCTGGTGGTCCTCGGAGCCACGTCTCTTTAGGACAAACATAAACACTTTTGATTTTAATATATACATTCTAAGTAGAAAGAGAATCGATGTTAAAGTAACCGATATCACAGCCAATTTCATCTGATCCATCACTGCAGTCCGTTTCTCCATCACAAACAAACATCGAGTCCACACACAGCCTGGTCCTCCTGCATGTGAACTGAAATGGTGAACAAGCTGCAAGGAAAATGAGAAGCAATTATTAAACAATAGTTTATGTAACACGACTTATTTAAGCCTTGAATCAATTTCTCAACCAAATCAATTCCATACATCCATCCATCAAATTCACCATGGAAATGGAGAAGGATGGTAAGCTACCATTCCTGGATGTTTTATTTGAGAAGAGACCTGATGGCTCGTTGGGACACTCTGTCTATAGGAACGCCACCCACACAGATTTCTATCTGAAACCTGATTCCCACCACCATCCAGCACAGAAGAATTCCCTCATCAAAACACTACACCATAGGGCCCGCTGCATTTCCGACCAACACCACCTAGCCAGTGAACTGGAACACGTACACCAGGCCTTCAAGATGAATGGGTACTCGGACCGCATTATTCGCAAAGCTGTTTCTCCAACCATGGAGAAACAACCCCCTGAGAAGCCGATGAAAACCATCATGTTACCATACATAGCAGGTGTTACCAAAAATATTGACGAAATCTTAAACAAACACAAGAACCAGGTCCGATTAAATACAGTACACAAAATCCGTGATCTAATCCCATCTGTGAAGGATGTCATTCCTGATATGCAATATCCTGGAGTTTACAAACTGAGTTGTACCTGTGGTAGCAGTTACTTTGGGGAAACAAAATGACGTCTCGGACCGTGTCCGTGAACACAAGGCAGATCTGAAACACGGCAGAACCAATACCTCTGCCGTAGCTGACCATTGTTATAATGCTGTGGGCTCGCATGATATTGTTTTTTCTGAGACCAAGGTACTCTGCAAACCTTCTGGCTACTATCAAAGGTTTGTTCATGAAGCCATGCAGAAAAATAAACAGACATAACTTCAACCGAGAAGATGGATACAAATTGAGCAATCATTGGAAGGATGTTATTAACCAGGTAAAATCGTAATTGCTTTATGGTTGTGTCTATCATATCTGCCGGGTACTAGTCTATTATTCCGAGTTAATTTCCCCCCCCCCGCATCCCCTCGGCCTCCCACTTCCAGCCCCACCCACTTCCCCCCCCAGCCTCACGTCCCCTCTCATAGCGCTCACGCAGTGCCCGCCTATCCCACACCCCCCCCTCTCTATCTCTCCCCCCTTTCCCCTCCCCCCTTCTTACCTATATAAGCTCTTGCCACGGCAGCTCTCTCTCCCACTTCAGCAAAAAATAAAATCTTGCTGTGGTTTTCCCACCTGATGATGATTGCTTGTGTTGCTATCGAAACATCGTGATTTGTTTTATTTTAATTTATTTCTAACTACGTGACTTTACCGAAATAACCAAAGAGTATGATATACATTGTTTTCAATTGGAAAGACATTAAACTCACTGCAGTTTGCCTCATCTGAGTAGTCCCCACAGTCGTTGACTCCATCACAGAAGCTCTCCTTTGCCAGGCAGGTCCCATTTCCACAAGGCAGCTGTTGGTCTGTGTGGCACTGACAGTTTGGAGTCTCATCGCTCTTGTCCATGCAGTCCGGCTCTCCATTGCAGTAAAACCGCCCAGAGATGCATTGCTTCTTGTTTGCACAACGGAACTCATTCACTGCACACTCTGGGTTGTCACATGATAGACAACTATTGGTGTTAGTTATTTTACTTCGAAAACCTTTCATGTATATAGTTTGTTGGGAGTAATATGAGGTGTGTCTTTAAAGGACCATAATGAAGCATTTTCAAAAATTACAACAGTTATAAAAGCACATTGGTGATGAAAGGTACCTATATCACAGTCAATTTCATCGGATCCATCACTGCAGTCCGTTTCTCCATCACAAACAAACATCGAGTCCACACACAGCTTGCTGCTCCTGCACGTGAATTGGCTTGGAGAACAAGCTGCAAGACAAAAGCATGTGTGAATATTGATTGTAAGCAATGGTTTACCAAAAAAGTGTACTTTAGTCATATACATTGTTTTGTATTTTGATAGACATTTGACTCACTGCAGTTGGCCTCATCTGAGTAGTCCCCACAGTCGTTGACTCCATCACAGAAGCTCTCCTTTGCAAGGCAGGTCCCATTGCCACAAGGCAGTTGCAGCTCTGGGAGGCAATGGCAGCTCGGAGTCTCATCGCTGTAGTCTGCACAGTCGGCCTCTCCATTGCAATGAAACCATCCAGGTATGCACTGCTTCTTGTTAGCACAGCGGAACTCATGCACTGCACACTCTGAATTGTCACAAATACTATTCAATGGGTGTTTTTTTACTTTAAATGTCCATATATTTACTTTTCTGGTGGTCCTCGGAGCCACGTCTCTTTAGGACAAACATAAACACTTTTGATTTTAATATATACATTCTAAGTAGAAAGAGAATCGATGTTAAAGTTACCGATATCACAGCCAATTTCATCTGATCCATCACTGCAGTCCGTTTCTCCATCACAAACAAACATCGAGTCCACACATAGCCTGCTCCTCCTGCATGTGAACTGAAATGGTGAACAAGCTGCAAGGAAAATGAGAAGCAATTATTAAACAATAGTTTATGTAACACGACTTATTTAAGCCTTGAATCAATTTCTCAACCAAACCAATTCCATACACCCATCCATCAAATTCACCATGGAAATGGAGAAGGATGGTAAGCTACCATTCCTGGATGTTTTATTTGAGAAGAGACCTGATGGCTCGTTGGGACACTCTGTCTATAGGAACGCCACCCACACAGATTTCTATCTGAAACCTGATTCCCACCACCATCCAGCACAGAAGAATTCCCTCATCAAAACACTACACCATAGGGCCCGCTGCATTTCCGACCAACACCACCTAGCCAGTGAACTGGAACACGTACACCAGGCCTTCAAGATGAATGGGTACTCGGACCGCATTATTCGCAAAGCTGTTTCTCCAACCATGGAGAAACAACCCCCTGAGAAGCCGATGAAAACCATCATGTTACCATACATAGCAGGTGTTACCAAAAATATTGACGAAATCTTAAACAAACACAAGAACCAGGTCCGATTAAATACAGTACACAAAATCCGTGATCTAATCCCATCTGTGAAGGATGTCATTCCTGATATGCAATATCCTGGAGTTTACAAACTGAGTTGTACCTGTGGTAGCAGTTACTTTGGGGAAACAAAATGACGTCTCGGACCGTGTCCGTGAACACAAGGCAGATCTGAAACACGGCAGAACCAATACCTCTGCCGTAGCTGACCATTGTTATAACGCTGTGGGCTCGCATGATATTGTTTTTTCTGAGACCAAGGTACTCTGCAAACCTTCTGGCTACTATCAAAGGTTTGTTCATGAAGCCATGCAGAAAAATAAACAGACATAACTTCAACCGAGAAGATGGATACAAATTGAGCAATCATTGGAAGGATGTTATTAACCAGGTAAAATCGTAATTGCTTTATGGTTGTGTCTATCATATCTGCCGGGTACTAGTCTATTATTCCGAGTTAATTTCCCCCCCCCCCCGCATCCCCTCGGCCTCCCACTTCCAGCCCCACCCACTTCCCCCCCCAGCCTCACGTCCCCTCTCCTAGCGCTCACGCAGTGCCCGCCTATCCCACACCCCCCCTCTCTATCTCTCCCCCCTTTCCCCTCCCCCCTTCTTACCTATATAAGCTCTTGCCACGGCAGCTCTCTCTCCCACTTCAGCAAAAAATACAATCTTGCTGTGGTTTTCCCACCTGATGATGATTGCTTGTGTTGCTATCGAAACATCGTGATTTGTTTTATTTTAATTTATTTCTAACTGCGTGACTTTACCGAAATAACCAAAGAGTATGATATACATTGTTTTCAATTGGAAAGACATTAAACTCACTGCAGTTGGCCTCATCTGAGTAGTCCCCACAGTCGTTGACTCCATCACAGAAGCTCTCCTTTGCCAGGCAGGTCCCATTTCCACAAGGCAGCTGTTGGTCTGTGTGGCACTGACAGTTTGGAGTCTCATCGCTCTTGTCCATGCAGTCCGGCTCTCCATTGCAGTAAAACCGCCCAGAGATGCATTGCTTCTTGTTTGCACAACGGAACTCATTCACTGCACACTCTGGGTTGTCACATGATAGACAACTATTGGTGTTAGTTATTTTACTTCGAAAACCTTTCATGTATATAGTTTGTTGGGAGTAATATGAGGTGTGTCTTTAAAGGACCATAATGAAGCATTTTCAAAAATTACAACAGTTATAAAAGCACATTCGTGATGAAAGGTACCTATATCACAGCCAATTTCATCGGATCCATCACTGCAGTCCGTTTCTCCATCACAAACAAACATCGAGTCCACACACAGCTTGCTGCTCCTGCACGTGAATTGGCTTGGAGAACAAGCTGCAAGACAAAAGCATGTGTAAATATTGATTGTAAGCAATGGTTTACCAAAAAAGTGCACTTTAGTCATATACATTGTTTTGTATTTTGATAGACATTTGACTCACTGCAGTTGGCCTCATCTGAGTAGTCCCCACAGTCGTTGACTCCATCACAGAAGCTCTCCTTTGCAAGGCAGGTCCCATTGCCACAAGGCAGTTGCAGCTCTGGGAGGCAATGGCAGCTCGGAGTCTCATCGCTGTAGTCTGCACAGTCGGCCTCTCCATTGCAATGAAACCATCCAGGTATGCACTGCTTCTTGTTAGCACAGCGGAACTCATGCACTGCACACTCTGAATTGTCACAAATACTATTCAATGGGTGTTTTTTTACTTTAAATGTCCATATATTTACTTTTCTGGTGGTCCTCGGAGCCACGTCTCTTTAGGACAAACATAAACACTTTTGATTTTAATATATACATTCTAAGTAGAAAGAGAATCGATGTTAAAGTTACCGATATCACAGCCAATTTCATCTGATCCATCACTGCAGTCCGTTTCTCCATCACAAACAAACATCGAGTCCACACACAGCCTGCTCCTCCTGCATGTGAACTGAAATGGTGAACAAGCTGCAAGGAAAATGAGAAGCAATTATTAAACAATAGTTTATGTAACACGACTTATTTAAGCCTTGAATCAATTTCTCAACCAAACCAATTCCATACACCCATCCATCAAATTCACCATGGAAATGGAGAAGGATGGTAAGCTACCATTCCTGGATGTTTTATTTGAGAAGAGACCTGATGGCTCGTTGGGACACTCTGTCTATAGGAACGCCACCCACACAGATTTCTATCTGAAACCTGATTCCCACCACCATCCAGCACAGAAGAATTCCCTCATCAAAACACTACACCATAGGGCCCGCTGCATTTCCGACCAACACCACCTAGCCAGTGAACTGGAACACGTACACCAGGCCTTCAAGATGAATGGGTACTCGGACCGCATTATTCGCAAAGCTGTTTCTCCAACCATGGAGAAACAACCCCCTGAGAAGCCGATGAAAACCATCATGTTACCATACATAGCAGGTGTTACCAAAAATATTGACGAAATCTTAAACAAACACAAGAACCAGGTCCGATTAAATACAGTACACAAAATCCGTGATCTAATCCCATCTGTGAAGGATGTCATTCCTGATATGCAATATCCTGGAGTTTACAAACTGAGTTGTACCTGTGGTAGCAGTTACTTTGGGGAAACAAAATGACGTCTCGGACCGTGTCCGTGAACACAAGGCAGATCTGAAACACGGCAGAACCAATACCTCTGCCGTAGCTGACCATTGTTATAACGCTGTGGGCTCGCATGATATTGTTTTTTCTGAGACCAAGGTACTCTGCAAACCTTCTGGCTACTATCAAAGGTTTGTTCATGAAGCCATGCAGAAAAATAAACAGACATAACTTCAACCGAGAAGATGGATACAAATTGAGCAATCATTGGAAGGATGTTATTAACCATGTAAAATCGTAATTGCTTTATGGTTGTGTCTATCATATCTGCCGGGTACTAGTCTATTATTCCGAGTTAATTTCCCCCCCCCCTCCGCATCCCCTCGGCCTCCCACTTCCAGCCCCACCCACTTCCCCACCCAGCCTCACGTCCCCTCTCCTAGCGCTCACGCAGTGCCCGCCTATCCCACACCCCCCCTCTCTATCTCTCCCCCCTTTCCCCTCCCCCCTTCTTACCTATATAAGCTCTTGCCACGGCAGCTCTCTCTCCCACTTCAGCAAAAAATAAAATCTTGCTGTGGTTTTCCCACCTGATGATGATTGCTTGTGTTGCTATCGAAACATCGTGATTTGTTTTATTTTAATTTATTTCTAACTACGTGACTTTACCGAAATAACCAAAGAGTATGATATACATTGTTTTCAATTGGAAAGACATTAAACTCACTGCAGTTGGCCTCATCTGAGTAGTCCCCACAGTCGTTGACTCCATCACAGAAGCTCTCCTTTGCCAGGCAGGTCCCATTTCCACAAGGCAGCTGTTGGTCTGTGTGGCACTGACAGTTTGGAGTCTCATCGCTCTTGTCCATGCAGTCCGGCTCTCCATTGCAGTAAAACCGCCCAGAGATGCATTGCTTCTTGTTTGCACAACGGAACTCATTCACTGCACACTCTGGGTTGTCACATGATAGACAACTATTGGTGTTAGTTATTTTACTTCGAAAACCTTTCATGTATATAGTTTGTTGGGAGTAATATGAGGTGTGTCTTTAAAGGACCATAATGAAGCATTTTCAAAAATTACAACAGTTATAAAAGCACATTCGTGATGAAAGGTACCTATATCACAGCCAATTTCATCGGATCCATCACTGCAGTCCGTTTCTCCATCACAAACAAACATCGAGTCCACACACAGCTTGCTGCTCCTGCACGTGAATTGGCTTGGAGAACAAGCTGCAAGACAAAAGCATGTGTAAATATTGATTGTAAGCAATGGTTTACCAAAAAAGTGCACTTTAGTCATATACATTGTTTTGTATTTTGATAGACATTTGACTCACTGCAGTTGGCCTCATCTGAGTAGTCCCCACAGTCGTTGACTCCATCACAGAAGCTCTCCTTTGCAAGGCAGGTCCCATTGCCACAAGGCAGTTGCAGCTCTGGGAGGCAATGGCAGCTCGGAGTCTCATCGCTGTAGTCTGCACAGTCGGCCTCTCCATTGCAATGAAACCATCCAGGAATGCACTGCTTCTTGTTAGCACAGCGGAACTCATGCACTGCACACTCTGAATTGTCACAAATACTATTCAATGGGTGTTTTTTTACTTTAAATGTCCATATATTTACTTTTCTGGTGGTCCTCGGAGCCACGTCTCTTTAGGACAAACATAAACACTTTTGATTTTAATATATACATTCTAAGTAGAAAGAGAATCGATGTTAAAGTTACCGATATCACAGCCAATTTCATCTGATCCATCACTGCAGTCCGTTTCTCCATCACAAACAAACATCGAGTCCACACACAGCCTGGTCCTCCTGCATGTGAACTGAAATGGTGAACAAGCTGCAAGGAAAATGAGAAGCAATTATTAAACAATAGTTTATGTAACACGACTTATTTAAGCCTTGAATCAATTTCTCAACCAAATCAATTCCATACACCCATCCATCAAATTCACCATGGAAATGGAGAAGGATGGTAAGCTACCATTCCTGGATGTTTTATTTGAGAAGAGACCTGATGGCTCGTTGGGACACTCTGTCTATAGGAACGCCACCCACACAGATTTCTATCTGAAACCTGATTCCCACCACCATCCAGCACAGAAGAATTCCCTCATCAAAACACTACACCATAGGGCCCGCTGCATTTCCGACCAACACCACCTAGCCAGTGAACTGGAACACGTACACCAGGCCTTCAAGATGAATGGGTACTCGGACCGCATTATTCGCAAAGCTGTTTCTCCAACCATGGAGAAACAACCCCCTGAGAAGCCGATGAAAACCATCATGTTACCATACATAGCAGGTGTTACCAAAAATATTGACGAAATCTTAAACAAACACAAGAACCAGGTCCGATTAAATACAGTACACAAAATCCGTGATCTAATCCCATCTGTGAAGGATGTCATTCCTGATATGCAATATCCTGGAGTTTACAAACTGAGTTGTACCTGTGGTAGCAGTTACTTTGGGGAAACAAAATGACGTCTCGGACCGTGTCCGTGAACACAAGGCAGATCTGAAACACGGCAGAACCAATACCTCTGCCGTAGCTGACCATTGTTATAACGCTGTGGACTCGCATGATATTGTTTTTTCTGAGACCAAGGTACTCTGCTAACCTTCTGGCTACTATCAAAGGTTTGTTCATGAAGCCATGCAGAAAAATAAACAGACATAACTTCAACCGAGAAGATGGATACAAATTGAGCAATCATTGGAAGGATGTTATTAACCAGGTAAAATCGTAATTGCTTTATGGTTGTGTCTATCATATCTGCCGGGTACTAGTCTATTATTCCGAGTTAATTTCCCCCCCCTCCCGCATCCCCTCGGCCTCCCACTTCCAGCCCCACCCACTTCCCCCCCCAGCCTCACGTCCCCTCTCCTAGCGCTCACGCAGTGCCCGCCTATCCCACACCCCCCCCCTCTCTATCTCTCCCCCCTTTCCCCTCCCCCCTTCTTACCTATATAAGCTCTTGCCACGGCAGCTCTCTCTCCCACTTCAGCAAAAAATAAAATCTTGCTGTGGTTTTCCCACCTGATGATGATTGCTTGTGTTGCTATCGAAACATCGTGATTTGTTTTATTTTAATTTATTTCTAACTACGTGACTTTACCGAAATAACCAAAGAGTATGATATACATTGTTTTCAATTGGAAAGACATTAAACTCACTGCAGTTGGCCTCATCTGAGTAGTCCCCACAGTCGTTGACTCCATCACAGAAGCTCTCCTTTGCCAGGCAGGTCCCATTTCCACAAGGCAGCTGTTGGTCTGTGTGGCACTGACAGTTTGGAGTCTCATCGCTCTTGTCCATGCAGTCCGGCTCTCCATTGCAGTAAAACCGCCCAGAGATGCATTGCTTCTTGTTTGCACAACGGAACTCATTCACTGCACACTCTGGGTTGTCACATGATAGACAACTACTGGTGTTAGTTATTTTACTTCGAAAACCTTTCATGTATATAGTTTGTTGGGAGTAATATGAGGTGTGTCTTTAAAGGACCATAATGAAGCATTTTCAAAAATTACAACAGTTATAAAAGCACATTGGTGATGAAAGGTACCTATATCACAGCCAATTTCATCGGATCCATCACTGCAGTCCGTTTCTCCATCACAAAAAAACATCGAGTCCACACACAGCCTGCTGCTCCTGCACGTGAATTGGCTTGGAGAACAAGCTGCAAGACAAAAGCACGTGTAAATATTGATTGTAAGCAATGGTTTACCAAAAAAGTGCACTTTAGTCATATACATTGTTTTGTATTTTGATAGACATTTGACTCACTGCAGTTGGCCTCATCTGAGTAGTCCCCACAGTCGTTGACTCCATCACAGAAGCTCTCCTTTGCAAGGCAGGTCCCATTGCCACAAGGCAGTTGCAGCTCTGGGAGGCAATGGCAGCTCGGAGTCTCATCGCTGTAGTCTGCACAGTCGGCCTCTCCATTGCAATGAAACCATCCAGGTATGCACTGCTTCTTGTTAGCACAGCGGAACTCATGCACTGCACACTCTGAATTGTCACAAATACTATTCAATGGGTGTTTTTTTACTTTAAATGTCCATATATTTACTTTTCTGGTGGTCCTCGGAGCCACGTCTCTTTAGGACAAACATAAACACTTTTGATTTTAATATATACATTCTAAGTAGAAAGAGAATCGATGTTAAAGTTACCGATATCACAGCCAATTTCATCTGATCCATCACTGCAGTCCGTTTCTCCATCACAAACAAACATTGAGTCCACACACAGCCTGCTCCTCCTGCATGTGAACTGAAATGGTGAACAAGCTGCAAGGAAAATGAGAAGCAATTATTAAACAATAGTTTATGTAACACGACTTATTTAAGCCTTGAATCAATTTCTCAACCAAATCAATTCCATACACCCATCCATCAAATTCACCATGGAAATGGAGAAGGATGGTAAGCTACCATTCCTGGATGTTTTATTTGAGATGAGACCTGATGGCTCGTTGGGACACTCTGTCTATAGGAAAGCCACCCACACAGATTTCTATCTGAAACCTGATTCCCACCACCATCCAGCACAGAAGAATTCCCTCATCAAAACACTACACCATAGGGCCCGCTGCATTTCCGACCAACACCACCTAGCCAGTGAACTGGAACACGTACACCAGGCCTTCAAGATGAATGGGTACTCGGACCGCATTATTCGCAAAGCTGTTTCTCCAACCATGGAGAAACAACCCCCTGAGAAGCCGATGAAAACCATCATGTTACCATACATAGCAGGTGTTACCAAAAATATTGACGAAATCTTAAACAAACACAAGAACCAGGTCCGATTAAATACAGTACACAAAATCCGTGATCTAATCCCATCTGTGAAGGATGTCATTCCTGATATGCAATATCCTGGAGTTTACAAACTGAGTTGTACCTGTGGTAGCAGTTACTTTGGGGAAACAAAATGACGTCTCGGACCGTGTCCGTGAACACAAGGCAGATCTGAAACACGGCAGAACCAATACCTCTGCCGTAGCTGACCATTGTTATAACGCTGTGGGCTCGCATGATATTGTTTTTTCTGAGACCAAGGTACTCTGCAAACCTTCTGGCTACTATCAAAGGTTTGTTCATGAAGCCATGCAGAAAAATAAACAGACATAACTTCAACCGAGAAGATGGATACAAATTGAGCAATCATTGGAAGGATGTTATTAACCAGGTAAAATCGTAATTGCTTTATGGTTGTGTCTATCATATCTGCCGGGTACTAGTCTATTATTCCGAGTTAATTTCCCCCCCCCCCCGCATCCCCTCGGCCTCCCACTTCCAGCCCCACCCACTTCCCCCCCCAGCCTCACGTCCCCTCTCCTAGCGCTCACGCAGTGCCCGCCTATCCCCCCCTCTCTATCTCTCCCCCCTTTCCCCTCCCCCCTTCTTACCTATATAAGCTCTTGCCACGGCAGCTCTCTCTCCCACTTCAGCAAAAAATAAAATCTTGCTGTGGTTTTCCCACCTGATGATGATTGCGTGTGTTGCTATCGAAACATCGTGATTTGTTTTATTTTAATTTATTTCTAATTACGTGACTTTACCGAAATAACCAAAGAGTATGATATACATTGTTTTCAATTGGAAAGACATTAAACTCACTGCAGTTGGCCTCATCTGAGTAGTCCCCACAGTCGTTGACTCCATCACAGAAGCTCTCCTTTGCCAGGCAGGTCCCATTTCCACAAGGCAGCTGTTGGTCTGTGTGGCACTGACAGTTTGGAGTCTCATCGCTCTTGTCCATGCAGTCCGGCTCTCCATTGCAGTAAAACCGCCCAGAGATGCATTGCTTCTTGTTTGCACAACGGAACTCATTCACTGCACACTCTGGGTTGTCACATGATAGACAACTATTGGTGTTAGTTATTTTACTTCGAAAACCTTTCATGTATATAGTTTGTTGGGAGTAATATGAGGTGTGTCTTTAAAGGACCATAATGAAGCATTTTCAAAAATTACAACAGTTATAAAAGCACATTGGTGATGAAAGGTACCTATATCACAGCCAATTTCATCGGATCCATCACTGCAGTCCGTTTCTCCATCACAAACAAACATCGAGTCCACACACAGCCTGCTGCTCCTGCACGTGAATTGGCTTGGAGAACAAGCTGCAAGACAAAAGCACGTGTAAATATTGATTGTAAGCAATGGTTTACCAAAAAAGTGCACTTTAGTCATATACATTGTTTTGTATTTTGATAGACATTTGACTCACTGCAGTTGGCCTCATCTGAGTAGTCCCCACAGTCGTTGACTCCATCACAGAAGCTCTCCTTTGCAAGGCAGGTCCCATTGCCACAAGGCAGTTGCAGCTCTGGGAGGCAATGGCAGCTCGGAGTCTCATCGCTGTAGTCTGCACAGTCGGCCTCTCCATTGCAATGAAACCATCCAGGTATGCACTGCTTCTTGTTAGCACAGCGGAACTCATGCACTGCACACTCTGAATTGTCACAAATACTATTCAATGGGTGTTTTTTTACTTTAAATGTCCATATATTTACTTTTCTGGTGGTCCTCGGAGCCACGTCTCTTTAGGACAAACATAAACACTTTTGATTTTAATATATACATTCTAAGTAGAGAGAGAATCGATGTTAAAGTTACCGATATCACAGCCAATTTCATCTGATCCATCACTGCAGTCCGTTTCTCCATCACAAACAAACATTGAGTCCACACACAGCCTGCTCCTCCTGCATGTGAACTGAAATGGTGAACAAGCTGCAAGGAAAATGAGAAGCAATTATTAAACAATAGTTTATGTAACACGACTTATTTAAGCCTTGAATCAATTTCTCAACCAAATCAATTCCATACACCCATCCATCAAATTCACCATGGAAATGGAGAAGGATGGTAAGCTACCATTCCTGGATGTTTTATTTGAGATGAGACCTGATGGCTCGTTGGGACACTCTGTCTATAGGAAAGCCACCCACACAGATTTCTATCTGAAACCTGATTCCCACCACCATCCAGCACAGAAGAATTCCCTCATCAAAACACTACACCATAGGGCCCGCTGCATTTCCGACCAACACCACCTAGCCAGTGAACTGGAACACGTACACCAGGCCTTCAAGATGAATGGGTACTCGGACCGCATTATTCGCAAAGCTGTTTCTCCAACCATGGAGAAACAACCCCCTGAGAAGCCGATGAAAACCATCATGTTACCATACATAGCAGGTGTTACCAAAAATATTGACGAAATCTTAAACAAACACAAGAACCAGGTCCGATTAAATACAGTACACAAAATCCGTGATCTAATCCCATCTGTGAAAGATGTCATTCCTGATATGCAATATCCTGGAGTTTACAAACTGAGTTGTACCTGTGGTAGCAGTTACTTTGGGGAAACAAAATGACGTCTCGGACCGTGTCCGTGAACACAAGGCAGATCTGAAACACGGCAGAACCAATACCTCTGCCGTAGCTGACCATTGTTATAACGCTGTGGGCTCGCATGATATTGTTTTTTCTGAGACCAAGGTACTCTGCAAACCTTCTGGCTACTATCAAAGGTTTGTTCATGAAGCCATGCAGAAAAATAAACAGACATAACTTCAACCGAGAAGATGGATACAAATTGAGCAATCATTGGAAGGATGTTATTAACCAGGTAAAATCGTAATTGCTTTATGGTTGTGTCTATCATATCTGCCGGGTACTAGTCTATTATTCCGAGTTAATTTCCCCCCCCCCCCCCGCATCCCCTCGGCCTCCCACTTCCAGCCCCACCCACTTCCCCCCCCAGCCTCACGTCCCCTCTCCTAGCGCTCACGCAGTGCCCGCCTATCCCACACCCCCCCTCTCTATCTCTCCCCCCTTTCCCCTCCCCCCTTCTTACCTATATAAGCTCTTGCCACGGCAGCTCTCTCTCCCACTTCAGCAAAAAATAAAATCTTGCTGTGGTTTTCCCACCTGATGATGATTGCTTGTGTTGCTATCGAAACATCGTGATTTGTTTTATTTTAATTTATTTCTAACTACGTGACTTTACCGAAATAACCAAAGAGTATGATATACATTGTTTTCAATTGGAAAGACATTAAACTCACTGCAGTTGGCCTCATCTGAGTAGTCCCCACAGTCGTTGACTCCATCACAGAAGCTCTCCTTTGCCAGGCAGGTCCCATTTCCACAAGGCAGCTGTTGGTCTGTGTGGCACTGACAGTTTGGAGTCTCATCGCTCTTGTCCATGCAGTCCGGCTCTCCATTGCAGTAAAACCGCCCAGAGATGCATTGCTTCTTGTTTGCACAACGGAACTCATTCACTGCACACTCTGGGTTGTCACATGATAGACAACTATTGGTGTTAGTTATTTTACTTCGAAAACCTTTCATGTATATAGTTTGTTGGGAGTAATATGAGGTGTGTCTTTAAAGGACCATAATGAAGCATTTTCAAAAATTACAACAGTTATAAAAGCACATTGGTGATGAAAGGTACCTATATCACAGCCAATTTCATCGGATCCATCACTGCAGTCCGTTTCTCCATCACAAACAAACATCGAGTCCACACACAGCTTGCTGCTCCTGCACGTGAATTGGCTTGGAGAACAAGCTGCAAGACAAAAGCATGTGTAAATATTGATTGTAAGCAATGGTTTACCAAAAAAGTGCACTTTAGTCATATACATTGTTTTGTATTTTGATAGACATTTGACTCACTGCAGTTGGCCTCATCTGAGTAGTCCCCACAGTCGTTGACTCCATCACAGAAGCTCTCCTTTGCAAGGCAGGTCCCATTGCCACAAGGCAGTTGCAGCTCTGGGAGGCAATGGCAGCTCGGAGTCTCATCGCTGTAGTCTGCACAGTCGGCCTCTCCATTGCAATGAAACCATCCAGGTATGCACTGCTTCTTGTTAGCACAGCGGAACTCATGCACTGCACACTCTGAATTGTCACAAATACTATTCAATGGGTGTTTTTTTACTTTAAATGTCCATATATTTACTTTTCTGGTGGTCCTCGGAGCCACGTCTCTTTAGGACAAACATAAACACTTTTGATTTTAATATATACATTCTAAGTAGAAAGAGAATCGATGTTAAAGTTACCGATATCACAGCCAATTTCATCTGATCCATCACTGCAGTCCGTTTCTCCATCACAAACAAACATCGAGTCCACACACAGCCTGCTCCTCCTGCATGTGAACTGAAATGGTGAACAAGCTGCAAGGAAAATGAGAAGCAATTATTAAACAATAGTTTATGTAACACGACTTATTTAAGCCTTGAATCAATTTCTCAACCAAATCAATTCCATACACCCATCCATCAAATTCACCATGGAAATGGAGAAGGATGGTAAGCTACCATTCCTGGATGTTTTATTTGAGATGAGACCTGATGGCTCGTTGGGATACTCTGTCTATAGGAAAGCCACCCACACAGATTTCTATCTGAAACCTGATTCCCACCACCATCCAGCACAGAAGAATTCCCTCATCAAAACACTACACCATAGGGCCCGCTGCATTTCCGACCAAACACCACCTAGCCAGTGAACTGGAACACGTACACCAGGCCTTCAAGATGAATAGGTACTCGGACCGCATTATTTGCAAAGCTGTTTCTCCAACCATGGAGAAACAACCCCCTGAGAAGCCGATGAAAACCATCATGTTACCATACATAGCAGGTGTTACCAAAAATATTGACGAAATCTTAAACAAACACAAGATCCAGGTCCGATTCAATACAGTACACAAAATCCGTGATCTAATCCCATCTGTGAAGGATGTCATTCCTGATATGTAATATCCTGGAGTTTACAAACTGAGTTGTACCTGTGGTAGCAGTTACTTTGGGGAAACAAAATGACGTCTCGGACCGTGTCCGTGAACACAAGGCAGATCTGAAACACGGCAGAACCAATACCTCTGCCGTAGCTGACCATTGTTATAACGCTGTGGGCTCGCATGATATTGTTTTTTTCTGAGACCAAGGTACTCTGCAAACCTTCTGGCTACTATCAAAGGTTTGTTCATGAAGCCATGCAGAAAAATAAACAGACATAACTTCAACCGAGAAGATGGATACAAATTGAGCAATCATTGGAAGGATGTTATTAACCAGGTAAAATCGTAATTGCTTTATGGTTGTGTCTATCATATCTGCCGGGTACTAGTCTATTATTCCGAGTTAATTTCCCCCCCCCCCCGCATCCCCTCGGCCTCCCACTTCCAGCCCCACCCACTTCCCCCCCCAGCCTCACGTCCCCTCTCCTAGCGCTCACGCAGTGCCCGCCTATCCCACACCCCCCCTCTCTATCTCTCCCCCCTTTCCCCTCCCCCCTTCTTACCTATATAAGCTCTTGCCACGGCAGCTCTCTCTCCCACTTCAGCAAAAAATAAAATCTTGCTGTGGTTTTCCCACCTGATGATGATTGCGTGTGTTGCTATCGAAACATCGTGATTTGTTTTATTTTAATTTATTTCTAATTACGTGACTTTACCGAAATAACCAAAGAGTATGATATACATTGTTTTCAATTGGAAAGACATTAAACTCACTGCAGTTGGCCTCATCTGAGTAGTCCCCACAGTCGTTGACTCCATCACAGAAGCTCTCCTTTGCCAGGCAGGTCCCATTTCCACAAGGCAGCTGTTGGTCTGTGTGGCACTGACAGTTTGGAGTCTCATCGCTCTTGTCCATGCAGTCCGGCTCTCCATTGCAGTAAAACCGCCCAGAGATGCATTGCTTCTTGTTTGCACAACGGAACTCATTCACTGCACACTCTGGGTTGTCACATGATAGACAACTATTGGTGTTAGTTATTTTACTTCGAAAACCTTTCATGTATATAGTTTGTTGGGAGTAATATGAGGTGTGTCTTTAAAGGACCATAATGAAGCATTTTCAAAAATTACAACAGTTATAAAAGCACATTGGTGATGAAAGGTACCTATATCACAGCCAATTTCATCGGATCCATCACTGCAGTCCGTTTCTCCATCACAAACAAACATCGAGTCCACACACAGCCTGCTGCTCCTGCACGTGAATTGGCTTGGAGAACAAGCTGCAAGACAAAAGCACGTGTAAATATTGATTGTAAGCAATGGTTTACCAAAAAAGTGCACTTTAGTCATATACATTGTTTTGTATTTTGATAGACATTTGACTCACTGCAGTTGGCCTCATCTGAGTAGTCCCCACAGTCGTTGACTCCATCACAGAAGCTCTCCTTTGCAAGGCAGGTCCCATTGCCACAAGGCAGTTGCAGCTCTGGGAGGCAATGGCAGCTCGGAGTCTCATCGCTGTAGTCTGCACAGTCGGCCTCTCCATTGCAATGAAACCATCCAGGTATGCACTGCTTCTTGTTAGCACAGCGGAACTCATGCACTGCACACTCTGAATTGTCACAAATACTATTCAATGGGTGTTTTTTTACTTTAAATGTCCATATATTTACTTTTCTGGTGGTCCTCGGAGCCACGTCTCTTTAGGACAAACATAAACACTTTTGATTTTAATATATACATTCTAAGTAGAAAGAGAATCGATGTTAAAGTTACCGATATCACAGCCAATTTCATCTGATCCATCACTGCAGTCCGTTTCTCCATCACAAACAAACATCGAGTCCACACACAGCCTGCTCCTCCTGCATGTGAACTGAAATGGTGAACAAGCTGCAAGGAAAATGAGAAGCAATTATTAAACAATAGTTTATGTAACACGACTTATTTAAGCCTTGAATCAATTTCTCAACCAAATCAATTCCATACACCCATCCATCAAATTCACCATGGAAATGGAGAAGGATGGTAAGCTACCATTCCTGGATGTTTTATTTGAGATGAGACCTGATGGCTCGTTGGGATACTCTGTCTATAGGAAAGCCACCCACACAGATTTCTATCTGAAACCTGATTCCCACCACCATCCAGCACAGAAGAATTCCCTCATCAAAACACTACACCATAGGGCCCGCTGCATTTCCGACCAACACCACCTAGCCAGTGAACTGGAACACGTACACCAGGCCTTCAAGATGAATAGGTACTCGGACCGCATTATTTGCAAAGCTGTTTCTCCAACCATGGAGAAACAACCCCCTGAGAAGCCGATGAAAACCATCATGTTACCATACATAGCAGGTGTTACCAAAAATATTGACGAAATCTTAAACAAACACAAGATCCAGGTCCGATTCAATACAGTACACAAAATCCGTGATCTAATCCCATCTGTGAAGGATGTCATTCCTGATATGTAATATCCTGGAGTTTACAAACTGAGTTGTACCTGTGGTAGCAGTTACTTTGGGGAAACAAAATGACGTCTCGGACCGTGTCCGTGAACACAAGGCAGATCTGAAACACGGCAGAACCAATACCTCTGCCGTAGCTGACCATTGTTATAACGCTGTGGGCTCGCATGATATTGTTTTTTTCTGAGACCAAGGTACTCTGCAAACCTTCTGGCTACTATCAAAGGTTTGTTCATGAAGCCATGCAGAAAAATAAACAGACATAACTTCAACCGAGAAGATGGATACAAATTGAGCAATCATTGGAAGGATGTTATTAACCAGGTAAAATCGTAATTGCTTTATGGTTGTGTCTATCATATCTGCCGGGTACTAGTCTATTATTCCGAGTTAATTTCCCCCCCCCCCGCATCCCCTCGGCCTCCCACTTCCAGCCCCACCCACTTCCCCCCCCAGCCTCACGTCCCCTCTCCTAGCGCTCACGCAGTGCCCGCCTATCCCACACCCCCCCTCTCTATCTCTCCCCCCTTTCCCCTCCCCCCTTCTTACCTATATAAGCTCTTGCCACGGCAGCTCTCTCTCCCACTTCAGCAAAAAATAAAATCTTGCTGTGGTTTTCCCACCTGATGATGATTGCGTGTGTTGCTATCGAAACATCGTGATTTGTTTTATTTTAATTTATTTCTAATTACGTGACTTTACCGAAATAACCAAAGAGTATGATATACATTGTTTTCAATTGGAAAGACATTAAACTCACTGCAGTTGGCCTCATCTGAGTAGTCCCCACAGTCGTTGACTCCATCACAGAAGCTCTCCTTTGCCAGGCAGGTCCCATTTCCACAAGGCAGCTGTTGGTCTGTGTGGCACTGACAGTTTGGAGTCTCATCGCTCTTGTCCATGCAGTCCGGCTCTCCATTGCAGTAAAACCGCCCAGAGATGCATTGCTTCTTGTTTGCACAACGGAACTCATTCACTGCACACTCTGGGTTGTCACATGATAGACAACTATTGGTGTTAGTTATTTTACTTCGAAAACCTTTCATGTATATAGTTTGTTGGGAGTAATATGAGGTGTGTCTTTAAAGGACCATAATGAAGCATTTTCAAAAATTACAACAGTTATAAAAGCACATTGGTGATGAAAGGTACCTATATCACAGCCAATTTCATCGGATCCATCACTGCAGTCCGTTTCTCCATCACAAACAAACATCGAGTCCACACACAGCCTGCTGCTCCTGCACGTGAATTGGCTTGGAGAACAAGCTGCAAGACAAAAGCACGTGTAAATATTGATTGTAAGCAATGGTTTACCAAAAAAGTGCACTTTAGTCATATACATTGTTTTGTATTTTGATAGACATTTGACTCACTGCAGTTGGCCTCATCTGAGTAGTCCCCACAGTCGTTGACTCCATCACAGAAGCTCTCCTTTGCAAGGCAGGTCCCATTGCCACAAGGCAGTTGCAGCTCTGGGAGGCAATGGCAGCTCGGAGTCTCATCGCTGTAGTCTGCACAGTCGGCCTCTCCATTGCAATGAAACCATCCAGGTATGCACTGCTTCTTGTTAGCACAGCGGAACTCATGCACTGCACACTCTGAATTGTCACAAATACTATTCAATGGGTGTTTTTTTACTTTAAATGTCCATATATTTACTTTTCTGGTGGTCCTCGGTGCCACGTCTCTTTAGGACAAACATAAACACTTTTGATTTTAATATATACATTCTAAGTAGAAAGAGAATCGATGTTAAAGTTACCGATATCACAGCCAATTTCATCTGATCCATCACTGCAGTCCGTTTCTCCATCACAAACAAACATTGAGTCCACACACAGCCTGCTCCTCCTGCATGTGAACTGAAATGGTGAACAAGCTGCAAGGAAAATGAGAAGCAATTATTAAACAATAGTTTATGTAACACGACTTATTTAAGCCTTGAATCAATTTCTCAACCAAATCAATTCCATACACCCATCCATCAAATTCACCATGGAAATGGAGAAGGATGGTAAGCTACCATTCCTGGATGTTTTATTTGAGATGAGACCTGATGGCTCGTTGGGACACTCTGTCTATAGGAAAGCCACCCACACAGATTTCTATCTGAAACCTGATTCCCACCACCATCCAGCACAGAAGAATTCCCTCATCAAAACACTACACCATAGGGCCCGCTGCATTTCCGACCAACACCACCTAGCCAGTGAACTGGAACACGTACACCAGGCCTTCAAGATGAATAGGTACTCGGACCGCATTATTTGCAAAGCTGTTTCTCCAACCATGGAGAAACAACCCCCTGAGAAGCCGATGAAAACCATCATGTTACCATACATAGCAGGTGTTACCAAAAATATTGACGAAATCTTAAACAAACACAAGATCCAGGTCCGATTCAATACAGTACACAAAATCCGTGATCTAATCCCATCTGTGAAGGATGTCATTCCTAATATGCAATATCCTGGAGTTTACAAACTGAGTTGTACCTGTGGTAGCAGTTACTTTGGGGAAACAAAATGACGTCTCGGACCGTGTCCGTGAACACAAGGCAGATCTGAAACACGGCAGAACCAATACCTCTGCCGTAGCTGACCATTGTTATAACGCTGTGGGCTCGCATGATATTGTTTTTTTCTGAGACCAAGGTACTCTGCAAACCTTCTGGCTACTATCAAAGGTTTGTTCATGAAGCCATGCAGAAAAATAAACAGACATAACTTCAACCGAGAAGATGGATACAAATTGAGCAATCATTGGAAGGATGTTATTAACCAGGTAAAATCGTAACTGCTTTATGGTTGTGTCTATCATATCTGCCGGGTACTAGTCTATTATTCCAAGTTAATTTCCCCCCCCCCCACATCCCCTCGGCCTCCCACTTCCAGCCCCACCCACTTCCCCCCCCAGCCTCACGTCCCCTCTCCTAGCGCTCACGCAGTGCCCGCCTATCCCACACCCCACCCTCTCTATCTATCCCCCCTTTCCCCTCCCCCCTTCTTACCTATATAAGCTCTTGCCAGGGCAGCTCTCTCTCCCACTTCAGCAAAAATATAAAATCTTGCTGTGATTTTCCCACCTGATGATGATTGCTTGTGTTGCTATCGAACCATCGTGATTTGTTTTATTTTAATTTATTTCTAACTACGTGACTTTACCGAAATAACCAAAGAGTATGATATACATTGTTTTCAATTGGAAAGACATTAAACTCACTACAGTTGGCCTCATCTGAGTAGTCCCCACAGTCGTTGACTCCATCACAGAAGCTCTCCTTTGCCAGGCAGGTCCCATTTCCACAAGGCAGCTGTTGGTCTGTGTGGCATTGACAGTTTGGAGTCTCATCGCTCTTGTCCATGCAGTCCGGCTCTCCATTGCAGTAAAACCGCCCAGAGATGCATTGCTTCTTGTTTGCACAACGGAACTCATTCACTGCACACTCTGGGTTGTCACATGATAGACAACTATTGGTGTTAGTTATTTTACTTCGAAAACCTTTCATGTATATATATTTTTTGGGAGTAATATGAGGTGTGTCTTTAAAGGACCATAATGAAGCATCATTTAAAAAAAGTTACAACAGTTATAAAAGCACATTGGTGATGAAAGGTACCTATATCACAGCCAATTTCATCGGATCCATCACTGCAGTCCGTTTCTCCATCGCAAACACACATTGAGTCCACACACAGCCTGCTGCTGCTGCACGTGAATTGGCTTGGAGAACAAGCTGCAAGACAAAAGTACGTGTAAATATTGATTGTTAGCAATGGTTTACCAAAAAAGTGCACTTTAGTCATATACATTGTTTTGTATTTTGATAGACATTTGACTCACTGCAGTTGGCCTCATCTGAGTAGTCCCCACAGTCGTTGACTCCATCACAGAAGCTCTCCTTTGCCAGGCAGGTCCCATTGCCACAAGGCAGTTGCAGCTCTGGGAGGCAATGGCAGCTCGGAGTCTCATCGCTGTAGTCTGCACAGTCGGCCTCTCCATTGCAATGAAACCATCCAGGTATGCACTGCTTCTTGTTAGCACAGCGGAACTCATGCACTGCACACTCTGAATTGTCACAAATACTATTCAATGGGTGTTTTTTTACTTTTAATGTCCATATATTTACTTTTCTGGTGGTCCTCGGAGCCACGTCTCTTTAGGATGAACATAAACACTTTTAATTTAATATATTCATTCTAAGTAGAAAGAGAATCGACGTTAAAGTTACCGATATCACAGCCAATTTCATCTGATCCATCACTGCAGTCCGTTTCTCCATCACAAACAAACATCGAGTCCAGACACAGCCTGCTGCTCCTGCATGTAAACTGAAATGGTGAACAAGCTGCAAGGAAAATGAGAAGCAATAATTAAACAATAGTTTATGTAACACGACTTATTTAAGCCTTGAACCAATTTCTCAACCACATCAATTCCATACACCCATCCATCAAATTCACCATGGAAGTGGAGAAGGATGGTAAGCTACCATTCCTGGATGTTTTAATTGAGAAGAGACGTGATGGCTCGTTGGGACACTCTGTCTATAGGAAAGCCACCCACACAGATTTATATCTGAAACCTGATTCCCACCACCATCCAGCACAGAATTCCTCATCAAAACACTGCACCATAGGGCCCCTGCATTTCCGACCAACACCACCTAGCCAGTGAACTGGAACACGTACACCAGGCCTTCAAGATGAATGGGTACTTGGACCGCATTATTCGCAAAGCTGTTTCTCCAACCATGGAGAAACAACCCCCTGAGAAGCCGATCAAAACCATCATGTTACCATACATAGCAGGTGTTACCAAAAATATTGACGAAATCTTCTTTGGTTCTTTCGGTAATGTCACGTAGAATGAGAATAAAATAATAAATTGATAAAATAAAATAACACAATAATATTCTCACGACGTTTCGGCCACAACACAAGCGGCCTTCATCAGGTGAAGGGGACGAGACTGTCTGGAGGACAGCGCTGGAGTGAGAAAGCCACGCTGAGATCACGACCTTTAAGCTGTGTGAGATGAAACAAAGCGCCTTGACAAAGGAATTCACATATAATTTAGCATTGAAATGGCTGAGTGATTAGCTTGTGACTGGTCACAGAAAAGGCTATGTAAAAGTTAAAGCATACACATCCGCAAAGGCACCCCTTGACAAAGGAATTAGCATAGAATTTAGCATTGAAATAGCTATGTTAAAGTATACACATCCGCAGAGGCACTCCTTGACAAAGGAATTAGCATAGAATTTAGCATTGAAATAGCTGAGTGATTAGCTTGTGACTGGTTACAGAAATAGCTATGATAAAGTCAGAGCATATACATTCACCGAGGCAACTAGTACAAATCAAACAGGAGAATTTAGCATTGAAATAACTAGGCGAATTTAGCATTGAAATAACTGAGTGATTAGCTTGTGACTAGTCACAGAAATGGCTATGTTGAAGTTAAGGCCTACACATCTGAGATATTCACAGTAACTGGGTATACCCATACAATATATAATGAATACTATATAGTGAACCAATAAAAAATACTAAAATATAAATTACCTCAATGTTATCAATAAACTCTATATTCTCCAATCAGCTAAGCTATCAACAATAAGTCATTATATATCACAATGCTATATGGTGAAAAATGGGTGGATTCTTACCCTCAACTTTAGCAACAAGGATAGCTACGGGTCCCGTTCAGACGGACGAGTTCATCCATGGTCGGAACAGAGGAGGGGGAGAGAGACAGCTGCGAGGCGCTGTTATACTCCATGTTGTAAACCATACCATTAACGGTGGTGTGAGAGGTATTAAGAGTCAATGCCAGCGAAAGAGCTGCGGTCTGAAGGTCATCGTAAAATACAATTAATTAAGAACGGAAATGGTTTAAAACATCTTTCCAATGGTTACTAAGCCAGAATCCATCTTCTCGATTGAAATTGTCTCTGTGCTTGTATATGTGAATGGCCTCATGAACGAATCTCTCATAGTAGCCGGTTGGTTTGCAAAGAACCTCCGTCTTGGAAAAGTCAATGTCATGTGAGTCCACTGAATTATAACAGTGATCTGCCACGGCAGAGGAGTTCGTTCTACCGTGTTTCAAGTCTGCTTTATGTTCGCGGATGCGGTCCGAGATATGTCGTTTGGTTTCTCCAATGTAGCTACTACCACAGAGGCACTTTAGTTTGTAAACGCCCGGGTACTGTATGTCTGGAACAGCATCTTTTACAGATGGAACTAGATCACGGATTGTATGTACTGTGTTGAATCGGACCTGGATCTTGTGTTTATTCAGGATTTTGGAGATCTTTTAGTGACCCCTGCAATATAGGGTAAGGTGATGGTTTTGAGTGGCTCCACAAGAGAATCCTTCTTCATGACTGGAGTGATGGCTTTGCGGATTGTGTAGTCGGAGTAACCATTAGCCCTGAGAGCCTGGTGTACGTGCTTGAGTTCACTGGTAATGTGTTCCTGGTCGGAAATGCATTGGGCTCTATGGTATAGAGTCTTGATGAGGGAGTTCTTCTGGGATGGATGGTGGTGGGAATCTGGTTTCAAGTAAGCATCTGTATGGGTAGCTTTCCTGTAGACAGACTGGCTCATTGAACCATCATGTCTCCTTTTAATTAAGACATCCAAAAAGGGTAGTTTGCCATCTTTTTCGACCTCCATGGTAAATCTGATGGCTGGGTGTATGGAATTGATGTGGTCGCGGAATTGGTCTAGAGCAGGCTGGCCATGTGGCCAGATGACAAAGGTGTCATCCACGTACCTCTTCCATAAGGTCGGGCGCAGAGTGGCAGTCTGGATGGCGTCAGTTTCAAATTTTTCCATGAATACGTTGGCTACAACCGGAGATAGGGGGGAGCCCATTGGGGTGCCCTCAGTTTGTTTGTAGAAAGTTCCATTCCAGGTGAAGTATGTGTTGGTTAAGCAATGTCTCACCAGGGGGGGTACATCAGTGTGCAGTCCTTGATGAACCAGGTCTTCAATGATAGCGATGGTGTCAGGTACCGGGACTTTGGTGAACAAAGACACCACATCAAAACTGACAAGCAGGTCGTCTGGGGACAGGGAAATGCCTTTGATTGTCGATACCAGGTGAGTAGAATTTAGTACCGCAGAGGTGTTTTTTCCAGTGAAAGGTCGCAGTATATCAGCAAGAAAACGTGCCAGTTTATAGGTGGGGGAGTTGATAGTAGAGACGATGGGACGAAGGGGTGTATCTTCTTTGTGTATCTTTGGAAGGCCATATAATCTTGGTGGTCTGGCAGCAGAGGGTTTCAACGAGAACTGTTTGGTATCATCAATTAATGCTGTTGAATCAGAGATGATTTTGTTCGTTTTGGTAACCAGGCTGTTGGTGGGATCTCTTTTTATTTTTGTATAGCTGCCATCGTTGAGTAGTTCTTGAATTTTGTTGTTATATTCTGTTTTGTCCATGATGACAGTGGCATTTCCCTTGTCGGCTGAGAGGACGACAATGTCATCTCTCTTTTTTAATTGAGATAATTCAAAACGTTCGTCTTTGCTGATGTTGCTGGGTGGCAACTTAGCGTTTTTGAGGGTTGCAGCGATTTCAGATCTTGCTACGTCTGCAGCGATGGGACTCAAGCCCTTGAGTGCAACGTCGACATGGGCAATGATATCATTAACCGGTAAGTGTCTCGGTGTGACAGCAAAGTTTAGACCTTTAGCTAAAACGGATTTCAGACCGTCAGAAATGGAACTGTTACTGCGATTAATTACGACTTTGTTGACGTCTATCTTTTCGGTGTGTGGATCCGATGTTTTGCTGGAGAGGTGATTGAATTTGGAAATCAAATTGTCCCTACATTTGGTCGACATAGTGGCAGCCGAAGAGGTAGTCATATTGTCTACATGTTCCCAATCCGATGTAGACATTGTTGCTGTCAATGTTAAGTGTGATTTGTAGAGTGTCTTGTCTAACTGATCGAGTTCGGTGCGTGTAAGTCTGATTTTTTCCGAGATAAGAGCGAAGCTAGATCTAGCTAGAATTCGTTTTGCATTGAGAGAAGTTGCAACAGCAGAGGTTAGTTAAAAAAGAGAGATGACATTGTCGTCCTCTCAGCCGACAAGGCAATTGCCACTGTTATCATGGACAAAACAGAAAATAACAACAAAATTCAAGAACTACTCAACGATGGCAGCTATACAAAAATAAAAAGAGATCCCACCAACAGCCTGGTTACCAAAACGAACAAAATCATCTCTGATTCAACAGCATTAATTGATGATACCAAACAGTTCTCGTTGAAACCCTCTGCTGCCAGACCACCAAGATTATATGGCCTTCCAAAGATACACAAAGAAGATACATCCCTTCGTCCCATCGTCTCTACTATCAACTCCCCCATTTATAAACTGGCACGTTTTCTTGCTGATATACTGCGACCTTTCACTGGAAAAAACACCTCTGCGGTACTAAATTCTACTCACCTGGTATCGACAATCAAAGGCATTTCCCTGTCCCCAGACGACCTGCTTGTCAGTTTTGATGTGGTGTCTTTGTTCACCAAAGTCCCGGTACCTGACACCATCGCTATCATTGAAGACCTGGTTCATCAAGGACTGCACACTGATGTACCCCCCCTGGTGAGACATTGCTTAACCAACACATACTTCACCTGGAATGGAACTTTCTACAAACAAACTGAGGGCACCCCAATGGGCTCCCCCCTATCTCCGGTTGTAGCCAACGTATTCATGGAAAAATTTGAAACTGATGCCATCCAGACTGCCACTCTACGCCCGACCTTATGGAAGAGGTACGTGGATGACACCTTTGTCATCTGGCCACATGGCCAGCCTGCTCTAGACCAATTCCGCGACCACATCAATTCCATACACCCAGCCATCAGATTTACCATGGAGGTCGAAAAAGATGGCAAACTACCCTTTTTGGATGTCTTAATTAAAAGGAGACATGATGGTTCAATGAGCCACTCTGTCTACAGGAAAGCTACCCATACAGATGCTTACTTGAAACCGGATTCCCACCACCATCCATTCCAGAAGAACTCCCTCATCAAGACTCTATACCAGTGGTTCTTAACCTTGTTGGAGGTACCGAACCCCACCAGTTTCATATGCGCATTCACCGAACCCCTCTTTAGTGAAAAATAAAATGTGATTTTTTTTCAAATTCAAGACATAGATATGTTTTTTACTGGTACACAAAATGAGCCGTGCATGAACATTACCTTGTTCAAAGAATAAAACCAACACAATGCATAAACTCACAACAAATTACATACCTGGAAATCAATGTGACTTCTGCTGTTGCCTTTGAGAGATCAGTTCAGATCTGCGTGGCTTCACCTTGGCAAGTGCCACTCTCATGTCATTTTCACAGCAAAGTCTGTTCCTTTTCTTCGTTTTTATGTCCAGCATCCTCGAAAAGGATTGCTCACAAAGATATGTTGTAACAAATGGTATAAAAAAAATCCAGGGCTTTCTTAGCAATAACTGGATACTTGTTCATTTGTCGACACCAAAACGTTGAGAGCGTTGTTGTTCTGAAGAGTTGCTGTTGAACCTGGCTCTGCTGAATTTCAATGATTTCGTCGAGGAATTCATCATTGACATCTGCTGTTTCAACAGCAAACGTGAACGGCTGTCTCACCCAAGCTGGATATGACTCTCTTGTAGGGAAATATCCGTCGAGAGACTTTGCAAGCTAATCTAAGTGCGTGGCAATTGTTTGCTTCAGTTCCGTGGATACAGAAATATCTCCGATTCCAGACACATCTTCGATCTTACTTGCACAGTCGTCCAGAAGCGGGAAGTTTGCGAAGTTATTGTTCTCTGTTCGTCGTTTCCATAACGGTAGCTTTTTTTGAAAAGCCTTCAGGTGTTCTTCCGCTTCCATGATATTGACTCCACCACCCTGCATCTGCTGATTGAGATGATTGAGAGCTGCGAATATATCAGCCATGTACGCTAAAATGAGAATGAACTCAGGATTTTTGAATCAATCTGCATGGCAGTGTTGGTGCTCTTGCAAAAACAGGGCTAATTCCACACGCATGGCAAAAACACGATTCAGCACCTGTCCCCGGGATAACCACCGAATATTAGAATGGAGCAGAAGTACCTCAAATTCAGAGCCCATTTCTTTACACAGCTCACTGAAGATGCGGTGCCTCAGAGCACTTTTTCGCACATAGTTCACACATTCCACCACAGTTTTTAATACTTCTGCCATTTTTGGAGGTAAGGTTTTTGTTGCCAACGCATGCCTGTGCAGAATACAATGCGTCACAATGATGTGTGGTGCATCGGCCTTTACTAGCGCACCAAAACCAGACTTTCTTCCCAGCATGACTGGAGCTCCGTCCGTACAAACTGCAGAAACCATATCCCATGAAAGATTGTTGTCTCTGAAGAAGTCATCCACAAGCTTCTTCACATCGGCTGCCTTCGTTGTTGTTGTAAGAGGCTTACAAAATAAAAACTCTTCTTTTATCATGCCGTCTTTCACATAGCGTACAAAAACAGCAAGCTGGCTTAGATCAGAAACGTCTGTGGTTTCGTCGAGTTGAAGGCTGAATTTTGCCGGACTTGAAATCAGATCCGCGACTACTTGAGCCAAGATGTCTTTACTCATGTCTTCTATTCTGTCACTGACGGTGTCATTTGAAAGGGGAATTTGGGATAATTTACCTTCGGCCGCTGTTCCGAGTATCAGATTCGCCATCTTTAATGCAGCTGGTTTCACAAGTGTTTCACCAATGGTGTGTGGCTTGCCCTGCTTTGCGATCAGGTAAGCAACTTCGTACGATGCTGTCAGGATCGGTTTGTTAACAGGTACAAATCCAAGAGCAGGCAGAGTGGCCCTTTCATCGAATCTGGCTCTCTTCACCCTGAATTCAGCAAGTGTTGTGTTCTTGTATTCCCCGTCTCCATGCAGCTTCAAGAAGTGTTCCTTTAGTTTTGCCGGTGCAAGACTAGAGTTGCTCAACTTGGCGTTGCAAATCATGCAGATAGGACGCTCACTCCCATCACGTTCCGTGATACATGAGAATCCATGTTGTACATATTCGTCCGACCACTTTCTTCTTTTGCCCGACATAGTTAGTATGGATAAAATATTAAAGAAATCACACGACGTACGACAACAACAGTCACACGTTGACTACTGAGTACGCACTAAATTCCCCGCAGCGCTGATTGGCCAAGCAGTGTAGCATGATCATCTGCAGCCAGTGATGGCCAAGCGGGCCGTGTGTGTCATCACAAATTTACACAATAATTCAAGTGTGTCCGGACCTCCGTGGCGGGGGCTCTGCCGAACCCCTGAGATCGACTCACCGAACCCCTGGGGTTCGATCGAACCCAGGTTAAGAACCACTGCTCTATACCATAGAGCCCAATGCATTTCCGACCAGGAACACATTACCAGTGAACTCAAGCACGTACACCAGGCTCTCAGGGCTAATGGTTACTCCAACTACACAATCCGCAAAGCCATCACTCCAGTCATGAAGAAGGATCCTCTTGTGGAGCCACTCAAAACCATCACCTTACCCTACATTGCAGGGGTCACTAAAAAGATCTCCAAAATCCTGAATAAACACAAGATCCAGGTGCGATTCAACACAGTACATAAAATCCGTGATCTAGTTCCATCTGTAAAAGATGCTGTTCCAGACATACAGTACCCGGGCGTTTACAAACTAAAGTGCCTCTGTGGTAGTAGCTACATTGGAGAAACCAAACGACATATCTCGGACCGCATCCGCGAACATAAAGCAGACTTGAAACACGGTAGAACGAACTCCTCTGCCGTGGCAGATCACTGTTATAATTCAGTGGACTCACATGACATTGACTTTTCCAAGACGGAGGTTCTTTGCAAACCAACCGGCTACCATGAGAGATTCGTTCATGAGGCCATTCACATATACAAGCACAGAGACAATTTCAATCGAGAAGATGGATTCTGGCTTAGTAACCATTGGAAAGATGTTTTAAACCATTTCCGTTCTTAATTAATTGTATTTTACGATGACCTTCAGACCGCAGCTCTTTCGCTGGCATTGACTCTTAATACCTCTCACACCACCGTTAATGGTATGGTTTACAACATGGAGTATAACAGCGCCTCGCAGCTGTCTCTCTCCCCCTCCTCTGTTCCGACCATGGATGAACTCGTCCGTCTGAACGGGACCCGTAGCTATCCGTGTTGCTAAAGTTGAGGGTAAGAATCCACCCATTTTTCACCATATAGCATTGTGATATATAACGACTTATTGTTGGTAGCTTAGCTGATTGGAGAATATAGAGTTTATTGATAACATTGAGGTAATTTATATTTTAGTATTTTTTATTGGTTCACTATATAGTATTTATTATATATTGTATTGTATACCCAGTTACTGTGAATAGCTCAGATGTGTAGGCCTTAACTTCAACATAGCCATTTCTGTGACTAGTCACAAGCTAATCACTCAGTTATTTCAATGCTAAATTCGCCTAGTTATTTCAATGCTAAATTCTCCTGTTTGATTTGTACTAGTTGCCTCGGTGAATGTATATGCTCTGACTTTAACATAGCTATTTCTGTGACCAGTCACAAGCTAATCACTCAGCTATTTCAATGCTAAATTCTATGCTAATTCCTTTGTCAAGGAGTGCCTCTGCGGATGTGTATACTTTAACTTAGCTATTTCAATGCTAAATTCTATGCTAATTCCTTTGTCAAGGGGTGCCTTTGCGGATATGTATGCTTTAACTTTTACATAGCCTTTTCTGTGACCAGTCACAAGCTAATCACTCAGCCATTTCAATGCTAAATTATATGCTAATTCCTTTGTTAAGGCGCTTTGTTTCTTCTCACACAGCTTAAAGGTCGTGATCTCAGCGTGGCTTTCTCACTCCAGCGCTGTCCTCCAGACAGTCTCGTCCCCGTCACCTGATGAAGGCTGCTTGTGTTGTGGCCGAAACGTCGTGAGAATATTATTGTGTTATTTTATGTTATTAATTTATTATTTTATTCTCATTCTACGTGACTTTACCGAAAGAACCAAAGAAGATGAATCCTTGCAGTCACGAAAGCTTTAAATCGAAATATTGATGAAATCTTAAACAAACACAAGATCCAGGTCCGATTCAATACAGTACACAAAATCCGTGATCTAATCCCATCCGTGAAGGATGTCATTCCTGATATGCAATATCCTGGAGTTTAAAAACTGAGTTGTACCTGTGGTAGCAGTTACTTTGGGGAAACAAAACGACATGTCTCGGACCGTGTCCGCGTACACAAGGCAGATCTAAAACATGGCAGAACCAATACCTCTGCCGTAGCTGACAATTGTCATAACGCTGTGGGCTCGCATGATATTGTTTTTTCCGAGACCAAGGTAATCTGCAAACCTTCTGGCTACTATCAAAGGTTTGTTCATGAAGCCATGCAGAAAAATAAACAGACATAACTTCAACCGAGAAGATTGATACAAATTGAGCAATCATTGGAAGGATGTTATTAACCAGGTAAAATCGTAACTGCTTTATGGTTGTGTCTATCATATCTGCCAGGTACTAGTCTATTTTTCCGAGTTAATTTCCCCCCCGCATCCCCTCGGCCTCCCACTTCCAGCCCCACCCACTTCCCCCCCCAGCCTCACGTCCCCTCTCCTAGCGCTCACGCAGCGCCCCCTACCCCACACCCCCCCCCCCTCTCTCTCTCCCCCCTTGCCCCTCCCCCCTTCTTACCTATATAAGCTCTTGCCATGGCAGCTCTCTCTCCCACTTCAGCAAAAAAAAAAATCTTGCTGTGGTTTTCCCACCTGATGATGATTGCTTGTGTTGCTATCGAAACGTCGTGATTTGTTTTATTTTAATTTATTTCTAACTACGTGACTTTACCGAAAGAACCAAAGAGTATGATATACATTGTTTTCAATTGGAAAGACATTAAACTCACTGCAGTTGGCCTCATCTGAGTAGTCCCCACAGTCGTTGACTCCATCACAGAAGCTCTTCTTTGCCAGGCAGGTCCCATTTCCACAAGGCAGCTGTTGGTCTGTGTGGCACTGACAGTTTGGAGTCTCATCGCTCTTGTCCATGCAGTCCGGCTCCCCATTGCAGTAAAACCGCCCAGAGATGCATTGCTTCTTGTTTGCACAACGGAACTCATTCACTGCACACTCTGGGTTGTCACATGATAGACAACTATTGGTGTTAGTTATTTTACTTCGAAAACCTTTCATGTATATATTTTGTTGGGAGTAATATGAGGTGTGTCTTTAAAGGACCATAATGAAGCATCATTTTCAAAAATTACAACAGTTATAAAAGCACATTGGTGATGAAAGGTACCTATATCACAGCCAATTTCATCGGATCCATCACTGCAGTCCGTTTCTCCATCGCAAACAAACATCGAGTCCACACACAGCCTGCTGCTCCTGCACGTGAATTGGCTTGGAGAACAAGCTGCAAGACAAAAGCACGTGTAAATATTGATTGTAAGCAATGGTTTACCAAAAACGTGCACTTTAGTCATATACATTGTTTTGTATTTTGATAGACATTTGACTCACTGCAATTGGCCTCATCTGAGTAGTCCCCACAGTCATTGACTCCATCACAGAAGCTCTCCTTTGCCAGGCAGGTCCCATTGCCACAAGGAAGTTGCAGCTCTGGGAGGCAACGGCAGCTGGGAGTCTCATCGCTCTGGTCTGCACAGTCAGCCTCTCCATTGCAATAAAACCATCCAGGTATGCACTGCTTCTTGTTAGCACAGCGGAACTCATGCACTGCACACTCTGAATTATTACAAATACAAGTTGTTCTGCCTCACGGCAGGTGTTTTCCTCACGGCAGGTGTGGGGGAGTGTGTACACAGGAATTTCCTGTTTTGAGGTTGAGTTTGGTCACGTGACCAGGAAGTTACGATTTAAGATTCCCTCTCCACCACGCGGGAGGGTGTCAGCCGTTACACAGAGTACAAAATGGAGGCACAAATAACGTCTCCGTGAAGACAGGTGTATCTGTTCATTGTGGGACTTTAAGACGCATTGTCTGTAAATTCGTTTGTTCTTATAATACTGGGAATGCTGGTATAATGTTAGAATGGCCGTTATAATGCTGTAAATGCCTTTATAATGATGTTAAATTGTTATGATAAATATGAGGCCTAGTTAACAACGAAACCTGCCACTTGCCTTATTGTGAATCTTACTTGTAATTGAATAAGTAAAGTCAGACTTGTACCCATGTAACCTTATTGGGGTCTTGAGAGCAAGGATGACGAAATATCTCATGCACAGTTCAGTGTTATGTGCAGTGCTGTACATTTAGGCTGCAGCATGGTGATCACACGATGTGCCCTTAACACAGCAGCTTATTCTCTTGTATAGCTATTCAGTACTAATGTAGGTGCCTGATCCATCCAGGATCTATTGTTGAGTTTCATGTTATCTAAGACAATGTTATGATGCTGTAGTGTTCATTGTATTGTATTTGTGCTGTGTTTCCATCATTTTGACCTCGTTCAATTCATTACGTTTGGAATCGGATATTCACCCTGTCTCTGAAGGTTTATTGAATGCAAGGTTACCTACTTGGATAATGGTGCAACGCAGCGCACAGCGAGGCCGAGACACAAGTTAATGTGACTTTACCGAAAGAACCAAAGAGTACGTTAATGGGTGTTTATTTTTACTTATAACGTCCATATAAATACTTTTCTGGTGCTACTCAAGAGCTACGTTTCTTTAGGACGAAGATAAACACGTTTCATTTTAATATATTCATTCAAAGCAATCGATGTTAAAGTTACCGATATCGCAGCCAATTTCATCTGATCCATCACTGCAGTCCGTTTCTCCATCACAAACAAACATCGAGTCCACGCACAGCCTGCTGCTCCTGCATGTGAACTGAATTTGTGAACAAGCTGCAAGGAAAATGAGAAGCAATTATTAAACGATAGTTTATGTAACACGACTGATTTAAGTGATATACATTGTTTTCAATTGGAAAGACATTAAACTCACTGCAATTGGCCTCATCTGAGTAGTCCCCACAGTCGTTGACTCCATCACAGAAGCTCTCCTTTGCCAGGCAGGTCCCGTTCCCACAAGGCAGCTGTTGGTCTGTGTGGCACTGGCAGTTCGGAGTCTCATCGCTCTTGTCCATGCAGTCCGGCTCCCCATTGCAATAAAACCGCCCAGAGATGCATTGCTTCTTGTTTGCACAACGGAACTCATTCACTGCACACTCTGGGTTGTCACATGATAGACAACTATTGGTGTTAGTTTTTTTACTTCGAAAATCTTTCACGTGTATATTTTGTTGGGAGTAATATGAGGTGTGTCTTTAAAGGACCATAATGAAGCATCATTTTCAAAAATTACAACAGTTATAAAAACACATTCGTGATGAAAGGTACCTATATCACAGCCGATTTCATCGGATCCATCACTGCAGTCTGTTTCTCCATCACAAACAAACGTCGAGTCCACACACAGCCTGCTGCTCCTGCATGTGAATTGGCTTGGAGAGCAAGCTGCAAGACAAAAGCACGTGTAAATATCGATTTTAACCAATAGTTAACCAAAGAAGTACATTTAATTCATATACATTGTTTTATATTTTGATAGACATTTGACTCACTGCAGTTGGCCTCATCTGAGTAGTCCCCACAGTCGTTGACTCCATTGCAGAAGCTCTCCTTTGCCAGGCAGGTCCCATTGCCACAAGGCATTTGCAGGTTTTGGAGGCAATGGCAACTGGGAGTCTCATCGCTCTGGTCTGCACAGTCGGCCTCTCCATTGCAATAAAACCATCCAGGTATGCACTGCTTCTTGTTAGCACAGCGGAACTCAGGCACTGCACACTCTGGGTTGTCAGAAATATACAATTGATGTTTGTTTTTAGACTTTGAATGTCAATGTAGTTACTTTGCTGGTGGTATTAGGAACTCTGTCTCTTTATGATGAGGATAAATCACTTTTAATTTTAATATATTTATAATGATGATAAACAAAAATCAACATGAAGGTTACCGATATCGCAGCCAATTTCATCTGATCCATCATTGCAGTCCGTTTCTCCATCACAAACAAATATCGAGTCAACACACAGCCTGCTGCTCCTGCATGTGAACTGAAATGGTGAACACGCTGCAAGGAAAAAGAGAAGCAATTATTAAAAAATAGTTTATGTAACGACTTATTTATGCCTTAAACCAATTTCTCAACCACATCAATTCCATACACCCATCCATCAAATTCACCATGGAAGTAGAGAAGAATGGTAAGCTACCATTCCTGGATGTTTTATTTGAGAAGAGACCTGACGGCTCGTTGGGACACTGTCTATAGGAAAGCCACCCACACAGATTTCTATCTGAAACCTGATTCCCACCACCATCCGGCACAGAAGAATTCCCTCATCAAAACACTACACCATAGGGCCCGCTGCATTTCCGACCAACACCACCTAGCCAGTGAACTGGAACACGTACACCAGGCCTTCAAGATGAATGAGTACTCGGACTGCATTATTCGCAAAGCTGTTTCTCCAACTATGGAGAAACAACCCCCTGAGAAGCCGATCAAAACCATCATGTTACCATACATAGCAGGTGTTACCAAAAATATTGACGAAATCTTAAACAAACACAAGATCCAGGTCCGATTCAATACAGTACACAAAATCCGTGATCTAATCCCATCTGTGAAGGATGTCATTCCTGATATGCAATATCCGGGAGTTTGCAAACTGAGTTGTACCTGTGGTAGCAGTTACTTTGGGGAAACAAAACGGCATGTCTCGGACCGCGATCACAAGGCAGATCTGAAACACGGCATAACCAATACCTCTGTCATGACTGACCATTATTATAACGTTGTAGGCTTGCATGATATTGTTTTTCCGAGAGCAAGGTACTCTGCAAACCTTCTGGCTACTATCAAAGGTTTGTTCATGAAGCCATCCAGATATATAAACATAGACATAACTTCAACTGAGAAGATGGATACAAATTGAGCAATCATTGGAAGGATGTTCTTAACCAGGTAAAATCGTAACTGCTTTACGGTTGTGTCGTTCATATCTGCCGGGTACTAGTCTATTTTTCCGAGTTCATTTCCCCCTGACATCCCCAGCTTTCTCGGCCTCCCACTTCCATCCCCGCCCACTTCCCCCCCAGCCTCACATCCCCTCTCCTAGTGCTCACGCAGCGCCCCCTACCCCACACCCCCCACCCTCTCTCTCTCCCCCCTTGCCCCTTCTCCTTCTTACCTATATAACCTTTTGCCACGGCAGCTCTCTCCCACTTCAGCAAAAAAAAATATTGCTTATGGTTTTCCCACCTGATTGCTTGTATTGCAATCGAAATGTCGTGATTTGTTTCATTTTAATTTATTTCTATGTGACTTTACCGAAAGAACCAAAGAGTATAATATATACATTGTTATCAATTGGAAAGACATTAAACTCACTGCAATTGGCCTCATCTGAGTAGTCCCCACAGTCGTTGACTCCATCACAGAAGCTCTCCTTTGCCAGGCAGGTCCCATTGCCACAAGGCAGCTGTTGGTCTGTGTGGCACTGACATTTTGGAGTCTCATCGCTTTTGTCCATGCAGTCCGGCTCCCCATTGCAGTAAAACCGCCCAGAGATGCATTGCTTCTTGTTTGCACAACGGAACTCATTCACTGCACACTCTGGGTTGTCACATGATAGACAACTATTGGTGTTAGTTATTTTACTTCGAAAACCTTTCATGTATTTATTTTGTTGGGAGTAATATGAGGTGTGTCTTTAAAGGACCATAATGATGATCATTTTAAAAAATTACAACAGTTATAAAAGCACATTGTTGATGAAAGGTACCTATATCACAGCCAGTTTCATCGGATCCATCACTGCAGTCCGTTTCTCCATCGCAAACAAACATCGAGTCCACACACAGCCTGCTGCTCCTGCACGTGAATTGGCTTGGAGAACAAGCTGCAAGACAAAAGCACGTGTAAATATTGATTGTAAGCAATTGGTTTACCAAAAAAGTGCACTTTAGTCATATACATTGTTTTGTATTTTGATAGACATTTGACTCACTGCAATTGGCCTCATCTGAGTAGTCCCCACAGTCATTGACTCCATCACAGAAGCTCTCCTTTGCCAGGCAGGTCCCATTGCCACAAGGAAGTTGCAGCTCTGGGAGGCAATGGCAGCTGGGAGTCTCATCGCTCTGGTCTGCACAGTCAGCCTCTCCATTGCAATAAAACCATCCAGGTATGCACTGCTTCTTGTTAGCACAGCGGAACTCATGCACTGCACACTCTGAATTATTACAAATACAAGTTGTTCTGCCTCACGGCAGGTGTTTGCCTCACGGCAGGTGTGGGGGTGTGTGTACACAGGAATTTCCTGTTTTGAGGTTGAGTTTGGTCACGTGACCAGGAAGTTACGATTTAAGATTCCCTCTCCACCACGCGGGAGGGTGTCAGCCGTTACACAGAGTACAAAATGGAGGCACAAATAACGTCTCCGTGAAGACAGGTGTATCTGTTCATTGTGGGACTTTAAGACGCATTGTCTGTAAATTCGTTTGTTCTTATAATACTGGGAATGCTGATATAATGTTAGAATGGCTGTTATGCTGTAAATGCCTTTATAATGTTAAATTGTTATGATAAATATGAGGCCTAGTTAACAACGAAGCCTGCCACTTGCCTTATTGTGAATCTTACTTGTAATTGAATGAGTCGAGTCAAATTTGTGCCCATGTAACCTTATTGCGATCTTGAGAGCAAGGATGATGAAATATCTCATGGACAGTTCAGTGTTACGTGCAGTGCTGTACATTTAGGCTGCAGCATGGTGATCACACTGTGCCCTTAACACAGCAGCTTATTCTCTTGTATAGCTATTCAGTACTAATGTAGGTGCCTGATCCATCCAGTATCTATTTTTGTGTTTCATGTTATCTAAGACAATGTTATGATGCTGTAGTATTCATTGTATTGATATTTCCAAGTATTAACAGATGCTGTATTTGTGCTGTGTTTTTCCATCAGTTTTACCTCGTTCAATTCATTAAATACGTTTGGAGTCGGATATTCACCCGAGATCTGAAGGTTTATTGAATGCGAGGTTATCTACTCGGATAGTGGTGCAACGCAGCGCACAGCTAGGCCGAGACACAAGTTAATGTGACTTTACCGAAAGAACCAAAGAGTAAGTTAATGGGTGTTTATTTTTACTTCTAACATCCATATATATACTTTTCTGGTGGTACTCAAGAGCAACCTTTCTTTAGGACGAACATAAACACGTTTCATTTTTATATATTAATTCTAAGAAGAAAAGCAATCGATGTTAAAGTTACCGATATCGCAGCCAATTTCATCTGATCCATCAATGCAGTCCGTTTCTCCATCACAAACAAACATCGAGTCCACACACAGCCTGCTGCTCCTGCACGTGAATTGGTTTGGAGAGCAAGCTGCATGAAAAAAGCACGTGTAAATATTGATTGTAAGCAATGGTTTAACAAAGAAGTACACTTTATTTATTTACATTTTGTATTTTTGTAGACATTTGACTCACTGCAGTTGGCCTCATCTGAGTAGTCCCCACAGTCATTGATTCCATCACAGAAGCTTTCCTTTGCCAGGCAGGTCCCATTGCCACAAGGCAGTTGCAGCTCTGGGAGGCAATGGCAGCTGGGGGTCTCATCGCTGTGGTCTGGACAGTCGGGCTCCTCATCACAGTAAAGGCGTCCAGGGATGCACTGCCTCTTATTGGCACAACGGAACTCACTGTTTGAACACTCTGGTAGGACAAGGATGAACGGATACAAATGTGGGAAATGTTACACTTTTACATTATTTGTGCTTAATTTGGTTTTTGCATCTGTCCAATTTACTTAATGGAATGTAAATTGTCAGATTTCTCGATAAAATGCATCCATGTGTAATCAGTGGCTCTGACATGGCAGAACTTTATTTATTTATTAAAGGTTCTTCACAGCCACGACTCTAGTTACACGGATGCCGTTGTTCGTTCTTTGTGTGATTGCGCTGCCACGCGCCACGTGGCGCTTGCCCCGCTCTCCACCGCACTGCTGGCTGGCGGTGTGCTGAGAAGCGGCTGAGCGGCTGGAGGTCGAGCCGCCAGGTGGAGATGGCGGGGCAGCAGCGACGGGGAGCGCCGAACCTTCCGCTGCTCCTCGCTTATATTCTTTTTGCCGAGGCTAAGCCCCGCCTCTGGCCACGCCCCCCTAGAAACCTTAGAGAATGTTCCCGAGGCTTCCATGCTAGCTCTGCCCGTTAACCTTTCCCCCAGATAGAACCCCACTACTGATAAGCCATGGACTGTGACAGTATGTAAAGTGTAACCCATCAATTATGCAGGAGATGGTGCTCTCTTATTACACATGTTTAGGTTACCAACTGGTAGTTAATAGAGTTATTCAGTAAACAAACCTCTTTCACAGTTGTTTTCATCAGATCCATCACTACAGTCAGTTTCTCCATCGCAGACGTAGAGTGGGTCCAAACATTCGGTGTTACTGTTATTGCATTTGTACTGATTCGGAGTGCAAGCTGCAAAAACAATGTCAATTAATACCTTCCTATAAATGATACAGATTTTTTCATTGAGATATGGAATTGATAACTTAAAGTATACATCCCGTACTCTTTGGTTCTATTCGGTAAAGTCACGTAGGTAAAAAATAAACCAAACAAAAATCACGACGTTTCGGCCACAACACAACTGGCCTTCAGGTGAAGGAACAGAATTGTCGGGACGACAGCACTTCAATGACCGCTGCTAAGATTCACAGCGTCTTTTAAGCTCGGTGGGAGGAGCAGGTCGCCTTGACAAAGGAGTTACATATCAAAAATAGCTGTGTTAAAGTGTTGAAACAGCAGGGTGTTAAAGTCAGAAAATTAGCATGTAACTGGGGGATTAGCATGTTTTTGTTGTGTAGAGGGTGCGGAGGATGGGTCACTGTGAAATAGAAACGGAAAAATTAAAGATTGGCAAGAATGTGCTGTGAGGGGAGAGTAGAAAAAAGGGTTTAATAGAAAGTTTGGAAAGAATTTGCTTGGTATACCATTACTTGAAATTGCTGTTAGAAATTAGTTGACGTTTGGTATGATTTAAAATGTCTTTCCAATGGTTGCTTAATTTGAAACCATCCTCTCGGTTGAAGTTATGTCTGTGTTTGTATATCTGAATGGCTTCGTGGACAAATATACGTCCCATGTTATAACTCACTGCAGTTGCTTTCATCTGAATAGTCTCCACAGTCGTTGACTCCATCACACATGAACACTATTCCAAGGCAGGTTCCATTGGCACAACGGATTTGGTCTGAGTGGCATTGGCAATTTGGAGTCTCATCACTCTGGTCTGCACAGTCGGGCTCCCCATCACAGTAAAGATGTCCAGGGATGCAATGCTTCTTATCGGCACAGCGGAACTCACTGTCGGAACACTCTGGGATGACAACGATAAAAGGTTAAATATTGGTGACATTTTATAGTTTGACAATTATGAATTTGTGCTGAATTTGCCCTAGCCGCTGTCCAAGTTACTTTATGGAATGCAAATTGACAGATATTTAGATAAAACGCATCCGTCTTTAGGTTATATATTGGCAGTTAATAGAGTAATTCAGTAAACAAACCTCTTTCACAGTTGATTTCATCAGATCCATCACTACAGTCAGTTTCTCCATCGCAGACGTAGAGTGGGTCCAAACATTCGGTGTTACTGTTATTGCATTTGTACTGATTCGGAGTGCAAGCTGCAAAAAACAATGTCAATTAATACCTTCCTATAAATGGTACCGATTTTTTCATTGAGATATGGAATTCTTAACTTAAAGTATACGTCCCATGTTTTAACTCACTGCAGTTGCTTTCGTCTGAATAGTCTCCACAGTCGTTGACTCCATCACACACGAACACTATTCCAAGGCAGCTTCCATTGGCACAACGGATTTGATCTGAGCGGCATTGGCAGTTTGGAGTCTCATCACTCTGATCTGTACAGTCGGGCTCCCCATCACAGTAAAGATGTCCACGGATGCAATGCTTATCGGCACAGCGGAACTCACTGTCGGAACACTCTGGGATGACAACGATAAAGGTGAAATATTGGTGACATTTTATACTTTGACAATTATGAATTTGTGCTGAATTTGCCCTAGCCGTTGTCCAAGTTACTTTATGGAATGCAAATTGACAGATATTTAGATAAAACGCATCCGTCTTTAGGTTATCTATTGGCAGTTAATAGAGTAATTCAGTAAACAAACCTCTTTCACAGTTGCTTTCATCAGATCCATCACTACAGTCAGTTTCTCCATCGCAGACGTAGAGTGGGTCCAAACATTCGGTGTTACTGTTATTGCATTTGTAGTGATTCGGAGTGCAAGCTGCAAAAAAAATGTCAATTAATACCTTCCTATAAATTATACAGATTTTTTCATTGAGATATCGAATTCTTAACTTAAAGTATACGATCTCCAAAATCTTGAATAAACACAAGATCCAGGTCCATTTCAACACATTACGTAAAATCCGAGATCTGGTTCCGTCTGTAAAATATGTGATTCCGGACATACAGTACCCTGATGTCTACAAACTAAGTTGCCTCTGTGGTAGTAGTTACATTGGAGAAACCAAACGCCATGTCTTGGACCACATTTGTGAACACAAAGCAGACCTTAAACACGGTAGGGCCAACACCCCGGCCGTGGCAGATCATTGTTATAATTCAGTAGGCTCACATGACATTGACTTCTCCAAGACAGAGGTTCTTTGTAAGCCATCTGGCTACCATGAGAGATTCGTTCATGAGGCTATCCACATATACAAGCACAGAGACAATTTCAACCGGGAAGATGGATTCTGGTTTAGCAATCATTGGAAGGATTTGATAAACCATTTCAGGTCTTAATTGATTGTTCACGCTTACGGTGGCTTTCAGACAGCATACATTAATTTTTCGTCTCCCCCCTCCTCTTTTCAGAACATAGATGGACTCGTCCTTCTAAATAAACTGCCAAATCGCTGCCCGTGGTGCTAACGTTTTTTTATAAATAAGTAAATATACAGTTTAAAAAGAAATAAATGGAAACCGCCACTTCTTTCAAATGTTTCTTGCCGTTGGTTTTTCACACCTGATGATGACCGTTTGTGTTATGGTCGAAACGTCGTGAGAATTTGTATTGTTTTATATATATTTTATTATTTTATTGTTTCCCTTCAACGTGACTTTACTGAAAGAGCTAAGAATATGAATATTAATGTATACGTCCCATGTTTTAACTCACTGCATTTGCTTTCGTCTGAATAGTCTCCACAGTCGTTGACTCCATCACACATGAACACTATTCCAAGGCAGCTTCCATTGGCACAACGGATTTGGTCTGAGCGGCATTGGCAGTTTGGAGTCTCATCACTCTGGTCTGCACAGTCAGGCTCCCCATCACAGTAAAGATGTCCAGGGATGCAATGCTTCTTATCGGCACAGCGGAACTCACTGTTGGAACACTCTGGGATGACAACGATAAAAGGTTAAATATTGGTGACATTTTATACTTTGACAATTATGAATTTGTGCTGAATTTGCCCTAGCCGCTGTCCAAGTTACTTTATGGAATGCAAATTGACAGATATTTAGATAAAACGCATCCGTCTTTAGGTTATCTATTGGCAGTTAATAGAGTAATTCAGTAAACAAACCTCTTTCACAGTTGCTTTCATCAGATCCATCACTACAGTCAGTTTCTCCATCGCAGACGTAGAGTGGGTCCAAACATTCGGTGTTACTGTTATTGCATTTGTATTGATTCGGAGTGCAAGCTGCAAAAAAAAATGTCAATTAATACCTTCCTATAAATGATACAGATTTTTTCATTGAGATATGGAATTCTTAACTTAAAGTATACGATCTCCAAAATCTTGAATAAACACAAGATCCAGGTCCATTTCAACACATTACGTAAAATCCGAGATCTGGTTCGTCTGTAAAATATGTGATTCCGGACATACAGTACCCTGATGTTTACAAACTAAGTTGCCTCTGTGGTAGTAGTTACATTGGAGAAACCAAACGCCATGTCTTGGACCACATTCGTGAACACAAAGCAGACCTTAAACACGGTAGTACCAACACCCCGGCCGTGGCAGATCATTGTTATAATTCAGTAGGCTCACATGACATTGACTTCTCCAAGACAGAGGTTCTTTGTAAGCCATCTGGCTACCATGAGAGATTCGTTCATGAGGCTATCCACATATACAAGCACAGAGACAATTTCAACCGGGAAGATGGATTCTGGTTTAGCAATCATTGGAAGGATTTGATAAACCATTTCAGGTCTTAATTGATTGTTCACGCTTACAGTGGCTTTCAGACAGCATACATTAATTTTTCGGCTCCCCCCTCCTCTTTACAGAACATAGATGGACTCTTCCTTCTAAATGAACTGCCAAATCGCTGCCCGTGGTGCTAACGTTTTTATAAATGAGTAAGTAAATACACCGTTTAAAAAGAAATAAATGCAAACCGCCACTTCTTTCAAATGTTTCTTGCCGTTGGTTTTTCACACCTGATGATGACCGTTTGTGTTATGGTCGAAACGTCGTGAGAATTTATATTGTTTCATACATATTTTATTATTTTATTGTTTCCCTTCAACGTGACTTTACTGAAAGAGCTAAGAATATGAATATTAAAGTATACGTCCCATGTTTTAACTCACTGCAGTTGCTTTCGTCTGAATAGTCTCCACAGTCGTTGACTCCATCACACACGAACACTATTCCAAGGCAGGTTCCATTGGCACAACGGATTTGGTCTGAGCGGCATTGGCAGTTTGGAGTCTCATCACTCTGGTCTGCACAGTCGGGCTCCCCATCACAGTAAAGGTGTCCAGGGATGCAATGCTTCTTATCGGCACAGCGGAACTCACTGTTGGAACACTCTGGGATGACAACGATAAAAGGTTAAATATTGGTGACATTTTATACTTTGACAATTATGAATTTGTGCTGAATTTGCCCTAGCCGCTGTCCAAGTTACTTTATGGAATGCAAATTGACAGATATTTAGATAAAACGCATCCGTCTTTAGGTTATCTATTGGCAGTTAATAGAGTAATTCAGTAAACAAACCTCTTTCACAGTTGCTTTCATCAGATCCATCACTACAGTCATTTTCTCCATCGCAGACGTAGAGTGGGTCCAAACATTCGGTGTTACTGTTATTGCATTTGTATTGATTCGGAGTGCAAGCTGCAAAAAAAATGTCAATTAATACCTTCCTATAAGTTATACAGATTTTTTCATTGAGATATGGAATTCTTAACTTAAAGTATACGATCTCCAAAATCTTGAATAAACACAAGATCCAGGTCCATTTCAACACATTACGTAAAATCCGAGATCTGGTTCCGTCTGTAAAATATGTGATTCCGGACATACAGTACCCTGATGTTTACAAACTAAGTTGCCTCTGTGGTAGTAGTTACATTGGAGAAACCAAACGCCATGTCTTGGACCACATTCGTGAACACAAAGCAGACCTTAAACACGGTAGTACCAACACCCCGGCCGTGGCAGATCATTGTTATAATTCAGTAGGCTCACATGACATTGACTTCTCCAAGACAGAGGTTCTTTGTAAGCCATCTGGCTACCATGAGAGATTCGTTCATGAGGCTATCCACATATGCAAGTACAGAGACAATTTCAACCGAGAAGATGGATTCTGGCTTAGCAATCATTGGAAGGATTTCATAAACCATTTCAGGTCTTAATTGATTGTTCACGCTTACGGTGGCTTTCAGACAGCATACATTAATTTTTCGGCTCCCCCCTCCTCTTTACAGAACATAGATGGACTCTTCCTTCTAAATGAACTGCCAAATCGCTGCCCGTGGTGCTAACGTTTTTATAAATGAGTAAGTAAATACACCGTTTAAAAAGAAATAAATGCAAACCGCCACTTCTTTCAAATGTTTCTTGCCGTTGGGTTTTCACACCTGATGATGACCGTTTGTGTTATGGTCGAAACGTCGTGAGAATTTATATTGTTTCATACATATTTTATTATTTTATTGTTTCCCTTCAACGTGACTTTACTGAAAGAGCTAAGAATATGAATATTAAAGTATATGTCCCATGTTTTAACTCACTGCAGTTGCTTTCGTCTGAATAGTCTCCACAGTCGTTGACTCCATCACACACGAACACTATTCCAAGGCAGATTCCATTGGCACAACGGATTTGGTCTGAGCGGCATTGGCAGTTTGGAGTCTCATCACTCTGGTCTGCACAGTCGGGCTCCCCATCACAGTAAAGGTGTCCAGGGATGCAATGCTTCTTATCGGCACAGCGGAACTCACTGTTGGAACACTCTGGGATGACAACGATAAAAGGTTAAATATTGGTGACATTTTATACTTTGACAATTATGAATTTGTGCTGAATTTGCCCTAGCCGCTGTCCAAGTTACTTTATGGAATGCAAATTGACAGATATTTAGATAAAACACATCCGTCTTTAGGTTATCTATTGGCAGTTAATAGAGTAATTCAGTAAACAAACCTCTTTCACAGTTGCTTTCATCAGATCCATCACTACAGTCATTTTCTCCATCGCAGACGTAGAGTGGGTCCAAACATTCGGTGTTACTGTTATTGCATTTGTATTGATTCGGAGTGCAAGCTGCAAAAAACAATGTCAATTAATACCTTCCTATAAATGATACCGATTTTTTCATTGAGATATGGAATTCTTAACTTAAAGTATACGTCCCATGTTTTAACTCACTGCAGTTGCTTTCGTCTGAATAGTCTCCACAGTCGTTGACTCCATCACACACGAACACTATTCCAAGGCAGCTTCCATTGGCACAACGGATTTGGTCTGAGCGGCATTGGCAGTTTGGAGTCTCATCACTCTGGTCTGCACAGTCGGGCTCCCCATCACAGTAAAGATGTCCAGGGATGCAATGCTTCTTATCGGCACAGCGGAACTCACTGTTGGAACACTCTGGGATGACAACGATAAAAGGTGAAATATTGGTGACATTTTATACTTTGACAATTATGAATTTGTGCTTTTTTTTCTATAGCCGCTGTCCAAGTTACTTTATGCAATGCAAATTGACAGATATTTAGATAAAACACATCCGTTTTTAGGTTATCTATTGGCAGTTAATAGAGTAATTCAGTAAACAAACCTCTTTCACAGTTGCTTTCATCAGATCCATCACTACAGTCAGTTTCTCCATCGCAGACGTAGAGTGGGTCCAAACATTCGGTGTTACTGTTATTGCATTTGTACTGATTCGGAGTGCAAGCTGCAAAAAACAATGTCAATTAATACCTTCCTATAAATGATACCGATTTTTTTATTGAGATATGGAATTCTTAACTTAAAGTATACGTCCCATGTTTTAACTCACTGCATTTGCTTTCGTCTGAATAGTCCCCACAGTCGTTGACTCCATCACACACGAACACTATTCCAAGGCAGCTTCCATTGGCACAACGGATTTGGTCTGAGCGGCATTGGCAGTTTGGAGTCTCATCACTCTGGTCTGCACAGTCGGGCTCCCCATCACAGTAAAGATGTCCAGGGATGCAATGCTTCTTATCGGCACAGCGGAACTCACTGTTGGAACACTCTGGGATGACAACGATAAAAGGTGAAATATTGGTGACATTTTATACTTTGACAATTATGAATTTGTGCTGAATTTGCCCTAGCCGCTGTCCAAGTTACTTTATGGAATGCAAATTGACAGATATTTAGATAAAACACATCCGTCTTTAGGTTATCTATTGGCAGTTAATAGAGTAATTCAGTAAACAAACCTCTTTCACAGTTGCTTTCATCAGATCCATCACTACAGTCAGTTTCTCCATCGCAGACGTAGAGTGGGTCCAAACATTCGGTGTTACTGTTATTGCATTTGTACTGATTCGGAGTGCAAGCTGCAAAAAACAATGTCAATTAATACCTTCCTATAAATGATACCGATTTTTTCATTGAGATATGGAATTCTTAACTTAAAGTATACGTCCCATGTTTTAACTCACTGCAGTTGCTTTCGTCTGAATAGTCTCCACAGTCGTTGACTCCATCACACACGAACACTATTCCAAGGCAGCTTCCATTGGCACAACGGATTTGGTCTGAGCGGCATTGGCAGTTTGGAGTCTCATCACTCTGGTCTGCACAGTCGGGCTCCCCATCACAGTAAAGATGTCCAGGGATGCAATGCTTCTTATCGGCACAGCGGAACTCACTGTTGGAACACGCTGGGATGACAACGATAAAAGGATAAATATTGGTGACATTTTATACTTTGACAATTATGAATTTGTGCTGAATTTGCCCTAGCCGCTGTCCAAGTTACTTTATGGAATGCAAATTGACAGATATTTAGATAAAACACATCCGTTTTTAGGTTATCTATTGGCAGTTAATAGAGTAATTCAGTAAACAAACCTCTTTCACAGTTGCTTTCATCAGATCCATCACTACAGTCAGTTTCTCCATCGCAGACGTAGAGTGGGTCCAAACATTCGGTGTTACTGTTATTGCATTTGTACTGATTCGGAGTGCAAGCTGCAAAAAACAATGTCAATTAATACCTTCCTATAAATGATACCGATTTTTTCATTGAGATATGGAATTCTTAACTTAAAGTATACGTCCCATGTTTTAACTCACTGCAGTTGCTTTCGTCTGAATAGTCTCCACAGTCGTTGACTCCATCACACACGAACACTATTCCAAGGCAGCTTCCATTGGCACAACGGATTTGGTCTGAGCGGCATTGGCAGTTTGGAGTCTCATCACTCTGGTCTGCACAGTCGGGCTCCCCATCACAGTAAAGATGTCCAGGGATGCAATGCTTCTTATCGGCACAGCGGAACTCACTGTTGGAACACTCTGGGATGACAACGATAAAAGGTGAAATATTGGTGACATTTTATACTTTGACAATTATGAATTTGTGCTGAATTTGCCCTAGCCGCTGTCCAAGTTACTTTATGGAATGCAAATTGACAGATATTTAGATAAAACACATCCGTTTTTAGGTTATCTATTGGCAGTTAATAGAGTAATTCAGTAAACAAACCTCTTTCACAGTTGATTTCATCAGATCCATCACTACAGTCAGTTTCTCCATCGCAGACGTAGAGTGGGTCCAAACATTCGGTGTTACTGTTATTGCATTTGTACTGATTCGGAGTGCAAGCTGCAAAAAACAATGTCAATTAATACCTTCCTATAAATGATACCGATTTTTTCATTGAGATCTGGAATTCTTAACTTAAAGTATACGTCCCATGTTTTAACTCACTGCAGTTGCTTTCGTCTGAATAGTCTCCACAGTCGTTGACTCCATCACACACGAACACTATTCCAAGGCAGCTTCCATTGGCACAACGGATTTGGTCTGAGCGGCATTGGCAGTTTGGAGTCTCATCACTCTGGTCTGCACAGTCGGGCTCCCCATCACAGTAAAGATGTCCAGGCATGCAATGCTTCTTATCGGCACAGCGGAACTCACTGTTGGAACACTCTGGGATGACAACGATAAAAGGTGAAATATTGGTGACATTTTATACTTTGACAATTATGAATTTGTGCTGAATTTGCCCTAGCCGCTGTCCAAGTTACTTTATGGAATGCAAATTGACAGATATTTAGATAAAACACATCCGTTTTTAGGTTATCTATTGGCAGTTAATAGAGTAATTCAGTAAACAAACCTCTTTCACAGTTGATTTCATCAGATCCATCACTACAGTCAGTTTCTCCATCGCAGACGTAGAGTGGGTCCAAACATTCGGTGTTACTGTTATTGCATTTGTACTGATTCGGAGTGCAAGCTGCAAAAAACAATGTCAATTAATACCTTCCTATAAATGATAGATTTTTTCATTGAGATATGGAATTCTTAACTTAAAGTATACGTCCCATGTTTTAACTCACTGCAGTTGCTTTCGTCTGAATAGTCTCCACAGTCGTTGACTCCATCACACACGAACACTATTCCAAGGCAGCTTCCATTGGCACAACGGATTTGGTCTGAGCGGCATTGGCAGTTTGGAGTCTCATCACTCTGGTCTGCACAGTCGGGCTCCCCATCACAGTAAAGATGTCCAGGGATGCAATGCTTCTTATCGGCACAGCGGAACTCACTGTTGGAACACGCTGGGATGACAACGATAAAAGGATAAATATTGGTGACATTTTATACTTTGACAATTATGAATTTGTGCTGAATTTGCCCTAGCCGCTGTCCAAGTTACTTTATGGAATGCAAATTAACAGATATTTAGATAAAACACATCCGTTTTTAGGTTATCTATTGGCAGTTAATAGAGTAATTCAGTAAACAAACCTCTTTCACAGTTGCTTTCATCAGATCCATCACTACAGTCAGTTTCTCCATCGCAGACGTAGAGTGGGTCCAAACATTCGGTGTTACTGTTATTGCATTTGTACTGATTCGGAGTGCAAGCTGCAAAAAACAATGTCAATGAATACCTTCCTATAAATGATACCGATTTTTTTCATTGAGATATGGAATTCTTAACTTAAAGTATACATCCCATGTTTTAACTCACTGCATTTGCTTTCGTCTGAATAGTCCCCACAGTCGTTGACTCCATCACACACGAACACTATTCCAAGGCAGCTTCCATTGGCACAACGGATTTGGTCTGAGCGGCATTGGCAGTTTGGAGTCTCATCACTCTGGTCTGCACAGTCGGGCTCCCCATCACAGTAAAGATGTCCAGGGATGCAATGCTTCTTATCGGCACAGCGGAACTCACTGTTGGAACACTCTGGGATGACAACGATAAAAGGTTAAATATTGGTGACATTTTATACTTTGACAATTATGAATTTGTGCTTTTTTTTCTATAGCCGCTGTCCAAGTTACTTTATGCAATGCAAATTGACAGATATTTAGATAAAACACATCCGTTTTTAGGTTATCTATTGGCAGTTAATAGAGTAATTCCGTAAACAAACCTCTTTCACAGTTGCTTTCATCAGATCCCTCACTACAGTCAGTTTCTCCATCGCAGACGTAGAGTGGGTCCAAACATTCGGTGTTACTGTTATTGCATTTGTACTGATTCGGAGTGCAAGCTGCAAAAAACAATGTCAATTAATACCTTCCTATAAATGATACCGATTTTTTTATTGAGATATGGAATTCTTAACTTAAAGTATACGTCCCATGTTTTAACTTACTGCATTTGCTTTCGTCTGAATAGTCCCCACAGTCGTTGACTCCATCACACACGAACACTATTCCAAGGCAGCTTCCATTGGCACAACGGATTTGGTCTGAGCGGCATTGGCAGTTTGGAGTCTCATCACTCTGGTCTGCACAGTCGGGCTCCCCATCACAGTAAAGATGTCCAGGGATGCAATGCTTCTTATCGGCACAGCGGAACTCACTGTTGGAACACTCTGGGATGACAACGATAAAAGGTGAAATATTGGTGACATTTTATACTTTGACAATTATGAATTTGTGCTGAATTTGCCCTAGCCGCTGTCCAAGTTACTTTATGGAATGCAAATTGACAGATATTTATATAAAACACATCCGTCTTTAGGTTATCTATTGGCAGTTAATAGAGTAATTCAGTAAACAAACCTCTTTCACAGTTGCTTTCATCAGATCCATCACTACAGTCAGTTTCTCCATCGCAGACGTAGAGTGGGTCCAAACATTCGGTGTTACTGTTATTGCATTTGTACTGATTCGGAGTGCAAGCTGCAAAAAACAATGTCAATGAATACCTTCCTATAAATGATACCGATTTTTTCATTGAGATATCGAATTCTTAACTTAAAGTATACGTCCCATGTTTTAACTCACTGCATTTGCTTTCGTCTGAATAGTCCCCACAGTCGTTGACTCCATCACACACGAACACTATTCCAAGGCAGCTTCCATTGGCACAACGGATTTGGTCTGAGCGGCATTGGCAGTTTGGAGTCTCATCACTCTGGTCTGCACAGTCGGGCTCCCCATCACAGTAAAGATGTCCAGGGATGCAATGCTTCTTATCGGCACAGCGGAACTCACTGTTGGAACACTCTGGGATGACAACGATAAAAGGTTAAATATTGGTGACATTTTATACTTTGACAATTATGAATTTGTGCTGGATTTGCCCTAGCCGCTGTCCAAGTTACTTTATGGAATGCAAATTGACAGATATTTAGATAAAACACATCCGTCTTTAGGTTATCTATTGGCAGTTAATAGAGTAATTCAGTAAACAAACCTCTTTCACAGTTGCTTTCATCAGATCCATCACTACAGTCAGTTTCTCCATCGCAGACGTAGAGTGGGTCCAAACATTCGGTGTTACTGTTATTGCATTTGTACTGATTCGGAGTGCAAGCTGCAAAAAACAATGTCAATTAATACCTTCCTATAAATGATACCGATTTTTTCATTGAGATATGGAATTCTTAACTTAAAGTATACGTCCCATGTTTTAACTCACTGCAGTTGCTTTCGTCTGAATAGTCTCCACAGTCGTTGACTCCATCACACACGAACACTATTCCAAGGCAGCTTCCATTGGCACAACGGATTTGGTCTGAGCGGCATTGGCAGTTTGGAGTCTCATCACTCTGGTCTGCACAGTCGGGCTCCCCATCACAGTAAAGATGTCCAGGGATGCAATGCTTCTTATCGGCACAGCGGAACTCACTGTTGGAACACGCTGGGATGACAACGATAAAAGGATAAATATTGGTGACATTTTATACTTTGACAATTATGAATTTGTGCTGAATTTGCCCTAGCCGCTGTCCAAGTTACTTTATGGAATGCAAATTGACAGATATTTAGATAAAACACATCCGTTTTTAGGTTATCTATTGGCAGTTAATAGAGTAATTCAGTAAACAAACCTCTTTCACAGTTGCTTTCATCAGATCCATCACTACAGTCAGTTTCTCCATCGCAGACGTAGAGTGGGTCCAAACATTCGGTGTTACTGTTATTGCATTTGTACTGATTCGGAGTGCAAGCTGCAAAAAACAATGTCAATTAATACCTTCCTATAAATGATACCGATTTTTTTATTGAGATATGGAATTCTTAACTTAAAGTATACGTCCCATGTTTTAACTCACTGCATTTGCTTTCGTCTGAATAGTCCCCACAGTCGTTGACTCCATCACACACGAACACTATTCCAAGGCAGCTTCCATTGGCACAACGGATTTGGTCTGAGCGGCATTGGCAGTTTGGAGTCTCATCACTCTGGTCTGCACAGTCGGGCTCCCCATCACAGTAAAGATGTCCAGGGATGCAATGCTTCTTATCGGCACAGCGGAACTCACTGTTGGAACACTCTGGGATGACAACGATAAAAGGTGAAATATTGGTGACATTTTATACTTTGACAATTATGAATTTGTGCTGAATTTGCCCTAGCCGCTGTCCAAGTTACTTTATGGAATGCAAATTGACAGATATTTAGATAAAACACATCCGTCTTTAGGTTATCTATTGGCAGTTAATAGAGTAATTCAGTAAACAAACCTCTTTCACAGTTGCTTTCATCAGATCCATCACTACAGTCAGTTTCTCCATCGCAGACGTAGAGTGGGTCCAAACATTCGGTGTTACTGTTATTGCATTTGTACTGATTCGGAGTGCAAGCTGCAAAAAACAATGTCAATTAATACCTTCCTATAAATGATACCGATTTTTTCATTGAGATATGGAATTCTTAACTTAAAGTATACGTCCCATGTTTTAACTCACTGCAGTTGCTTTCGTCTGAATAGTCTCCACAGTCGTTGACTCCATCACACACGAACACTATTCCAAGGCAGCTTCCATTGGCACAACGGATTTGGTCTGAGCGGCATTGGCAGTTTGGAGTCTCATCACTCTGGTCTGCACAGTCGGGCTCCCCATCACAGTAAAGATGTCCAGGGATGCAATGCTTCTTATCGGCACAGCGGAACTCACTGTTGGAACACGCTGGGATGACAACGATAAAAGGATAAATATTGGTGACATTTTATACTTTGACAATTATGAATTTGTGCTGAATTTGCCCTAGCCGCTGTCCAAGTTACTTTATGGAATGCAAATTGACAGATATTTAGATAAAACACATCCGTTTTTAGGTTATCTATTGGCAGTTAATAGAGTAATTCAGTAAACAAACCTCTTTCACAGTTGCTTTCATCAGATCCATCACTACAGTCAGTTTCTCCATCGCAGACGTAGAGTGGGTCCAAACATTCGGTGTTACTGTTATTGCATTTGTACTGATTCGGAGTGCAAGCTGCAAAAAACAATGTCAATGAATACCTTCCTATAAATGATACCGATTTTTTCATTGAGATATCGAATTCTTAACTTAAAGTATACGTCCCATGTTTTAACTCACTGCATTTGCTTTCGTCTGAATAGTCCCCACAGTCGTTGACTCCATCACACACGAACACTATTCCAAGGCAGCTTCCATTGGCACAACGGATTTGGTCTGAGCGGCATTGGCAGTTTGGAGTCTCATCACTCTGGTCTGCACAGTCGGGCTCCCCATCACAGTAAAGATGTCCAGGGATGCAATGCTTCTTATCGGCACAGCGGAACTCACTGTTGGAACACTCTGGGATGACAACGATAAAAGGTTAAATATTGGTGACATTTTATACTTTGACAATTATGAATTTGTGCTGGATTTGCCCTAGCCGCTGTCCAAGTTACTTTATGGAATGCAAATTGACAGATATTTAGATAAAACACATCCGTCTTTAGGTTATCTATTGGCAGTTAATAGAGTAATTCAGTAAACAAACCTCTTTCACAGTTGCTTTCATCAGATCCATCACTACAGTCAGTTTCTCCATCGCAGACGTAGAGTGGGTCCAAACATTCGGTGTTACTGTTATTGCATTTGTACTGATTCGGAGTGCAAGCTGCAAAAAACAATGTCAATTAATACCTTCCTATAAATGATACCGATTTTTTCATTGAGATATGGAATTCTTAACTTAAAGTATACGTCCCATGTTTTAACTCACTGCAGTTGCTTTCGTCTGAATAGTCTCCACAGTCGTTGACTCCATCACACACGAACACTATTCCAAGGCAGCTTCCATTGGCACAACGGATTTGGTCTGAGCGGCATTGGCAGTTTGGAGTCTCATCACTCTGGTCTGCACAGTCGGGCTCCCCATCACAGTAAAGATGTCCAGGGATGCAATGCTTCTTATCGGCACAGCGGAACTCACTGTTGGAACACGCTGGGATGACAACGATAAAAGGATAAATATTGGTGACATTTTATACTTTGACAATTATGAATTTGTGCTGAATTTGCCCTAGCCGCTGTCCAAGTTACTTTATGGAATGCAAATTGACAGATATTTAGATAAAACACATCCGTTTTTAGGTTATCTATTGGCAGTTAATAGAGTAATTCAGTAAACAAACCTCTTTCACAGTTGCTTTCATCAGATCCATCACTACAGTCAGTTTCTCCATCGCAGACGTAGAGTGGGTCCAAACATTCGGTGTTACTGTTATTGCATTTGTACTGATTCGGAGTGCAAGCTGCAAAAAACAATGTCAATTAATACCTTCCTATAAATGATACCGATTTTTTTATTGAGATATGGAATTCTTAACTTAAAGTATACGTCCCATGTTTTAACTCACTGCATTTGCTTTCGTCTGAATAGTCCCCACAGTCGTTGACTCCATCACACACGAACACTATTCCAAGGCAGCTTCCATTGGCACAACGGATTTGGTCTGAGCGGCATTGGCAGTTTGGAGTCTCATCACTCTGGTCTGCACAGTCGGGCTCCCCATCACAGTAAAGATGTCCAGGGATGCAATGCTTCTTATCGGCACAGCGGAACTCACTGTTGGAACACTCTGGGATGACAACGATAAAAGGTGAAATATTGGTGACATTTTATACTTTGACAATTATGAATTTGTGCTGAATTTGCCCTAGCCGCTGTCCAAGTTACTTTATGGAATGCAAATTGACAGATATTTAGATAAAACACATCCGTCTTTAGGTTATCTATTGGCAGTTAATAGAGTAATTCAGTAAACAAACCTCTTTCACAGTTGCTTTCATCAGATCCATCACTACAGTCAGTTTCTCCATCGCAGACGTAGAGTGGGTCCAAACATTCGGTGTTACTGTTATTGCATTTGTACTGATTCGGAGTGCAAGCTGCAAAAAACAATGTCAATTAATACCTTCCTATAAATGATACCGATTTTTTCATTGAGATATGGAATTCTTAACTTAAAGTATACGTCCCATGTTTTAACTCACTGCAGTTGCTTTCGTCTGAATAGTCTCCACAGTCGTTGACTCCATCACACACGAACACTATTCCAAGGCAGCTTCCATTGGCACAACGGATTTGGTCTGAGCGGCATTGGCAGTTTGGAGTCTCATCACTCTGGTCTGCACAGTCGGGCTCCCCATCACAGTAAAGATGTCCAGGGATGCAATGCTTCTTATCGGCACAGCGGAACTCACTGTTGGAACACGCTGGGATGACAACGATAAAAGGATAAATATTGGTGACATTTTATACTTTGACAATTATGAATTTGTGCTGAATTTGCCCTAGCCGCTGTCCAAGTTACTTTATGGAATGCAAATTGACAGATATTTAGATAAAACACATCCGTTTTTAGGTTATCTATTGGCAGTTAATAGAGTAATTCAGTAAACAAACCTCTTTCACAGTTGCTTTCATCAGATCCATCACTACAGTCAGTTTCTCCATCGCAGACGTAGAGTGGGTCCAAACATTCGGTGTTACTGTTATTGCATTTGTACTGATTCGGAGTGCAAGCTGCAAAAAACAATGTCAATTAATACCTTCCTATAAATGATACCGATTTTTTCATTGAGATATGGAATTCTTAACTTAAAGTATACGTCCCATGTTTTAACTCACTGCAGTTGCTTTCGTCTGAATAGTCTCCACAGTCGTTGACTCCATCACACACGAACACTATTCCAAGGCAGCTTCCATTGGCACAACGGATTTGGTCTGAGCGGCATTGGCAGTTTGGAGTCTCATCACTCTGGTCTGCACAGTCGGGCTCCCCATCACAGTAAAGATGTCCAGGGATGCAATGCTTCTTATCGGCACAGCGGAACTCACTGTTGGAACACTCTGGGATGACAACGATAAAAGGTGAAATATTGGTGACATTTTATACTTTGACAATTATGAATTTGTGCTGAATTTGCCCTAGCCGCTGTCCAAGTTACTTTATGGAATGCAAATTGACAGATATTTAGATAAAACACATCCGTTTTTAGGTTATCTATTGGCAGTTAATAGAGTAATTCAGTAAACAAACCTCTTTCACAGTTGATTTCATCAGATCCATCACTACAGTCAGTTTCTCCATCGCAGACGTAGAGTGGGTCCAAACATTCGGTGTTACTGTTATTGCATTTGTACTGATTCGGAGTGCAAGCTGCAAAAAACAATGTCAATTAATACCTTCCTATAAATGATACCGATTTTTTCATTGAGATCTGGAATTCTTAACTTAAAGTATACGTCCCATGTTTTAACTCACTGCAGTTGCTTTCGTCTGAATAGTCTCCACAGTCGTTGACTCCATCACACACGAACACTATTCCAAGGCAGCTTCCATTGGCACAACGGATTTGGTCTGAGCGGCATTGGCAGTTTGGAGTCTCATCACTCTGGTCTGCACAGTCGGGCTCCCCATCACAGTAAAGATGTCCAGGCATGCAATGCTTCTTATCGGCACAGCGGAACTCACTGTTGGAACACTCTGGGATGACAACGATAAAAGGTGAAATATTGATGACATTTTATACTTTGACAATTATGAATTTGTGCTGAATTTGCCCTAGCCGCTGTCCAAGTTACTTTATGGAATGCAAATTGACAGATATTTAGATAAAACACATCCGTTTTTAGGTTATCTATTGGCAGTTAATAGAGTAATTCAGTAAACAAACCTCTTTCACAGTTGATTTCATCAGATCCATCACTACAGTCAGTTTCTCCATCGCAGACGTAGAGTGGGTCCAAACATTCGGTGTTACTGTTATTGCATTTGTACTGATTCGGAGTGCAAGCTGCAAAAAACAATGTCAATTAATACCTTCCTATAAATGATACCGATTTTTTCATTGAGATATGGAATTCTTAACTTAAAGTATACGTCCCATGTTTTAACTCACTGCAGTTGCTTTCGTCTGAATAGTCTCCACAGTCGTTGACTCCATCACACACGAACACTATTCCAAGGCAGCTTCCATTGGCACAACGGATTTGGTCTGAGCGGCATTGGCAGTTTGGAGTCTCATCACTCTGGTCTGCACAGTCGGGCTCCCCATCACAGTAAAGATGTCCAGGGATGCAATGCTTCTTATCGGCACAGCGGAACTCACTGTTGGAACACGCTGGGATGACAACGATAAAAGGATAAATATTGGTGACATTTTATACTTTGACAATTATGAATTTGTGCTGAATTTGCCCTAGCCGCTGTCCAAGTTACTTTATGGAATGCAAATTGACAGATATTTAGATAAAACACATCCGTTTTTAGGTTATCTATTGGCAGTTAATAGAGTAATTCAGTAAACAAACCTCTTTCACAGTTGCTTTCATCAGATCCATCACTACAGTCAGTTTCTCCATCGCAGACGTAGAGTGGGTCCAAACATTCGGTGTTACTGTTATTGCATTTGTACTGATTCGGAGTGCAAGCTGCAAAAAACAATGTCAATTAATACCTTCCTATAAATGATACCGATTTTTTCATTGAGATATGGAATTCTTAACTTAAAGTATACGTCCCATGTTTTAACTCACTGCAGTTGCTTTCGTCTGAATAGTCTCCACAGTCGTTGACTCCATCACACACGAACACTATTCCAAGGCAGCTTCCATTGGCACAACGGATTTGGTCTGAGCGGCATTGGCAGTTTGGAGTCTCATCACTCTGGTCTGCACAGTCGGGCTCCCCATCACAGTAAAGATGTCCAGGGATGCAATGCTTCTTATCGGCACAGCGGAACTCACTGTTGGAACACTCTGGGATGACAACGATAAAAGGTTAAATATTGGTGACATTTTATACTTTGACAATTATGAATTTGTGCTGAATTTGCCCTAGCCGCTGTCCAAGTTACTTTATGGAATGCAAATTGACAGATATTTAGATAAAACACATCCGTTTTTAGGTTATCTATTGGCAGTTAATAGAGTAATTCAATAAACAAACCTCTTTCACAGTTGATTTCATCAGATCCATCACTACAGTCAGTTTCTCCATCGCAGACGTAGAGTGGGTCCAAACATTCGGTGTTACTGTTATGGCATTTGTACTGATTCGGAGTGCAAGCTGCAAAAAACAATGACAATTAATACCTTCCTATAAATGATAGATTTTTTCATTGAGATATGGAATTCTTAACTTAAAGTATACGTCCCATGTTTTAACTCACTGCAGTTGCTTTCGTCTGAATAGTCTCCACAGTCGTTGACTCCATCACACACGAACACTATTCCAAGGCAGCTTCCATTGGCACAACGGATTTGGTCTGAGTGGCATTGGCAGTTTGGAGTCTCATCACTCTGGTCTGCACAGTCGGGCTCCCCATCACAGTAAAGATGTCCAGGGATGCAATGCTTCTTATCGGCACAGCGGAACTCACTGTTCGAACACTCTGGGATGACAACGATAAAAGGTGAAATATTGGTGACATTTTATACTTTGACAATTATAAATTTGTGCTGAATTTGCCCTAGCCGCTGTCCAAGTTACTTTATGGAATGCAAATTAACAGATATTTAGATAAAACACACCGTCTTTAGGTTATCTATTGGCAGTTAATAGAGTAATTCAGTAAACAAACCTCTTTCACAGTTGCTTTCATCAGATCCATCACTACAGTCAGTTTCTCCATCGCAGACGTAGAGTGGGTCCAAACATTCGGTGTTACTGTTATTGCATTTGTACTGATTCGGAGTGCAAGCTGCAAAAAACAATGTCAATTAATACCTTCCTATAAATGATAGATTTTTTTATTGAGATATGGAATTCTTAACTTAAAGTATACGTCCCATGTTTTAACTCACTGCAGTTGCTTTCGTCTGAATAGTCTCCACAGTCGTTGACTCCATCACACACGAACACTATTCCAAGGCAGCTTCCATTGGCACAACGGATTTGGTCTGAGCGGCATTGGCAGTTTGGAGTCTCATCACTCTGGTCTGCACAGTCGGGCTCCCCATCACAGTAAAGATGTCCAGGGATGCAATGCTTCTTATCGGCACAGCGGAACTCACTGTTGGAACACGCTGGGATGACAACGATAAAAGGATAAATATTGGTGACATTTTATACTTTGACAATTATGAATTTGTGCTGAATTTGCCCTAGCCGCTGTCCAAGTTACTTTATGGAATGCAAATTAACAGATATTTAGATAAAACACATCCGTTTTTAGGTTATCTATTGGCAGTTAATAGAGTAATTCAGTAAACAAACCTCTTTCACAGTTGCTTTCATCAGATCCATCACTACAGTCAGTTTCTCCATCGCAGACGTAGAGTGGGTCCAAACATTCGGTGTTACTGTTATGGCATTTGTACTGATTCGGAGTGCAAGCTGCAAAAAACAATGACAATTAATACCTTCCTATAAATGATAGATTTTTTCATTGAGATATGGAATTCTTAACTTAAAGTATACGTCCCATGTTTTAACTCACTGCAGTTGCTTTCGTCTGAATAGTCTCCACAGTCGTTGACTCCATCACACACGAACACTATTCCAAGGCAGCTTCCATTGGCACAACGGATTTGGTCTGAGTGGCATTGGCAGTTTGGAGTCTCATCACTCTGGTCTGCACAGTCGGGCTCCCCATCACAGTAAAGATGTCCAGGGATGCAATGCTTCTTATCGGCACAGCGGAACTCACTGTTCGAACACTCTGGGATGACAACGATAAAAGGTGAAATATTGGTGACATTTTATACTTTGACAATTATAAATTTGTGCTGAATTTGCCCTAGCCGCTGTCCAAGTTACTTTATGGAATGCAAATTAACAGATATTTAGATAAAACACACCGTCTTTAGGTTATCTATTGGCAGTTAATAGAGTAATTCAGTAAACAAACCTCTTTCACAGTTGCTTTCATCAGATCCATCACTACAGTCAGTTTCTCCATCGCAGACGTAGAGTGGGTCCAAACATTCGGTGTTACTGTTATTGCATTTGTACTGATTCGGAGTGCAAGCTGCAAAAAACAATGTCAATTAATACCTTCCTATAAATGATAGATTTTTTTATTGAGATATGGAATTCTTAACTTAAAGTATACGTCCCATGTTTTAACTCACTGCAGTTGCTTTCGTCTGAATAGTCTCCACAGTCGTTGACTCCATCACACACGAACACTATTCCAAGGCAGCTTCCATTGGCACAACGGATTTGGTCTGAGCGGCATTGGCAGTTTGGAGTCTCATCACTCTGGTCTGCACAGTCGGGCTCCCCATCACAGTAAAGATGTCCAGGGATGCAATGCTTCTTATCGGCACAGCGGAACTCACTGTTGGAACACGCTGGGATGACAACGATAAAAGGATAAATATTGGTGACATTTTATACTTTGACAATTATGAATTTGTGCTGAATTTGCCCTAGCCGCTGTCCAAGTTACTTTATGGAATGCAAATTAACAGATATTTAGATAAAACACATCCGTTTTTAGGTTATCTATTGGCAGTTAATAGAGTAATTCAGTAAACAAACCTCTTTCACAGTTGCTTTCATCAGATCCATCACTACAGTCAGTTTCTCCATCGCAGACGTAGAGTGGGTCCAAACATTCGGTGTTACTGTTATTGCATTTGTACTGATTCGGAGTGCAAGCTGCAAAAAACAATGTCAATTAATACCTTCCTATAAATGATACCGATTTTTTCATTGAGATATGGAATTCTTAACTTAAAGTATACGTCCCATGTTTTAACTCACTGCAGTTGCTTTCGTCTGAATAGTCTCCACAGTCGTTGACTCCATCACACACGAACACTATTCCAAGGCAGCTTCCATTGGCACAACGGATTTGGTCTGAGCGGCATTGGCAGTTTGGAGTCTCATCACTCTGGTCTGCACAGTCGGGCTCCCCATCACAGTAAAGATGTCCAGGGATGCAATGCTTCTTATCGGCACAGCGGAACTCACTGTTGGAACACTCTGGGATGACAACGATAAAAGGTTAAATATTGGTGACATTTTATACTTTGACAATTATGAATTTGTGCTGAATTTGCCCTAGCCGCTGTCCAAGTTACTTTATGGAATGCAAATTGACAGATATTTAGATAAAACACATCCGTTTTTAGGTTATCTATTGGCAGTTAATAGAGTAATTCAATAAACAAACCTCTTTCACAGTTGATTTCATCAGATCCATCACTACAGTCAGTTTCTCCATCGCAGACGTAGAGTGGGTCCAAACATTCGGTGTTACTGTTATGGCATTTGTACTGATTCGGAGTGCAAGCTGCAAAAAACAATGACAATTAATACCTTCCTATAAATGATAGATTTTTTCATTGAGATATGGAATTCTTAACTTAAAGTATACGTCCCATGTTTTAACTCACTGCAGTTGCTTTCGTCTGAATAGTCTCCACAGTCGTTGACTCCATCACACACGAACACTATTCCAAGGCAGCTTCCATTGGCACAACGGATTTGGTCTGAGCGGCATTGGCAGTTTGGAGTCTCATCACTCTGGTCTGCACAGTCGGGCTCCCCATCACAGTAAAGATGTCCAGGGATGCAATGCTTCTTATCGGCACAGCGGAACTCACTGTTGGAACACGCTGGGATGACAACGATAAAAGGATAAATATTGGTGACATTTTATACTTTGACAATTATGAATTTGTGCTGAATTTGCCCTAGCCGCTGTCCAAGTTACTTTATGGAATGCAAATTAACAGATATTTAGATAAAACACATCCGTTTTTAGGTTATCTATTGGCAGTTAATAGAGTAATTCAGTAAACAAACCTCTTTCACAGTTGCTTTCATCAGATCCATCACTACAGTCAGTTTCTCCATCGCAGACGTAGAGTGGGTCCAAACATTCGGTGTTACTGTTATTGCATTTGTACTGATTCGGAGTGCAAGCTGCAAAAAACAATGTCAATTAATACCTTCCTATAAATGATACCGATTTTTTCATTGAGATATGGAATTCTTAACTTAAAGTATACGTCCCATGTTTTAACTCACTGCAGTTGCTTTCGTCTGAATAGTCTCCACAGTCGTTGACTCCATCACACACGAACACTATTCCAAGGCAGCTTCCATTGGCACAACGGATTTGGTCTGAGCGGCATTGGCAGTTTGGAGTCTCATCACTCTGGTCTGCACAGTCGGGCTCCCCATCACAGTAAAGATGTCCAGGGATGCAATGCTTCTTATCGGCACAGCGGAACTCACTGTTGGAACACTCTGGGATGACAACGATAAAAGGTTAAATATTGGTGACATTTTATACTTTGACAATTATGAATTTGTGCTGAATTTGCCCTAGCCGCTGTCCAAGTTACTTTATGGAATGCAAATTGACAGATATTTAGATAAAACACATCCGTTTTTAGGTTATCTATTGGCAGTTAATAGAGTAATTCAATAAACAAACCTCTTTCACAGTTGATTTCATCAGATCCATCACTACAGTCAGTTTCTCCATCGCAGACGTAGAGTGGGTCCAAACATTCGGTGTTACTGTTATGGCATTTGTACTGATTCGGAGTGCAAGCTGCAAAAAACAATGACAATTAATACCTTCCTATAAATGATAGATTTTTTCATTGAGATATGGAATTCTTAACTTAAAGTATACGTCCCATGTTTTAACTCACTGCAGTTGCTTTCGTCTGAATAGTCTCCACAGTCGTTGACTCCATCACACACGAACACTATTCCAAGGCAGCTTCCATTGGCACAACGGATTTGGTCTGAGTGGCATTGGCAGTTTGGAGTCTCATCACTCTGGTCTGCACAGTCGGGCTCCCCATCACAGTAAAGATGTCCAGGGATGCAATGCTTCTTATCGGCACAGCGGAACTCACTGTTCGAACACTCTGGGATGACAACGATAAAAGGTGAAATATTGGTGACATTTTATACTTTGACAATTATAAATTTGTGCTGAATTTGCCCTAGCCGCTGTCCAAGTTACTTTATGGAATGCAAATTAACAGATATTTAGATAAAACACACCGTCTTTAGGTTATCTATTGGCAGTTAATAGAGTAATTCAGTAAACAAACCTCTTTCACAGTTGCTTTCATCAGATCCATCACTACAGTCAGTTTCTCCATCGCAGACGTAGAGTGGGTCCAAACATTCGGTGTTACTGTTATTGCATTTGTACTGATTCGGAGTGCAAGCTGCAAAAAACAATGTCAATTAATACCTTCCTATAAATGATAGATTTTTTTATTGAGATATGGAATTCTTAACTTAAAGTATACGTCCCATGTTTTAACTCACTGCAGTTGCTTTCGTCTGAATAGTCTCCACAGTCGTTGACTCCATCACACACGAACACTATTCCAAGGCAGCTTCCATTGGCACAACGGATTTGGTCTGAGCGGCATTGGCAGTTTGGAGTCTCATCACTCTGGTCTGCACAGTCGGGCTCCCCATCACAGTAAAGATGTCCAGGGATGCAATGCTTCTTATCGGCACAGCGGAACTCACTGTTGGAACACGCTGGGATGACAACGATAAAAGGATAAATATTGGTGACATTTTATACTTTGACAATTATGAATTTGTGCTGAATTTGCCCTAGCCGCTGTCCAAGTTACTTTATGGAATGCAAATTAACAGATATTTAGATAAAACACATCCGTTTTTAGGTTATCTATTGGCAGTTAATAGAGTAATTCAGTAAACAAACCTCTTTCACAGTTGCTTTCATCAGATCCATCACTACAGTCAGTTTCTCCATCGCAGACGTAGAGTGGGTCCAAACATTCGGTGTTACTGTTATTGCATTTGTACTGATTCGGAGTGCAAGCTGCAAAAAACAATGTCAATTAATACCTTCCTATAAATGATACCGATTTTTTCATTGAGATATGGAATTCTTAACTTAAAGTATACGTCCCATGTTTTAACTCACTGCAGTTGCTTTCGTCTGAATAGTCTCCACAGTCGTTGACTCCATCACACACGAACACTATTCCAAGGCAGCTTCCATTGGCACAACGGATTTGGTCTGAGCGGCATTGGCAGTTTGGAGTCTCATCACTCTGGTCTGCACAGTCGGGCTCCCCATCACAGTAAAGATGTCCAGGGATGCAATGCTTCTTATCGGCACAGCGGAACTCACTGTTGGAACACTCTGGGATGACAACGATAAAAGGTTAAATATTGGTGACATTTTATACTTTGACAATTATGAATTTGTGCTGAATTTGCCCTAGCCGCTGTCCAAGTTACTTTATGGAATGCAAATTGACAGATATTTAGATAAAACACATCCGTTTTTAGGTTATCTATTGGCAGTTAATAGAGTAATTCAATAAACAAACCTCTTTCACAGTTGATTTCATCAGATCCATCACTACAGTCAGTTTCTCCATCGCAGACGTAGAGTGGGTCCAAACATTCGGTGTTACTGTTATGGCATTTGTACTGATTCGGAGTGCAAGCTGCAAAAAACAATGACAATTAATACCTTCCTATAAATGATAGATTTTTTCATTGAGATATGGAATTCTTAACTTAAAGTATACGTCCCATGTTTTAACTCACTGCAGTTGCTTTCGTCTGAATAGTCTCCACAGTCGTTGACTCCATCACACACGAACACTATTCCAAGGCAGCTTCCATTGGCACAACGGATTTGGTCTGAGTGGCATTGGCAGTTTGGAATCTCATCACTCTGGTCTGCACAGTCGGGCTCCCCATCACAGTAAAGATGTCCAGGGATGCAATGCTTCTTATCGGCACAGCGGAACTCACTGTTCGAACACTCTGGGATGACAACGATAAAAGGTGAAATATCGGTGACATTTTATACTTTGACAATTATAAATTTGTGCTGAATTTGCCCTAGCCGCTGTCCAAGTTACTTTATGGAATGAAAATTTACAGATATTTAGATAAAACACACCGTCTTTAGGTTATCTATTGGCAGTTAATAGAGTAATTCAGTAAACAAACCTCTTTCACAGTTGCTTTCATCAGATCCATCACTACAGTCAGTTTCTCCATCGCAGACGTAGAGTGGGTCCAAACATTCGGTGTTACTGTTATTGCATTTGTACTGATTCGGAGTGCAAGCTGCAAAAAACAATGACAATTAATACCTTCCTATAAATGATAGATTTTTTCATTGAGATATGGAATTCTTAACTTAAAGTATACGTCCCATGTTTTAACTCACTGCAGTTGCTTTCGTCTGAATAGTCTCCACAGTCGTTGACTCCATCACACACGAACACTATTCCAAGGCAGCTTCCATTGGCACAACGGATTTGGTCTGAGTGGCATTGGCAGTTTGGAGTCTCATCACTCTGGTCTGCACAGTCGGGCTCCCCATCACAGTAAAGATGTCCAGGGATGCAATGCTTCTTATCGGCACAGTGGAACTCACTGTTCGAACACTCTGGGATGACAACGATAAAAGGTGAAATATTGGTGACATTTTATACTTTGACAATTATAAATTTGTGCTGAATTTGCCCTAGCCGCTGTCCAAGTTACTTTATGGAATGCAAATTGACAGATATTTAGATAAAACACACCGTCTTTAGGTTATCTATTGGCAGTTAATAGAGTAATTCAGTAAACAAACCTCTTTCACAGTTACTTTCATCAGATCCATCACTACAGTCAGTTTCTCCATCGCAGACGTAGAGTGGGTCCAAACATTCGGTGTTACTGTTATTGCATTTGTACTGATTCGGAGTGCAAGCTGCAAAAAACAATGTCAATTAATACCTTCCTATAAATGATACCGATTTTTTCATTGAGATATGGAATTCTTAACTTAAAGTATACGTCCCATGTTTTAACTCACTGCAGTTGATTTCGTCTGAATAGTCTCCACAGTCGTTGACTCCATCACACACGAACACTATTCCAAGGCAGCTTCCATTGGCACAACGGATTTGGTCTGAGCGGCATTGGCAGTTTGGAGTCTCATCACTCTGGTCTGCACAGTCGGGCTCCCCATCACAGTAAAGATGTCCAGGGATGCAATGCTTCTTATCGGCACAGCGGAACTCACTGTTGGAACACGCTGGGATGACAACGATAAAAGGTTAAATATCGGTGACATTTTATACTTTGACAATTATGAATTTCTGCTGAATTTGCCCTAGCCGCTGTCCAAGTTACTTTATGGAATGCAAATTGACAGATATTTAGATAAAACACATCCGTCTTCAGGTTATCTATTGGCAGTTAATAGAGTAGATCAGTAAACAAACCTCTTTCACAGTTGCTTTCATCAGATCCATCACTACAGTCAGTTTCTCCATCGCAGACGTAGAGTGGGTCCAAACATTCGGTGTTACTGTTATTGCATTTGTACTGATTCGGAGTGCAAGCTGCAAAAAACAATGTCAATTAATACCTTCCTATAAATGATAGATTTTTTCATTGAGATATGGAATTCTTAACTTAAAGTATACGTCCCATGTTTTAACTCACTGCAGTTGCTTTCGTCTGAATAGTCTCCACAGTCGTTGACTCCATCACACACGAACACTATTCCAAGGCAGCTTCCATTGGCACAACGGATTTGGTCTGAGCGGCATTGGCAGTTTGGAGTCTCATCACTCTGGTCTGCACAGTCGGGCTCCCCATCACAGTAAAGATGTCCAGGGATGCAATGCTTCTTATCGGCACAGCGGAACTCACTGTTGGAACACGCTGGGATGACAACGATAAAAGGATAAATATTGGTGACATTTTATACTTTGACAATTATGAATTTGTGCTGAATTTGCCCTAGCCGCTGTCCAAGTTACTTTATGGAATGCAAATTGACAGATATTTAGATAAAACACACCGTCTTTAGGTTATCTATTGGCAGTTAATAGAGTAATTCAGTAAACAAACCTCTTTCACAGTTGCTTTCATCAGATCCATCACTACAGTCAGTTTCTCCATCGCAGACGTAGAGTGGGTCCAAACATTCGGTGTTACTGTTATTGCATTTGTACTGATTCGGAGTGCAAGCTGCAAAAAACAATGTCAATTAATACCTTCCTATAAATGATACCGATTTTTTCATTGAGATATGGAATTCTTAACTTAAAGTATACGTCCCATGTTTTAACTCACTGCAGTTGCTTTCGTCTGAATAGTCTCCACAGTCGTTGACTCCATCACACACGAACACTATTCCAAGGCAGCTTCCATTGGCACAACGGATTTGGTCTGAGCGGCATTGGCAGTTTGGAGTCTCATCACTCTGGTCTGCACAGTCGGGCTCCCCATCACAGTAAAGATGTCCAGGGATGCAATGCTTCTTATCGGCACAGCGGAACTCACTGTTGGAACACGCTGGGATGACAACGATAAAAGGTTAAATATCGGTGACATTTTATACTTTGACAATTATGAATTTGTGCTGAATTTGCCCTAGCCGCTGTCCAAGTTACTTTATGGAATGCAAATTGACAGATATTTAGATAAAACACATCCGTCTTTAGGTTAGCTATTGGCAGTTAATAGAGTAATTGAGTAAACAAACCTCTTTCACAGTTGCTTTCATCAGATCCATCACTACAGTCAGTTTCTCCATCGCAGACGTAGAGTGGGTCCAAACAATCGGTGTTACTGTTATTGCATTTGTACTGATTCGGAGTGCAAGCTGCAAAAAACAATGTCAATGAATACCTTCCTATAAATGAACACATTTTTTCATTGAGATATGTAATTCTTAAATTAAAGTATACGATCTCCAAAATCTTGACTAAACACAAGATCCAGGTCCATTTCAACACATTACGTAAAATCCGAGATCTGGTTCCGTCTGTAAAAGATGTAATTCCGGACATACAGTACCCTGGTGTTTACAAAGTAAGTTGCCTCTGTGGTAGTAGTTACATTGGAGAAACCAAACGCCATGTCTCGGACCGCATTCGTGAACACAAAGCAGACCTTAAACACGGTAGGACCAACACCCCCCGGTCGTGGCAGATCATTGTTATAATTCAGTAGGCTCACATGACATTGACTTCTCCAAGACAGAGGTTCTTTGTAAGCCATCTGGCTACCATGAGAGATTCGTTCATGAGGCTATCCACATATACAAGCACAGAGAAAATTTCAACCGAGAAGATGGATTCTGGCTTAGCAATCATTGGAAGGATTTGATAAACCATTTCAGGTCTTAATTGATTGTTCACGCTTATGGTGGCTTTCAGACAGCATGCATTAATTTTTCGTCCCCTCTTTTCAGAACATAGATGGACTCGTCCTTCTAAATAAACTGCCAAATCGCTGCCCGTGGTGCTTACGTTTTTTTTAATAAATAAGTAAGTAAATACACCGTTTAAAAATAAATAAATGCAAACCGCCACTTCTTCCAAATGTTTCTTGCCGTTGGTTTTTCACACCTGATGATGACCGTTTGTGTTATGGTTGAAACGTCGTGAGAATTTTTATTGTTTTATATATATTTTATTATTTTATTGTTTCCCTTCAACGTGACTTTAAAGAAAGAGCTAAGAATATGAATATTAACGTATACGACCCATGTTTTAACTCACTGCAGTTGCTTTCGTCTGAATAGTCTCCACAGTCGTTGACTCCATCACACACGAACACTATTCCAAGGCAGGTTCCATTGCCACAAAGGATTTGGTCTGAGCGGCATTGGCAGTTTGGAGTCTGATCACTCTGGTCTGCACAGTCGGGCTCCCCATCACAGTAAAGATGTCCAGGGATGCAATGCTTCTTATCGGCACAGCGAAACTCACTGTCGGAACAATCTGGGATGACAATGATAACAGGTTAAATTTTGGTGACACTTTATACTTTGACAATTATGAATTTGTGCTGAATTTGCCCTAGCCGTTGTCCAAGTTACTTTATGGAATGCAAATTGACAGATATTTAGATTAAACGCATCCGTCTTTAGGTTATCTATTGGCAGTTAACAGAGTAATTCAGTAAACAAACCTCTTTCACAGTTGTTTTCATCAGATCCATCACTACAGTCAGTTTCTCCATCGCAGACGTAGAGTGGGTCCAAACATTCGGTGTTACTGTTATTGCATTTGTACTGATTCGGAGTGCAAGCTGCAAAAAACCAATGTCAATTAATACCTTCCTATAAATGATACAGATTTTTTATTGAGATATGGAATTCTTAACTTAAAGTATACGTCCCATGTTTTAACTCACTGCATTTGCTTTCGTCTGAATAGTCTCCACAGTCGTTGACTCCATCACACACGAACACTATTCCAAGGCAGCTTCCATTGGCACAACGGATTTGGTCTGAGCGGCATTGGCAGTTTGGAGTCTCATCACTCTGGTCTGCACAGTCGGGCTCCCCATCACAGTAAAGATGTCCAGGGATGCAATGCTTATCGGCACAGCGGAACTCACTGTTGGAACACTCTGGGATGACAACGATAAAAGGTTAAATATTGGTGACATTTTATACTTTGACAATTATGAATTTGTGCTGAATTTGCCCTAGCCGCTGTCCAAGTTACTTTATGGAATGCAAATTGACAGATATTTAGATAAAACGCATCCGTCTTTAGGTTAGCTATTGGCAGTTAATAGAGTAATTGAGTAAACAAACCTCTTTCACAGTTGCTTTCATCAGATCCATCACTACAGTCAGTTTCTCCATCGCAGACGTAGAGTGGGTCCAAACAATCGGTGTTACTGTTATTGCATTTGTACTGATTCGGAGTGCAAGCTGCAAAAAACAATGTCAATGAATACCTTCCTATAAATGAACACATTTTTTCATTGAGATATGTAATTCTTAAATTAAAGTATACGATCTCCAAAATCTTGACTAAACACAAGATCCAGGTCCATTTCAACACATTACGTAAAATCCGAGATCTGGTTCCGTCTGTAAAAGATGTAATTCCGGACATACATTACCCTGGTGTTTACAAAGTAAGTTGCCTCTGTGGTAGTAGTTACATTGGAGAAACCAAACGCCATGTCTCGGACCGCATTCGTGAACACAAAGCAGACCTTAAACACGGTAGGACCAACACCCCCCGGTCGTGGCAGATCATTGTTATAATTCAGTAGGCTCACATGACATTGACTTCTCCAAGACAGATGTTCTTTGTAAGCCATCTGGCTACCATGAGAGATTCGTTCATGAGGCTATCCACATATACAAGCACAGAGACAATTTCAACCGAGAAGATGGATTCTGGCTTAGCAATCATTGGAAGGATTTGATAAACCATTTCAGGTCTTAATTGATTGTTCACGCTTATGGTGGCTTTCAGACAGCATGCATTAATTTTTCGTCCCCTCTTTTCAGAACATAGATGGACTCGTCCTTCTAAATAAACTGCCAAATCGCTGCCCGTGGTGCTTACGTTTTTTTTATAAATAAGTAAGTAAATACACCGTTTAAAAATAAATAAATGCAAACCGCCACTTCTTCCAAATGTTTTTTGCCGTTGGTTTTTCACACCTGATAATGACCGTTTGTGTTATGGTTGAAACGTCGTGAGAATTTTTATTGTTTTATATATATTTTATTATTTTATTGTTTCCCTTCAACGTGACTTTAAAGAAAGAGCTAAGAATATGAATATTAACGTATACGACCCATGTTTTAACTCACTGCAGTTGCTTTCGTCTGAATAGTCTCCACAGTCGTTGACTCCATCACACACGAACACTATTCCAAGGCAGGTTCCATTGCCACAAAGGATTTGGTCTGAGCGGCATTGGCAGTTTGGAGTCTGATCACTCTGGTCTGCACAGTCGGGCTCCCCATCACAGTAAAGATGTCCAGGGATGCAATGCTTCTTATCGGCACAGCGAAACTCACTGTCGGAACAATCTGGGATGACAATGATAACAGGTTAAATTTTGGTGACACTTTATACTTTGACAATTATGAATTTGTGCTGAATTTGCCCTAGCCGTTGTCCAAGTTACTTTATGGAATGCAAATTGACAGATATTTAGATTAAACGCATCCGTCTTTAGGTTATCTATTGGCAGTTAACAGAGTAATTCAGTAAACAAACCTCTTTCACAGTTGTTTTCATCAGATCCATCACTACAGTCAGTTTCTCCATCGCAGACGTAGAGTGGGTCCAAACATTCGGTGTTACTGTTATTGCATTTGTACTGATTCGGAGTGCAAGCTGCAAAAAACCAATGTCAATTAATACCTTCCTATAAATGAACACATTTTTTCATTGAGATATGGAATTCTTAACTTAAAGTATACGTCCCATGTTTTAACTCACTGCATTTGCTTTCGTCTGAATAGTCTCCACAGTCGTTGACTCCATCACACACGAACACTATTCCAAGGCAGCTTCCATTGGCACAACGGATTTGGTCTGAGCGGCATTGGCAGTTTGGAGTCTCATCACTCTGGTCTGCACAGTCGGGCTCCCCATCACAGTAAAGATGTCCAGGGATGCAATGCTTATCGGCACAGCGGAACTCACTGTTGGAACACTCTGGGATGACAACGATAAAAGGTTAAATATTGGTGACATTTTATACTTTGACAATTATTAATTTGCGCTGAATTTGCCCTAGCCGCTGTCCAAGTTACTTTACGGAATGCAAATTGACAGAGATTTAGATAAAACGCATCCGTCTTTAGGTTAGCTATTGGCAGTTAATAGAGTAATTGAGTAAACAAACCTCTTTCACAATTGCTTTCATCAGATCCATCACTACAGTCAGTTTCTCCATCGCAGACGTAGAGTGGGTCCAAACATTCGGTGTTACTGTTATTGCATTTGTACTGATTCGGAGTGCAAGCTGCAAAAAACAATGTCAATGAATACCTTCCTATAAATGAACACATTTTTTCATTGAGATATGGAATTCTTAACTTAAAGTATACGATCTCCAAAATCTTGAATAAACACAAGATCCAGGTCCATTTCAACACATTACATAAAATCCGAGATCTGGTTCCGTCTGTAAAAGATGTGATTCCGGACATACAGTACCCTGGTGTCTACAAACTAAGTTGCCTCTGTGGTAGTAGTTACATTGGAGAAATCAAACGCCATGTCTCGGACCGCATTCGTGAACACAAAGCAGACCTTAAACACGGTAGGATCAACAGCCCCCGGTCGTGGCAGATCATTGTTATAATTCAGTAGGCTCACGTGACATTGACTTCTCCAAGACAGAGGTTCTTTGTAAGCCATCTGGCTACCATGAGAGATTCGTTCATGAGGCTATCCACATATACACGCGCAGAGACAATTTCAACCGAGAAGATGGATTCTGGCTTGGCAATCATTGGAAGGATTTGATAAACCATTTCAGGTCTTAATTGATTGTTCACGCTTATGGTGGCTTTCAGACAGCATGCATTAATTTTTCGTCTCTCCCCTCGTCTTTTCAGAACATAGATAGACTCGTCCTTCTAAATAAACTGCCAAATCGCTGCCCGTGGTGCTAACGTTTTTTTTTTATAAATAAGTAAGTAAATACACCGTTTAAAAATAAATAAATGCAAACCGCCACTTCTTTCGAATGTTTCTTGCCATTGGTTTTTCACACCTGATGATGACCGTTTGTGTTATGGTCGAAACGTCATGAGAATTTTTATTGTTTTATATATATTTTATTATTTTATTGTTTCCCTTCAACGTGACTTTAATGAAAGAGCTAAAAATATGAATATTAAAGTATATGTCCCATGTTTTAACTCACTGCATTTGTTTTCGTCTGAATAGTCTCCACAGTCGTTGACTCCATCACACACGAACACTATTCCAAGGCAGCTTCCATTGGCACAACGGATTTGGTCTGAGCGGCATTGGCAGTTTGGAGTCTCATCACTCTGGTCTGCACAGTCGGGCTCCCCATCACAGTAAAAATGTCCAGGGATGCAATGCTTCTTATCGGCACAGCGGAACTCACTGTTGGAACACTCTGGGATGACAACGATAAAAAGTTAAATATTGGTGACACTTTATACTTTGACAATTATGAATTTGTGCTGAATTTGCCCTAGCCGTTGTCCAAGTTACTTTATGGAATGCAAATTGACAGATATTTAGATTAAACGCATCCGTCTTTAGGTTATCTATTGGCAGTTAACAGAGTAATTCAGTAAACAAACCTCTTTCACAGTTGTTTTCATCAGATCCATCACTACAGTCAGTTTCTCCATCGCAGACGTAGAGTGGGTCCAAACATTTGGTGTTACTGTTATTGCATTTGTACTGATTCAGAGTGCAAGCTGCAAAAAAACAATGTCAATTAATACCTTCCTATGAATGATAGATTTTTTTATTGAGATATGGAATTCTTAACTTAAAGTATACGTCCCATGTTTTAACTCACTGCAGTTGCTTTCGTCTGAATAGTCTCCACAGTCGTTGACTCCATCACACACGAACACTATTCCAAGGCAGCTTCCATTGGCACAACGGATTTGGTCTGAGCGGCATTGGCAGTTTGGAGTCTCATCACTCTGGTCTGCACAGTCGGGCTCCCCATCACAGTAAAGATGTCCAGGGATGCAATGCTTCTTATCGGCACAGCGGAACTCACTGTTGGAACACTCTGGGATGACAACGATAATAGGTTAAATATTGGTGACATTTTATACTTTGACAATTATGAATTTGTGCTGAATTTGCCCTAGCCGTTGTCCAAGTTACTTTATGGAATGTAAATTGACAGATATTTAGATTAAACGCATCCGTCTTTAGGTTATCTATTGGCAGTTAACAGAGTAATTCAGTAAACAAACCTCTTTCACAGTTGTTTTCATCAGATCCATCACTACAGTCAGTTTCTCCATCGCAGACGTAGAGTGGGTCCAAACATTCGGTGTTACTGTTATTGCATTTGTACTGATTCGGAGTGCAAGCTGCAAAAAACCAATGTCAATTAATACCTTCCTATAAATGATACAGATTTTTTATTGAGATATGGAATTCTTAACTTAAAGTATACGTCCCATGTTTTAACTCACTGCATTTGCTTTCGTCTGAATAGTCTCCACAGTCGTTGACTCCATCACACACGAACACTATTCCAAGGCAGCTTCCATTGGCACAACGGATTTGGTCTGAGCGGCATTGGCAGTTTGGAGTCTCATCACTCTGGTCTGCACAGTCGGGCTCCCCATCACAGTAAAGATGTCCAGGGATGCAATGCTTCTTATCGACACAGCGGAATTCACTGTTGGAACACTCTGGGATGACAACGATAAAAGGTTAAATATTGGTGACATTTTATACTTTGACAATTATTAATTTGTGCTGAATTTGCCCTAGCCGCTGTCCAAGTTACTTTACGGAATGCAAATTGACAGATATTTAGATAAAACGCATCCGTCTTTAGGTTAGCTATTGGCAGTTAATAGAGTAATTCAGTAAACAAACCTCTTTCACAATTGCTTTCATCAGATCCATCACTACAGTCAGTTTCTCCATCGCAGACGTAGAGTGGGTCCAAACATTCGGTGTTACTGTTATTGCATTTGTACTGATTCGGAGTGCAAGCTGCAAAAAACAATGTCAATGAATACCTTCCTATAAATGAACACATTTTTTCATTGAGATATGGAATTCTTAACTTAAAGTATACGATCTCCAAAATCTTGAATAAACACAAGATCCAGGTCCATTTCAACACATTACATAAAATCCGAGATCTGGTTCCGTCTGTAAAAGATGTGATTCCGGACATACAGTACCCTGGTGTCTACAAACTAAGTTGCCTCTGTGGTAGTAGTTACATTGGAGAAATCAAACGCCATGTCTCGGACCGCATTCGTGAACACAAAGCAGACCTTAAACACGGTAGGACCAACAGCCCCCGGTCGTGGCAGATCATTGTTATAATTCAGTAGGCTCACGTGACATTGACTTCTCCAAGACAGAGGTTCTTTGTAAGCCATCTGGCTACCATGAGAGATTCGTTCATGAGGCTATCCACATATACAAGCACAGAGACAATTTCAATCGAGAAGATGGATTCTGGCTTAGCAATCATTGGAAGGATTTGATAAACCATTTCAGGTCTTAATTGATTGTTCACGCTTATGGTGGCTTTCAGACAGCATGCATTAATTTTTCGTCTCTCCCCTCGTCTTTTCAGAACATAGATAGACTCGTCCTTCTAAATAAACTGCCAAATCGCTGCCCGTGGTGCTAACGTTTTTTTTTATAAATAAGTAAGTAAATACACTGTTTAAAAATAAATAAATGCAAACCGCCACTTCTTTCGAATGTTTCTTGCCGTTGGTTTTTCACACCTGATGATGACTGTTTTTGTTATGGTCGAAACGTCATGAGAATTTTTATTGTTTTATATATATTTTATTATTTTATTGTTTCCCTTCAACGTGACTTTAATGAAAGAGCTAAGAATATGAATATTAAAGTATACGTCCCATGTTTTAACTCACTGCATTTGTTTTCGTCTGAATAGTCTCCACAGTCGTTGACTCCATCACACACGAACACTATTCCAAGGCAGCTTCCATTGGCACAACGGATTTGGTCTGAGCGGCATTGGCAGTTTGGAGTCTCATCACTCTGGTCTGCACAGTCGGGCTCCCCATCACAGTAAAGATGTCCAGGGATGCAATGCTTCTTATCGGCACAGCGGAACTCACTGTTGGAACACTCTGGGATGACAACGATAAAAGGTTAAATATTGGTGACATTTTATACTTTGACAATTATGAATTTGTGCTGAATTTGCCCTAGCCGCTGTCCAAGTTACTTTATGGAATGCAAATTGACAGATATTTAGATAAAACACATCCGTTTTTAGGTTATCTATTGGCAGTTAATAGAGTAATTCAATAAACAAACCTCTTTCACAGTTGATTTCATCAGATCCATCACTACAGTCAGTTTCTCCATCGCAGACGTAGAGTGGGTCCAAACATTCGGTGTTACTGTTATTGCATTTGTACTGATTCGGAGTGCAAGCTGCAAAAAACCAATGTCAATTAATACCTTCCTATAAATGATACAGATTTTTTATTGAGATATGGAATTCTTAACTTAAAGTATACGTCCCATGTTTTAACTCACTGCATTTGCTTTCGTCTGAATAGTCTCCACAGTCGTTGACTCCATCACACACGAACACTATTCCAAGGCAGCTTCCATTGGCACAACGGATTTGGTCTGAGCGGCATTGGCAGTTTGGAGTCTCATCACTCTGGTCTGCACAGTCGGGCTCCCCATCACAGTAAAGATGTCCAGGGATGCAATGCTTATCGGCACAGCGGAACTCACTGTTGGAACACTCTGGGATGACAACGATAAAAGGTTAAATATTGGTGACATTTTATACTTTGACAATTATGAATTTGTGCTGAATTTGCCCTAGCCGCTGTCCAAGTTACTTTATGGAATGCAAATTGACAGATATTTAGATAAAACGCATCCGTCTTTAGGTTAGCTATTGGCAGTTAATAGAGTAATTGAGTAAACAAACCTCTTTCACAGTTGCTTTCATCAGATCCATCACTACAGTCAGTTTCTCCATCGCAGACGTAGAGTGGGTCCAAACAATCGGTGTTACTGTTATTGCATTTGTACTGATTCGGAGTGCAAGCTGCAAAAAACAATGTCAATGAATACCTTCCTATAAATGAACACATTTTTTCATTGAGATATGTAATTCTTAAATTAAAGTATACGATCTCCAAAATCTTGACTAAACACAAGATCCAGGTCCATTTCAACACATTACGTAAAATCCGAGATCTGGTTCCGTCTGTAAAAGATGTAATTCCGGACATACATTACCCTGGTGTTTACAAAGTAAGTTGCCTCTGTGGTAGTAGTTACATTGGAGAAACCAAACGCCATGTCTCGGACCGCATTCGTGAACACAAAGCAGACCTTAAACACGGTAGGACCAACACCCCCCGGTCGTGGCAGATCATTGTTATAATTCAGTAGGCTCACATGACATTGACTTCTCCAAGACAGATGTTCTTTGTAAGCCATCTGGCTACCATGAGAGATTCGTTCATGAGGCTATCCACATATACAAGCACAGAGACAATTTCAACCGAGAAGATGGATTCTGGCTTAGCAATCATTGGAAGGATTTGATAAACCATTTCAGGTCTTAATTGATTGTTCACGCTTATGGTGGCTTTCAGACAGCATGCATTAATTTTTCGTCCCCTCTTTTCAGAACATAGATGGACTCGTCCTTCTAAATAAACTGCCAAATCGCTGCCCGTGGTGCTTACGTTTTTTTTATAAATAAGTAAGTAAATACACCGTTTAAAAATAAATAAATGCAAACCGCCACTTCTTCCAAATGTTTTTTGCCGTTGGTTTTTCACACCTGATAATGACCGTTTGTGTTATGGTTGAAACGTCGTGAGAATTTTTATTGTTTTATATATATTTTATTATTTTATTGTTTCCCTTCAACGTGACTTTAAAGAAAGAGCTAAGAATATGAATATTAACGTATACGACCCATGTTTTAACTCACTGCAGTTGCTTTCGTCTGAATAGTCTCCACAGTCGTTGACTCCATCACACACGAACACTATTCCAAGGCAGGTTCCATTGCCACAAAGGATTTGGTCTGAGCGGCATTGGCAGTTTGGAGTCTGATCACTCTGGTCTGCACAGTCGGGCTCCCCATCACAGTAAAGATGTCCAGGGATGCAATGCTTCTTATCGGCACAGCGAAACTCACTGTCGGAACAATCTGGGATGACAATGATAACAGGTTAAATTTTGGTGACACTTTATACTTTGACAATTATGAATTTGTGCTGAATTTGCCCTAGCCGTTGTCCAAGTTACTTTATGGAATGCAAATTGACAGATATTTAGATTAAACGCATCCGTCTTTAGGTTATCTATTGGCAGTTAACAGAGTAATTCAGTAAACAAACCTCTTTCACAGTTGTTTTCATCAGATCCATCACTACAGTCAGTTTCTCCATCGCAGACGTAGAGTGGGTCCAAACATTCGGTGTTACTGTTATTGCATTTGTACTGATTCGGAGTGCAAGCTGCAAAAAACCAATGTCAATTAATACCTTCCTATAAATGAACACATTTTTTCATTGAGATATGGAATTCTTAACTTAAAGTATACGTCCCATGTTTTAACTCACTGCATTTGCTTTCGTCTGAATAGTCTCCACAGTCGTTGACTCCATCACACACGAACACTATTCCAAGGCAGCTTCCATTGGCACAACGGATTTGGTCTGAGCGGCATTGGCAGTTTGGAGTCTCATCACTCTGGTCTGCACAGTCGGGCTCCCCATCACAGTAAAGATGTCCAGGGATGCAATGCTTATCGGCACAGCGGAACTCACTGTTGGAACACTCTGGGATGACAACGATAAAAGGTTAAATATTGGTGACATTTTATACTTTGACAATTATTAATTTGCGCTGAATTTGCCCTAGCCGCTGTCCAAGTTACTTTACGGAATGCAAATTGACAGAGATTTAGATAAAACGCATCCGTCTTTAGGTTAGCTATTGGCAGTTAATAGAGTAATTGAGTAAACAAACCTCTTTCACAATTGCTTTCATCAGATCCATCACTACAGTCAGTTTCTCCATCGCAGACGTAGAGTGGGTCCAAACATTCGGTGTTACTGTTATTGCATTTGTACTGATTCGGAGTGCAAGCTGCAAAAAACAATGTCAATGAATACCTTCCTATAAATGAACACATTTTTTCATTGAGATATGGAATTCTTAACTTAAAGTATACGATCTCCAAAATCTTGAATAAACACAAGATCCAGGTCCATTTCAACACATTACATAAAATCCGAGATCTGGTTCCGTCTGTAAAAGATGTGATTCCGGACATACAGTACCCTGGTGTCTACAAACTAAGTTGCCTCTGTGGTAGTAGTTACATTGGAGAAATCAAACGCCATGTCTCGGACCGCATTCGTGAACACAAAGCAGACCTTAAACACGGTAGGATCAACAGCCCCCGGTCGTGGCAGATCATTGTTATAATTCAGTAGGCTCACGTGACATTGACTTCTCCAAGACAGAGGTTCTTTGTAAGCCATCTGGCTACCATGAGAGATTCGTTCATGAGGCTATCCACATATACACGCGCAGAGACAATTTCAACCGAGAAGATGGATTCTGGCTTGGCAATCATTGGAAGGATTTGATAAACCATTTCAGGTCTTAATTGATTGTTCACGCTTATGGTGGCTTTCAGACAGCATGCATTAATTTTTCGTCTCTCCCCTCGTCTTTTCAGAACATAGATAGACTCGTCCTTCTAAATAAACTGCCAAATCGCTGCCCGTGGTGCTAACGTTTTTTTTTTATAAATAAGTAAGTAAATACACCGTTTAAAAATAAATAAATGCAAACCGCCACTTCTTTCGAATGTTTCTTGCCATTGGTTTTTCACACCTGATGATGACCGTTTGTGTTATGGTCGAAACGTCATGAGAATTTTTATTGTTTTATATATATTTTATTATTTTATTGTTTCCCTTCAACGTGACTTTAATGAAAGAGCTAAAAATATGAATATTAAAGTATATGTCCCATGTTTTAACTCACTGCATTTGTTTTCGTCTGAATAGTCTCCACAGTCGTTGACTCCATCACACACGAACACTATTCCAAGGCAGCTTCCATTGGCACAACGGATTTGGTCTGAGCGGCATTGGCAGTTTGGAGTCTCATCACTCTGGTCTGCACAGTCGGGCTCCCCATCACAGTAAAAATGTCCAGGGATGCAATGCTTCTTATCGGCACAGCGGAACTCACTGTTGGAACACTCTGGGATGACAACGATAAAAAGTTAAATATTGGTGACACTTTATACTTTGACAATTATGAATTTGTGCTGAATTTGCCCTAGCCGTTGTCCAAGTTACTTTATGGAATGCAAATTGACAGATATTTAGATTAAACGCATCCGTCTTTAGGTTATCTATTGGCAGTTAACAGAGTAATTCAGTAAACAAACCTCTTTCACAGTTGTTTTCATCAGATCCATCACTACAGTCAGTTTCTCCATCGCAGACGTAGAGTGGGTCCAAACATTTGGTGTTACTGTTATTGCATTTGTACTGATTCAGAGTGCAAGCTGCAAAAAAACAATGTCAATTAATACCTTCCTATGAATGATAGATTTTTTTATTGAGATATGGAATTCTTAACTTAAAGTATACGTCCCATGTTTTAACTCACTGCAGTTGCTTTCGTCTGAATAGTCTCCACAGTCGTTGACTCCATCACACACGAACACTATTCCAAGGCAGCTTCCATTGGCACAACGGATTTGGTCTGAGCGGCATTGGCAGTTTGGAGTCTCATCACTCTGGTCTGCACAGTCGGGCTCCCCATCACAGTAAAGATGTCCAGGGATGCAATGCTTCTTATCGGCACAGCGGAACTCACTGTTGGAACACTCTGGGATGACAACGATAATAGGTTAAATATTGGTGACATTTTATACTTTGACAATTATGAATTTGTGCTGAATTTGCCCTAGCCGTTGTCCAAGTTACTTTATGGAATGTAAATTGACAGATATTTAGATTAAACGCATCCGTCTTTAGGTTATCTATTGGCAGTTAACAGAGTAATTCAGTAAACAAACCTCTTTCACAGTTGTTTTCATCAGATCCATCACTACAGTCAGTTTCTCCATCGCAGACGTAGAGTGGGTCCAAACATTCGGTGTTACTGTTATTGCATTTGTACTGATTCGGAGTGCAAGCTGCAAAAAACCAATGTCAATTAATACCTTCCTATAAATGATACAGATTTTTTATTGAGATATGGAATTCTTAACTTAAAGTATACGTCCCATGTTTTAACTCACTGCATTTGCTTTCGTCTGAATAGTCTCCACAGTCGTTGACTCCATCACACACGAACACTATTCCAAGGCAGCTTCCATTGGCACAACGGATTTGGTCTGAGCGGCATTGGCAGTTTGGAGTCTCATCACTCTGGTCTGCACAGTCGGGCTCCCCATCACAGTAAAGATGTCCAGGGATGCAATGCTTCTTATCGACACAGCGGAATTCACTGTTGGAACACTCTGGGATGACAACGATAAAAGGTTAAATATTGGTGACATTTTATACTTTGACAATTATTAATTTGTGCTGAATTTGCCCTAGCCGCTGTCCAAGTTACTTTACGGAATGCAAATTGACAGATATTTAGATAAAACGCATCCGTCTTTAGGTTAGCTATTGGCAGTTAATAGAGTAATTCAGTAAACAAACCTCTTTCACAATTGCTTTCATCAGATCCATCACTACAGTCAGTTTCTCCATCGCAGACGTAGAGTGGGTCCAAACATTCGGTGTTACTGTTATTGCATTTGTACTGATTCGGAGTGCAAGCTGCAAAAAACAATGTCAATGAATACCTTCCTATAAATGAACACATTTTTTCATTGAGATATGGAATTCTTAACTTAAAGTATACGATCTCCAAAATCTTGAATAAACACAAGATCCAGGTCCATTTCAACACATTACATAAAATCCGAGATCTGGTTCCGTCTGTAAAAGATGTGATTCCGGACATACAGTACCCTGGTGTCTACAAACTAAGTTGCCTCTGTGGTAGTAGTTACATTGGAGAAATCAAACGCCATGTCTCGGACCGCATTCGTGAACACAAAGCAGACCTTAAACACGGTAGGACCAACAGCCCCCGGTCGTGGCAGATCATTGTTATAATTCAGTAGGCTCACGTGACATTGACTTCTCCAAGACAGAGGTTCTTTGTAAGCCATCTGGCTACCATGAGAGATTCGTTCATGAGGCTATCCACATATACAAGCACAGAGACAATTTCAATCGAGAAGATGGATTCTGGCTTAGCAATCATTGGAAGGATTTGATAAACCATTTCAGGTCTTAATTGATTGTTCACGCTTATGGTGGCTTTCAGACAGCATGCATTAATTTTTCGTCTCTCCCCTCGTCTTTTCAGAACATAGATAGACTCGTCCTTCTAAATAAACTGCCAAATCGCTGCCCGTGGTGCTAACGTTTTTTTTTATAAATAAGTAAGTAAATACACTGTTTAAAAATAAATAAATGCAAACCGCCACTTCTTTCGAATGTTTCTTGCCGTTGGTTTTTCACACCTGATGATGACTGTTTTTGTTATGGTCGAAACGTCATGAGAATTTTTATTGTTTTATATATATTTTATTATTTTATTGTTTCCCTTCAACGTGACTTTAATGAAAGAGCTAAGAATATGAATATTAAAGTATACGTCCCATGTTTTAACTCACTGCATTTGTTTTCGTCTGAATAGTCTCCACAGTCGTTGACTCCATCACACACGAACACTATTCCAAGGCAGCTTCCATTGGCACAACGGATTTGGTCTGAGCGGCATTGGCAGTTTGGAGTCTCATCACTCTGGTCTGCACAGTCGGGCTCCCCATCACAGTAAAGATGTCCAGGGATGCAATGCTTCTTATCGGCACAGCGGAACTCACTGTTGGAACACTCTGGGATGACAACGATAAAAAGTTAAATATTGGTGACACTTTATACTTTGACAATTATGAATTTGTGCTGAATTTGCCCTAGCCGTTGTCCAAGTTACTTTATGGAATGCAAATTGACAGATATTTAGATTAAACGCATCCGTCTTTAGGTTATCTATTGGCAGTTAACAGAGTAATTCAGTAAACAAACCTCTTTCACAGTTGTTTTCATCAGATCCATCACTACAGTCAGTTTCTCCATCGCAGACGTAGAGTGGGTCCAAACATTTGGTGTTACTGTTATTGCATTTGTACTGATTCGGAGTGCAAGCTGCAAAAAAACAATGTCAATTAATACCTTCCTATAAATGATAGATTTTTTTATTGAGATATGGAATTCTTAACTTAAAGTATACGATCTCCAAAATCTTGAATAAACACAAGATCCAGGTCCATTTCAACACATTACATAAAATCCAAGATCTGGTTCCGTCTGTAAAAGATGTGATTCCGGACATACAGTACCCTGGTGTCTACAAACTAAGTTGCCTCAGTGGTAGTAGTTACATTGGAGAAACCAAACGCCATGTCTCGGACCGCATTCGTGAACACAAAGCAGACCTTAAACACGGTAGGACCAACACCCCCCGTCGTGGCAGATCATTGTTATAATTCAGTAGGCTCACATGACATTGACTTCTCCAAGACAGAGGTTCTTTGTAAGCCATCTGGCTACCATGAGAGATTCGTTCATGAGGCTATCCAAATATACAAGCACAGAAACAATTTCAACCGAGAAGATGGATTCTGGCTTAGCAATCATTGGAAGGATTTGATAAACCATTTCAGGTCTTAATTGATTGTTCACGCTTATGGTGGCTTTCAGACAGCATTCATTAATTTTTCGTCTCCCCCCTCCTCTTTTCAGAACATAGATGGACTCGTCCTTCTAAATAAACTGCCAAATCGCTGCCCGTGGTGCTAATGATTTTTTATAAATAAGTAAATACACCGTTTAAAAATAAATAACTGCAAACCGCCACTTCTTTCAAATGTTTCTTGCCGTTGGTTTTTCACACCTGATGATGACCGTTTGTGTTATGGTCGAAACGTCGTGAGAATTTTTATTGTTTTATATATATTTATTATTTTATTGTTTCCCTTCAACGTGACTTTAATGAAAGAGCTAAGAATATGAATATTAAAGTATACGTCCCATGTTTTAACTCACTGCAGTTGCTTTCGTCTGAATAGTCTCCACAGTCGTTGACTCCATCACACACGAACACTATTCCAAGGCAGCTTCCATTGGCACAACGGATTTGGTCTGAGCGGCATTGGCAGTTTGGAGTCTCATCACTCTGGTCTGCACAGTCGGGCTCCCCATCACAGTAAAGATGTCCAGGGATGCAATGCTTCTGATCGGCACAGCGGAACTCACTGTTGGAACACTCTGGGATGACAACGATAATAGGTTAAATATTGGTGACATTTTATACTTTGACAATTATGAATTTGTGCTGAATTTGCCCTAGCCGTTGTCCAAGTTACTTTATGGAATACAAATTGACAGATATTTAGATTAAACGCATCCGTCTTTAGGTTATCTATTGGCAGTTAACAGAGTAATTCAGTAAACAAACCTCTTTCACAGTTGTTTTCATCAGATCCATCACTACAGTCAGTTTCTCCATCGCAGACGTAGAGTGGGTCCAAACATTCGGTGTTACTGTTATTGCATTTGTACTGATTCGGAGTGCAAGCTGCAAAAAACCAATGTCAATTAATACCTTCCTATAAATGATACAGATTTTTTATTGAGATATGGAATTCTTAACTTAAAGTATACGTCCCATGTTTTAACTCACTGCATTTGCTTTCGTCTGAATAGTCTCCACAGTCGTTGACTCCATCACACACGAACACTATTCCAAGGCAGCTTCCATTGGCACAACGGATTTGGTCTGAGCGGCATTGGCAGTTTGGAGTCTCATCACTCTGGTCTGCACAGTCGGGCTCCCCATCACAGTAAAGATGTCCAGGGATGCAATGCTTCTTATCGACACAGCGGAATTCACTGTTGGAACACTCTGGGATGACAACGATAAAAGGTTAAATATTGGTGACATTTTATACTTTGACAATTATTAATTTGTGCTGAATTTGCCCTAGCCGCTGTCCAAGTTACTTTACGGAATGCAAATTGACAGATATTTAGATAAAACGCATCCGTCTTTAGGTTAGCTATTGGCAGTTAATAGAGTAATTCAGTAAACAAACCTCTTTCACAATTGCTTTCATCAGATCCATCACTACAGTCAGTTTCTCCATCGCAGACGTAGAGTGGGTCCAAACATTCGGTGTTACTGTTATTGCATTTGTACTGATTCGGAGTGCAAGCTGCAAAAAACAATGTCAATGAATACCTTCCTATAAATGAACACATTTTTTCATTGAGATATGGAATTCTTAACTTAAAGTATACGATCTCCAAAATCTTGAATAAACACAAGATCCAGGTCCATTTCAACACATTACATAAAATCCGAGATCTGGTTCCGTCTGTAAAAGATGTGATTCCGGACATACAGTACCCTGGTGTCTACAAACTAAGTTGCCTCTGTGGTAGTAGTTACATTGGAGAAATCAAACGCCATGTCTCGGACCGCATTCGTGAACACAAAGCAGACCTTAAACACGGTAGGACCAACAGCCCCCGGTCGTGGCATATCATTGTTATAATTCAGTAGGCTCACGTGACATTGACTTCTCCAAGACAGAGGTTCTTTGTAAGCCATCTGGCTACCATGAGAGATTCGTTCATGAGGCTATCCACATATACAAGCACAGAGACAATTTCAATCGAGAAGATGGATTCTGGCTTAGCAATCATTGGAAGGATTTGATAAACCATTTCAGGTCTTAATTGATTGTTCACGCTTATGGTGGCTTTCAGACAGCATGCATTAATTTTTCGTCTCTCCCCTCGTCTTTTCAGAACATAGATAGACTCGTCCTTCTAAATAAACTGCCAAATCGCTGCCCGTGGTGCTAACGTTTTTTTTTATAAATAAGTAAGTAAATACACCGTTTAAAAATAAATAAATGCAAACCGCCACTTCTTTCGAATGTTTCTTGCCGTTGGTTTTTCACACCTGATGATGACTGTTTTTGTTATGGTCGAAACGTCATGAGAATTTTTATTGTTTTATATATATTTTATTATTTTATTGTTTCCCTTCAACGTGACTTTAATGAAAGAGCTAAGAATATGAATATTAAAGTATACGTCCCATGTTTTAACTCACTGCATTTGTTTTCGTCTGAATAGTCTCCACAGTCGTTGACTCCATCACACACGAACACTATTCCAAGGCAGCTTCCATTGGCACAACGGATTTGGTCTGAGCGGCATTGGCAGTTTGGAGTCTCATCACTCTGGTCTGCACAGTCGGGCTCCCCATCACAGTAAAGATGTCCAGGGATGCAATGCTTCTTATCGGCACAGCGGAACTCACTGTTGGAACACTCTGGGATGACAACGATAAAAAGTTAAATATTGGTGACACTTTATACTTTGACAATTATGAATTTGTGCTGAATTTGCCCTAGCCGTTGTCCAAGTTACTTTATGGAATGCAAATTGACAGATATTTAGATTAAACGCATCCGTCTTTAGGTTATCTATTGGCAGTTAACAGAGTAATTCAGTAAACAAACCTCTTTCACAGTTGTTTTCATCAGATCCATCACTACAGTCAGTTTCTCCATCGCAGACGTAGAGTGGGTCCAAACATTTGGTGTTACTGTTATTGCATTTGTACTGATTCGGAGTGCAAGCTGCAAAAAAACAATGTCAATTAATACCTTCCTATAAATGATAGATTTTTTTATTGAGATATGGAATTCTTAACTTAAAGTATACGATCTCCAAAATCTTGAATAAACACAAGATCCAGGTCCATTTCAACACATTACATAAAATCCAAGATCTGGTTCCGTCTGTAAAAGATGTGATTCCGGACATACAGTACCCTGGTGTCTACAAACTAAGTTGCCTCTGTGGTAGTAGTTACATTGGAGAAACCAAACGCCATGTCTCGGACCGCATTCGTGAACACAAAGCAGACCTTAAACACGGTAGGACCAACACCCCCCGTCGTGGCAGATCATTGTTATAATTCAGTAGGCTCACATGACATTGACTTCTCCAAGACAGAGGTTCTTTGTAAGCCATCTGGCTACCATGAGAGATTCGTTCATGAGGCTATCCAAATATACAAGCACAGAAACAATTTCAACCGAGAAGATGGATTCTGGCTTAGCAATCATTGGAAGGATTTGATAAACCATTTCAGGTCTTAATTGATTGTTCACGCTTATGGTGGCTTTCAGACAGCATGCATTAATTTTTCGTCTCCCCCCTCCTCTTTTCAGAACATAGATGGACTCGTCCTTCTAAATAAACTGCCAAATCGCTGCCCGTGGTGCTAATGATTTTTTATAAATAAGTAAATACACCGTTTAAAAATAAATAACTGCAAACCGCCACTTCTTTCAAATGTTTCTTGCCGTTGGTTTTTCACACCTGATGATGACCGTTTGTGTTATGGTCGAAACGTCGTGAGAATTTTTATTGTTTTATATATATTTATTATTTTATTGTTTCCCTTCAACGTGACTTTAATGAAAGAGCTAAGAATATGAATATTAAAGTATACGTCCCATGTTTTAACTCACTGCAGTTGCTTTCGTCTGAATAGTCTCCACAGTCGTTGACTCCATCACACACGAACACTATTCCAAGGCAGCTTCCATTGGCACAACGGATTTGGTCTGAGCGGCATTGGCAGTTTGGAGTCTCATCACTCTGGTCTGCACAGTCGGGCTCCCCATCACAGTAAAGATGTCCAGGGATGCAATGCTTATCGGCACAGCGGAACTCACTGTTGGAACACTCTGGGATGACAACGATAAAAGGTTAAATATTGGTGACACTTTATACTTTGACAATTATGAATTTGTGCTGAATTTGCCCTAGCCGTTGTCCAAGTTACTTTATGGAATGCAAATTGACAGATATTTAGATTAAACGCATCTGTCTTTAGGTTATCTATTGGCAGTTAACAGAGTAATTCAGTAAACAAACCTCTTTCACAGTTGTTTTCATCAGATCCATCACTACAGTCAGTTTCTCCATCGCAGACGTAGAGTGGGTCCAAACATTCGGTGTTACTGTTATGGCATTTGTACTGATTCGGAGTGCAAGCTGCAAAAAACAATGTCAATTAATACCTTCCTATAAATGATACAGATTTTTTCATTGAGATATGGAATTCTTAACTTAAAGTATACGTCCAATGTTTTAACTCACTGCAGTTGCTTTCGTCTGAATAGTCTCCACAGTCGTTGACTCCATCACACACGAACACTATTCCAAGGCAGGTTCCATTGGCACAACGGATTTGGTCTGAGCGGCATTGGCAGTTTGGAGTCTCATCACTCTGGTCTGCACAGTCGGGCTCCCCATCAAAGTAAAGATGTCCAGGGATGCAATGCTTCTTATCGGCACAGCGGAACTCACTGTCGGAACACTCTGGGATGACAACGATAAAAGGTGAAATATTGGTGACATTTTATACTTCGACAATTATGAATTTGTGCTGAATATGCCCTAGCCACTGTCCAAGTTACTTTATGGAATCCAAATTGACAGATATTTAGATAAAACACATCGGTATTTAGGTTATCTATTGGCAGTTAATAGAGTAATTTAGTAAACAAACCTCTTTCACAGTTGTTTTCATCAGATCCATCACTACAGTCAGTTTCTCCATCGCAGACGTAGAGTGGGTCCAAACATTCGGTGTAACTGTTATTGCATTTGTACTGATTCGGAGTGCAAGCTGCAAAAAAACAACGTCAATTAATACCTTCCTATAAATGATACAGATTTTTTCATTGAGATATGGAATTCTTAACTTAAAGTATACGTCCCATGTTTTAACTCACTGCAGTTGCTTTCGTCTGAATAGTCTCCACAGTCGTTGACTCCATCACACACGAACACTATTCCAAGGCAGCTTCCATTGGCACAACGGATTTGGTCTGAGCGGCATTGGCAGTTTGGAGTCTCATCACTCTGGTCTGCACAGTCGGGCTCCCCATCACAGTAAAGATGTCCAGGGATGCAATGCTTCTTATCGGAACAGCGGAACTCACTGTCGGAACACTCTGGGATGACAACGATAAAAGGTGAAATATTGGTGACATTTTATACTTCGACAATTATGAATTTGTGCTGAATATGCCCTAGCCACTGTCCAAGTTAATTTATGGAATCCAAATTGACAGATATTTAGATAAAACGCATCCGTCTTTAGGTTATCTATTGGCAGTTAATAGAGTAATTTAGTAAACAAACCTCTTTCACAGTTGTTTTCATCAGATCCATCACTACAGTCAGTTTCTCCATCGCAGACGTAGAGTGGGTCCAAACATTCGGTGTAACTGTTATTGCATTTGTACTGATTCGGAGTGCAAGCTGCAAAAAAACAACGTCAATTAATACCTTCCTATAAATGATACAGATTTTTTCATTGAGATATGGAATTCTTAACTTAAAGTATACGTCCCATGTTTTAACTCACTGCAGTTACTTTCGTCTGAATAGTCTCCACAGTCATTGACTCCATCACACACGAACACTATTCCAAGGCAGCTTCCATTGGCACAACGGATTTGGTCTGAGCGGCATTGGCAGTTTGGAGTCTCATCACTCTGGTCTGCACAGTCGGGCTCCCCATCACAGTAAAGATGTCCAGGGATGCAATGCTTCTTATCGGAACAGCGGAACTCACTGTCGGAACACTCTGGGATGACAACGATAAAAGGTGAAATATTGGTGACATTTTATACTTCGACAATTATGAATTTGTGCTGAATATGCCCTAGCCACTGTCCAAGTTACTTTATGGAATCCAAATTGACAGATATTTAGATAAAACGCATCCGTCTTTAGGTTATCTATTGGCAGTAAATAGAGTAATTTAGTAAACAAACCTCTTTCACAGTTGTTTTCATCAGATCCATCACTACAGTCAGTTTCTCCATCGCAGACGTAGAGTGGGTCCAAACATTCGGTGTAACTGTTATTGCATTTGTACTGATTCGGAGTGCAAGCTGCAAAAAAACAACGTCAATTAATACCTTCCTATAAATGATACAGATTTTTTCATTGAGATATGGAATTCTTAACTTAAAGTATACGTCCCATGTTTTAACTCACTGCAGTTACTTTCGTCTGAATAGTCTCCACAGTCATTGACTCCATCACACACGAACACTATTCCAAGGCAGCTTCCATTGGCACAACGGATTTGGTCTGAGCGGCATTGGCAGTTTGGAGTCTCATCACTCTGGTCTGCACAGTCGGGCTCCCCATCACAGTAAAGATGTCCAGGGATGCAATGCTTCTTATCGGCACAGCGGATCTCACTGTCGGAACACTCTGGGATGACAACGATAAAAGGTGAAATATTGGTGACATTTTATACTTCGACAATTATGAATTTGTGCTGAATATGCCCTAGCCACTGTCCAAGTTACTTTATGGAATCCAAATTGACAGATATTTAGATAAAACGCATCCGTCTTTAGGTTATCTATTGGCAGTTAATAGAGTAATTTAGTAAACAAACCTCTTTCACAGTTGTTTTCATCAGATCCATCACTACAGTCAGTTTCTCCATCGCAGACATAGAGTGGGTCCAAACATTCGGTGTTACTGTTATTGCATTTGTACTGATTCGGAGTGCAAGCTGAAAAAAAACACCGTCAATTAATACCTTCCTATAAATGATACAGATTTTTTTCATTGAGATATGGAATTCTTTACTTAAAGTATACGTCCCATGTTTTAACTCACTGCAGTTGCTTTCGTCTGAATAGTCTCCACAGTCGTTGACTCCATCACACACGAACACTATTCCAAGGCAGCTTCCATTGGCACAACGGATTTGGTCTGAGCGGCATTGGCAGTTTGGAGTCTCATCACTCTGGTCTGCACAGTCGGGCTCCCCATCACAGTAAAGATGTCCAGGGATGCAATGCTTCTTATCGGCACAGCGGAACTCACTGTTGGAACACTCTGGGATGACAACGATAAAAGGTTAAATATTGGTGACAATTTATACTTTGACAATTATGAATTTGTGCTGAATTTGCCCTAGCCGTTGTCCAAGTTACTTTATGGAATGCAAATTGACAGATATTTAGATTAAACGCATCTGTCTTTAGGTTATCTATTGGCAGTTAACAGAGTAATTCAGTAAACAAACCTCTTTCACAGTTGTTTTCATCAGATCCATCACTACAGTCAGTTTCTCCATCGCAGACGTAGAGTGGGTCCAAACATTCGGTGTTACTGTTATTGCATTTGTACTGATTCGGAGTGCAAGCTGCAAAAAACAATGTCAATTAATACCTTCCTATAAATGATACAGATTTTTTCATTGAGATATGGAATTCTTAACTTAAAGTATACGATCTCCAAAATCTTGAATAAACACAAGATCCAGGTCCATTTCAACACATTACATAAAATCCGAGATCTGGTTCTGTCTGTTAAAGATGTGATTCCGGACATACAGTACCCTGGTGTCTACAAACTAAGTTGCCTCTGTGGTAGTAGTTACATTGGAGAAACCAAACGCCATGTCTCGGACTGCATTCGTGAACACAAAGCAGACCTTAAACACGGTAGGACCAACACCCCGGCCGTGGCAGATCATTGTTATAATTCAGTAGGCTCACATGACATTGACTTCTCCAAGACAGAGGTTCTTTGTAAGCCATCTGGCTACCATGAGAGATTCGTTCATGAGGCTATCTACATATACAAGTACAGAGACAATTTCAACCAAGAAGATGGATTCTGGCTTAGCAATCATTGGAAGGATTTGATAAACCATTTCAGGTCTTAATTGATTGTTCACGCTTATGGTGGCTTTCAGACAGCATACATTGATTTTTCGTCTCCCCCCTCCTCTTTTCAGAACATAGATGGACTCGTCCTTCTAAATAAACTGCCAAATCGCTGCCCGTGGTGCTAACGTTTTTTATAAATGAGTAAGTAAATACACCGTTTAAAAAGAAATAAATGCAAACCGCCACTTCTTTCAAATGTTTCTTGCCGTTGGTTTTTCACACCTGATGATGACCGTTTGTGTAATGGTCGAAACGGCATGAGAATTTTTATTGTTTAATATATATTTTATTATTTTATTGTTTCCCTTCAACGTGACTTTACTGAAAGAGCTAAGAATATGAATATTAAAGTATACGTCCCATGTTTTAACTCACTGCAGTTGCTTTCGTCTGAATAGTCTCCACAGTCGTTGACTCCATCACACACGAACACTATTCCAAGGCAGGTTGCATTGCCACAAAGGATTTGGTCTGAGCGGCATTGGCAATTTGGAGTCTCATCACTCTGGTCTGCACAGTCGGGCTCCCCATCACAGTAAAGATGTCCAGGGATGCAATGCTTCTTATCGACACAGCGGAACTCACTGTCTGAACACTCTGGGATGACAATGATAAAAGGTTAAATATTGGTGACATTTTATACTTTGACAATTATGAATTTGTGCTGAATTTGCCCTAGCCGCTGTCCAAGTTACTTCATGGAATGCAAATTGACAGATATTTAGATAAAACACATCCGTCTTTAGGTTATCTATTGGCAGTTAATAGAGTAAGTCAGTAAACAAACCTCTTTCACAGTTGCTTTCATCAGATCCATCACTACAGTCAGTTTCTCCATCGCAGACGTAGAGTGGGTCCAAGCATTCGGTGTTACTGTTATTGCATTTGTACTGATTCGGAGTGCAAGCTGCAAAAACAATGTCAATTAATACCTTCCTATAAATGATACCGACATTTTCATTGGGATATGAAATTCTTAATTCAAAGTATACGTCCCATGTTTTAACTCACTGCAGTTGCTTTCGTCTGAATAGTCTCCACAGTCGTTGACTCCATCACACACGAACACTATTCCAAGGCAGATTCCATTGGCACAACGGATTTGGTTTGAGCGGCATTGGCAATTTGGAGTCTCATCACTCTGGTCTGCACAGTCGGGCTCCCCATCACAGTAAAGATGTCCGGGGATGCAATGCTTCTTTTCGGCACAGCGGAACTCACTGTCGGAACACTCTGGGATGACAACGATAAAAGGTTAAATAATGGTGACATTTTATACTTTGACAATAATGCATTTGTGCTGACTTTGCCCTAGCCGCTGTCCAACTTACTTTATGGAATGTAAATTGACAGATATGTAGATAAAATGCATACATCTTTAGGTTATCTACTGGTAGTTAATAGAGTAATTCAGTAAACAAACCTCTTTCACAGTTGATTTCATCAGATCCATCACTACAGTCAGTTTCTCCATCGCAGACGTAGAGTGGGTCCAAACATTCGCTGTTACTGTTATTGCATTTGTACTGATTCGGAGTGCAATCTGCAAAAACAATGTCAATTAATACCTTCCTATAAATGATACCGACATTTTCATTGAGATATGGAATTCTTAATTTAAAGTATACGTCCCATGTTTTAACTCACTGCAGTTGCTTTCGTCTGAATAGTCTCCACAGTCGTTGACTCCATCACACACGAACACTATTCCAAGGCAGATTCCATTGGCACAACGGATTTGGTCTGAGCGGCATTGGCAGTTTGGAGTCTCATCACTCTGGTCTGCACAGTCGGGCTCCCCATCACAGTAAAGTTGTCCAGGGATGCAATGCTTCTTATCGGCACAGCGGAACTCACTGTCGGAACACTCTGGGATGACAATGATTACAGGTTAAATATTGATGACATTTTATACTTTGACAATTATGAATTTGTGCTGAATTTGCCCTAGCCGCTGTCCAAGTTACTTTATGGAATGTAAATTGACAGATATGTGGATAAAATGCATCCATCTTGAGGTTATCTACTGGCATTTAATAGAGTAATTCAGTTAACAAACCTCTTTCACAGTTGCTTTCATCAGATCCATCGCTACAGTCAGTTTCTCCATCGCAGACGTAGAGTGGGTCCAAACATTCGGTGTTACTGTTATTGCATTTGTACTGATTCATAGTGCAATCTGCAAAAAACAACGTCAATTAATACCTTCCTATAAATGATAGAGATGTTTTAATTTAGATTTGGAATTCTTAATTTAAAGTATACGTCCCATGTTTTAACTCACTGCAGTTGCTTTCGTCTGAATAGTCTCCACAGTCGTTGACTCCATCACACACGAACACTATTCCAAGGCAGCTTCCATTGGCACAACGGATTTGGTCTGAGCGGCATTGGCAGTTTGGAGTCTCATCACTCTGGTCTGCACAGTCGGGCTCCCCATCACAGTATAGGTGTCCAGGGATGCAATGCTTCTTATCGGCACAGCGGAACTCACTGTCGGAACACTCTGGGATGACAATGATTACAGGTTAAATATTGGTGACATTTTATACTTTTGTAGAGTAGTAGTTAGTGACGTCATGTCACGCTCACCCTCCGGTACGATGACGTCACGGATAGTGACGTCATGCACAGGGGCGGGACGGTGACATCATGTCCCCCTGGGGTATTCAAGCTGGAACCCGTCATGTGTTCAAGGTCGTCTGGAGAGTCCGGGAACGTGAAGGGTGGAAGTCAGGACCCAGGGTAGAGGGAAATTAGCACCGGACCAGTGTAGCCCCTGGGTGTGCTAGCGATCTCCCATTACCCTTTCCCTGGTGGAGAGATGGGACCCAGGGTAGGGGGAAATTTGCACCAGGCTAGGTTAGCCTGTGGGTGTGCTAGGGGATCCCCAGTACCCCTACCCATTGGGACAAGTGAAAAATTCCTCCATCAGTTACTGGCATAAGCCTCCTAATAAACTGTTGGCGAAAGCCCTTCCAAAGATCTGTCTTCATCTCATAATTTAGGCCTCAACAACTGGCGTCAGAAGAAGACTTTTTCAAGGCGATGCTCTTGAAAAAGCGGAACCCACCTGTTGTGTCTTCCGACGACACAGAGGCGGCGACCCGGGACTGGACGACCCTGGGCTCCATGGCCACGGTTATTGCGGTCACGGCTCGTGTGTCTACAGTACCAGTGGAGGATATCGGGCGCGTTGGGGAGACGGCCGCCATTAAAGGTCCTCCAGCGACCACGTGGCAGGCCGCCGCCATCTTGGCCATCGCGGCAGAGAAGTGGTCGGGAGCGGCCATTTTGGAGGTGCCACATGGTGTGCAGCCTGCTGCTGATGCAGCTGTGGCGCGGGACGGAGCCGCGAGGAGAGGACGCTGTCGTCGCTGCGGGGGCTGGCGGGGGAGGCCCGGAGGGCATGCGGGGGCCGCGGTAGAGCCGCCATTTCGGTGGCTGGCCGGGACGCTGTTCCCGCCAAAACGCCGTTCCCGCCATTTTGGCGGTTGGCAGGGGCGATGTTCCCGCCAAACTGCCGTTCCCGCCGACGTCAACACCTTTGGAGGCAGAGCTCTACACGTTCGAGTGGCACCCCGTCCTCCACTCGTCGCAGCTTGTCAGGCGAGGCGTGACACGACACACACCGGCCCCTGTTGACACCTCATCCATCTTGCGTGCGCCGGGTTGTGAGTTCGTGTTATTTTTTTATTGTTTTCCCCCCGGGATGCGGGGCATCCAATTGCTTTTTAATAACTTGCGTCTGTCCATGGCGTTCGTGTCGGGTGTCCGCGTGTTACATTATTAGTTGATTCTGGCATTGGGATTGTTATCTTAAGGCGCCAGTTAATGATTAATTCGGCTAGGTGGGGGGTCTCGGGCTCGGTTAAGATCCAGTGGATTGCCGGGTTAATGATTTGTTGACACTTTGTTGGTTGCCGTTGCGGAGTTGCGATTTTTGGGTATACAGTATGGAGCGTCGCTTGTGAGTGTTGTCAACGTGTGACTGTGGAAAACGTTGTTCATCATTGTTAATGTATAGCTGTGCTGTGATTGTTAACAGTGTATAGACTGTATGGAGCATTGCTCGAGATGGTTGGCTGTATGCAGACTGCATAGACTGCATACACTGTATTACTCCATTCGGTGATTATTGGGCGTTTTGTGTATTAATTTTTTTGCTCCTCAAATTGGAATGCCTGAGTCCCATGGTAAATGTTGAGGGAGATTTTGAAATGCAAGGTTCAAATTGTATGTGTTGTGAGGGTGTGAAATTGCGATTGTGCGGGGGATGATTGCCTTGGTTTGTGGCTCTGCTGTCATTGGTACGGAGCATTTAAATTGGGAAGCTGACATGCTGCCAGTGTTTGGAATTGTGGTGCTGGCTGTCAAATTTATTGGGGCGCAGATCCTGACCAGGATGGTCCAGGGGGTGTTGCGTGCCTAACATGTCAGTTGTGGTCCCGTCATGCTATGGCTGACGGCTTGACCTGGCCGCCCGGAGATTGAAACACTCCGTGGTGTGGATAGCCTAGTGGGCTGGGCGCTCACATGGCTCGGAGAATGTGGTCCCGTCATGCTATGGCTGACGGCTTGACCTGGTGGCCCGGAGGTTGAGACCCTCCGTGGTGCGTCTGGAGCTGTAGGCTCGCCCTGCCAGCCTGGAGATCGAGACACTCCCGAGGCGCGTTGCAACAGAGGGCTGGTGATTCGTGGTGTTCAGGCGTTGTTGTCCGGTTGTGTTGAGACTGTATCCCTCCGTTGTTTGGGTGCATGTTGTGCAGTAAGTGAGCGATGGTTGTTCTCGGCTCAGTCGGTACGGCTATAGGCGAGCGGTGCGGGTCTCGGAGGGAGACTCGGTCAAGGTTCCCCTGATAGGGCCGACGCGTGCACGTCGGAAAGGCGGGGGGTAATGCCTGGTGGCATGAGATGCCCGGGGTGGCCTTCAAGGGAGGGCTATGTTGTGCGAGCGTGGGAAATCACCGAGATGCGGATCGCGCGTGTGGCCGCCATTTTGGGCGAAGCGCGGGAAACAGTAGGGATGCGGTTTGCGCGGGCGGCCGCTATTTCGGCCAATTTTCACGCCGAACTATTTTCTTTAACTAAAATGCAGATCCTGGGGGCATCCCTGAAGTGCGGCTTCTTCGCCCCGGGACATGGGTTGGTTCTGACGCATGATGTCTCGACCCGGGATGTCGGATGACATCCTAAAAGGGGTGTGTGAGTGTGTGAGCGCTAGGCAGTTCTTCCGTCTTCGCTCTATCACCGTCTAGTGGATGGAACTTTGGCTGAGGGTCGGGGAACCCTGCCACCCGTGTTGTGTGGGTGAAGGTGTACATACAGTGGTACCCTGGAGATCAAACTTAATTCGTTCCAGATGGCCATTCCAACACCGATTTGTTCCAACATCAATTTGTTCGGGATCTGGTGCATTCCATCTCCGAGGTTCTACTGTATTTGGGTTCATTGCCGCGTTGGTTGTGCATCCAACGCGTCTGAATTTGTGTTATTCTTTTTCTTCTCTTCTCTCACGCCGGAATCCCCTCATCTCCACTACTCAGGGGCCGGGTGTCTGTTGTGTCCGCCGAGCTGGGCCACACGAGTTGTATGGCGCAAACGATGCCATGCCTTTGTGTGCGCCTGCAGAAGCCCTGCCAGTAATTCCACCAGCGGCGCCTCACCTGGCGGATTGGCCGGCGGACTTGACACCTGCCAGCACACCGCCGATTCTGACACCGACGCGGCACGGGGGAGCGGGCCGGCCTCACGCACATGCTCGTGGGGCGTGCGGATACGGTGACGGCCAGTGGGGCCGTTTCTTCGTCCCCTGCCTTCTTCGGACACGCTCCGGTGTCCCGTGTGGAGACTGTCTCCAAGTTGCCCTGTACCGTGCTGCCCTGTTCTCTTCACACACATGTCACTTGCACTCTTTTGATGTGGTTGTCTTCCCATCCGGGTTGCCGAGCTCTGCTCTCATAATGGTTGCAGCCGGGTCGGCTGATTTTTTTTCACGGGTGGGGGAGGGTGATGTAGAATAGTTAGTGACGTCATGTCACATTCGCCCTCCGGTACGATGACGTCATGGATGGTGACGTCATGCACAGGGGCGGGACAGTGACGTCATGTCCCCCTGGGGTATTTAAGCTGGAACCCGTCACGTGTTCAAGGTCGTCTGGAGAGTCCGGGAATGTGAAGGGTGGAAGTCGGGACCCAGGGTAGGGGGAAATTAGAACCGGGCTAGTGTAGCCTCTGGGTGTGCTAGTGATCTCCCATTACCCTTTCCCTGGTGGAGAGATGGGACCCAGGGTAGGGGGAAATTAGCACCAGGCTAGGTTAGCCTGTGGGTGTGCTAGGGGATCCCCAGTACCCCTACCCCTGGGAACAAGTGAAATATTCCTCCATCAGTTACTGGCATAAGCCTCCTAATAAACTGTTGGCAAAAGCCCTTACAAAGATCTGTCTTCGTGTCATCATTTACACCTCAACACTTTTACAATTTTGAATTTGTGCTCAAATTGCCCTAGCCGCTGTCCAAGTTACTTTATGGAATGCAAATTGACAGATATTTAGATAAAATGCATCCATCTTTAGGTTATCTACTGGCAGTTAATAGAGTAATTCAGTAAACAAACCTCTTTCACAGTTGCTTTCATCAGATCCATCGCTACAGTCAGTTTCTCCATCGCAGACGTAGAGTGGGTCCAAACATTCGGTGTTACTGTTATTGCATTTGTACTGATTCGGAGTGCAAGCTGCAAAAAACAATGTCAATTAATACCTTCCTATAAATGATACATACTTATATTAAATTAGATATGACATTCATAATAGTATCATATAGTTAATATAATTAACTCACTGCAGTTGTTTTCATCTGAATAGTCTCCACAGTCATAGACCCCATCACACACATATTCTATTCCTAGGCATGTTCCATCGCCACAACGGATTTGGTCTGACCGGCATTGGCAGTTTGGAGTCTCATCGCTTTGGTCCGCACAATCAGCCACCCCATCACAGTACAGGATTCCCAGGATGCAGCGCTTATCAGCAGCACATTGGAAGTCACTTCCTGCACACTCTAATAAAACATAAATACATTTTGTCATTATTTTACCCTTCGAAAAAGAACAGGTGAAATGTTAGAAAATAATTAAGGAACCTTTTTTATGTTAGTCATAAACATTTTCTAGACAGTCACCTTTTTCACAGTCACTTTGATCTACAGTCCACTTCGCCATCATAATCATACAGCACATCCAAACGATTACCATATATTCACATCCTTATAGTTTCGTTTTAATGTTTGTGTTACATTAGGTAAATAAATGTTGGAAGCACTGGGTGTCTTACCAATATTCAAAGATGTTATCTGTACTGTCACTGGCAGATGTGTTGTCAATGCTGTCGGGGTTGTCTGTCCTGTTAAACAAGAATCAAGTGCATTTCAATTAACATTCAGCTACTGTAACTATGCCCCCATGCCCCACCACTTCAACAAATGTTATTAGCTGCAATAAATTCAACAGCTTACCAGGACTACAGATAAGGGACGTTCTGGGCTATCATCTCTTGGAAGACAAAATATATGAACGTTCAAAAAGGCCCAAAACTAATTTTCTTGATATTGAGTTCACTAACACAAATAGACAAACAGCCACTGATGCAGAAGAGATACAATTCAGTCACACAGCTTGTCTTCATGTGTCCTCACCCTCAACTCACATTTCTCCAACATAGTATAAATAAAACACAGGAACAGGTATAAAATTGATGTCTTGGGTGACGTTGTCTCCGACAGTGGACCAGATTCCAAGGCACGGATCAAGGCAAAGGCTAGGGTTTGTAAACAACACGATGAATAATACAATGGTTTCCGAGGACTGGGCACTGGAAGTCCCACCACCTTCGCCGGCGCGCTGTCAACCAGCGGCGAGGCCGGGAGTGGGCGGACGGAACCACGCTGCTGGATCGACCACGTGTAGCCTGTAGGGATGCTAATATCTCCGTGTGTACTTGGAGAAGGAAGAGTATAAGGTTGGCCTGTGGTGTGCCCGAATGTGAATAAAGAAGAGAGTACCCTCTACACGACGTGTCGCGGAAGTCGCTCATTACACAAGTATACCCCCAATATATGTTCATTCGATTTACGATGATTCGTCATAAATTTAGACCTTTTTCATTTGTTTCATTATTGTTTTTTAAAATAAAAATTGGTATAAAAAAATCGAAATACCTCTAGTAAATGCACATTGTTACGTCGTTTGTTCGTGCGTGCATTGTATACAGTTCCATGCAATTTACCTAGGTGCAGTGTTTCGTAGCCACACCACTCGTTTGTGTTATTTTAGGTTTCTTGGTGACTAAATATTTTCTTAGGAATGCACGTTGAGTTACATAATGGATGCCCCATTATGGTAAAATACGTTTCAAAGTATGATGTATCACTTTACGTTCATGTCTTAAAGAACGCTAAACAAAATGTTATACATCGAGGTATGGTCAAACGTTAATGGTGGAGGTATGATAGGGGAGAGATAGGGGAGAGATGGTGGAAGGTGGGTTCCAGTGGAAGAGGCCAAGCAGTGGAGAAAGCAGCCATGGCGTGGAGGATGATGCTATGCGAGGACGAGGATGCCCCGATCGATATAGGCCGCTCCTCTCAGTAACCTTAAACTTTGTGCTGGTGAAGAGAAACAACAGAATAACAAAATATATATAAAACAATAAAAAATTCTCACGACGTTTCGACCATAACTCAAACGGTCATCATCAGGTGTGTCGGTTTGCATAAATGTATTTAAAAAACGGCATATTTATTTATATATATAAAAAATAACGTTTGCGTCACGCGCAGCGATTGGCAGTTTGCCCAGGACTAGTCCATCTATTTTTTGAAAAGAGGAGGGGGGAGACGAATTTTTTTTTATGTATGCTGTTTGAAAGCCACTGTAAGCGTGAACAATCAAGAACTGAAATGATTTATCAAATCTTTCCAATGATTGCTAAGATAGAATCCATCTTCTCGGTTGAAATTGTCTCTGTGCTTGTATATGTGGATAGCCTCATGAACGAATCTCTCATGGAAGCCAGATGGCTTACAAAGAACCTCCGTCTTGGAAAAGTCAATGGCATGTGAGCCTACTGAATTAGAACAATGATCTGCTACGGCCGAGGTGTTGGTCCTACCGTGTTTAAGGTCTGCTTTATGTTCACGAATGCGGTCCAAGATATGGCGTTTGGTTTCTCCAATGTAACTACTACCACAGAGGCAACTTAGTTTGTAGACACCAGGGCATTGTATGTCCGGAATCACATCTTTTACAGACGGAACCAGATCACGGATTTTATGTAATGTGTTGAAACGGACCTGGATCTTGTGTTTATTCAAGATTTTGGAGATCTTTTTTGTGATCCCAGCAATGTAGGGTAAAGTGATGGTTTTGAAAGGCTCCTCAAGAGGGTTCTTCTTCATGGTTTGAGTGATAGCTTTGCGGATTGTATAGTCGGAGTAACCATTAGCCCTAAGAGCTTGGTGTACATGCTTGAGTTCACTGCTTATGTGTTCCTGGTCGGATATGCATTGGGCTCTATGATACAGAGTCTTGATGAGAGAATTCTTCTGTGATGGATGGTGGTGGGAATCCGGTTTCAGATAAGCATCCGTATGGGTAGCTTTCCTGTAGACAGAGTGGCTCATTGAACCAAGCACGTACACCAAGCTCTTAGGGCTAATGGTTACTCCGACTATACAATCCGCAAAGCTATCACTCAAACCATGAAGAAGAACCCTCTTGAGGAGCCTTTCAAAACCATCACTTTACCCTACATTGCTGGGATCACAAAAAGATCTCCAAAATCTTGAATAAACACAAGATCCAGGTCCGTTTCAACACATTACATAAAATCCGTGATCTGGTTCCGTCTGTAAAAGATGTGATTCCGGACATACAATACCCTGGTGTCTACAAACTAAGTTGCCTCTGTGGTAGTAGTTACATTGGAGAAACCAAACGCCATATCTCGGACCGTATTCGTGAACATAAAGCAGACCTTAAACACGGTAGGACCAACACCTCGGCCGTAGCAGATCATTGTTCTAATTCAGTAGGCTCACATGCCATTGACTTTTCCAAGACGGAGGTTCTTTGTAAGCCATCTGGCTTCCATGAGAGATTCGTTCATGAGGCTATCCACATATACAAGCACAGAGACAATTTCAACCGAGAAGATGGATTCTATCTTAGCAATCATTGGAAAGATTTGATAAATCATTTCAGTTCTTGATTGATTGTTCACGCTTACAGTGGCTTTCAGACAGCATACATAAAAAAAAATTCGTCTCCCCCCTCCTCTTTTCAAAAAATAGATGGACTAGTTCTGGGCAAACTGCCAATCGCTGCGCGTGACGCAAACGTTATTTTTATATATATATAAATAAATATGCCGTTTTAAAAATAAATTTATGCAAACCGACACACCTGATGATGACCGTTTGAGTTATGGTCGAAACGTCGTGAGAATTTTTTATTGTTTTATATATATTTTGTTATTCTGTTGTTTCTCTTCAACGTGACTTTACCGAAAAAACTAAGAATATGAATTACTGCAGTCACGAAAGCTTTAAATCAAAATTTAAAAATTTGTGCTGGTGCTTTATTTTATGGCGCTATTGCTCATGCTATAAGAACTGTTGCTATTGCAAATGATTTTACTTTATATAATATTTCCACTGTTGTATTTAACTGTTCAACTGTGCACATTTACAAAGAAGGACATGAACCCTCATTCGAATTTTAGTCATGTGTAGACTCAAACATTCACTATAAATCGTGGTATGTAGAATTCGCCTAAAGCAACAAATAGCTTTCTTTAAACAGCATATACTGCAAATTCAGGAATGTAGCAAGCAATTTTAACCCTTGCTTACGAATATAACACGTTACGTATTTTTTTTTAATCTTTAAGATTAAGAGCTTGTACACTATTCCTAGTCATAGTGTGACCAAAAATCACCTTCATGGGACCTCCTTTGCCAGTACCAAAATATGATAATAGGTTTTTCCCCTTTTTTTTGGCAACAAAACAGGTGTTAAGATGTTAATACACCAAACTGAAACCTTTTACAAGGAATCATGTCTGCATTAACCACAATGCTTTTGGTCAGAATACGCCTTTTGGCGTCCTCTGGTCTAACACCGTTTGAGACGAGGCTCAAAAGAAAGCTGTCTCTGGTATGGATCAATCAGTTTCAAGGAGAATTCCATATGTTATCAGAGTACGTTTTTTGTTTGCATTCTGACCACAAGCATTGTGGTTAATGCAGCCATGATTCCTTGTAAAAGGTTTCAGTTTGGTGTTTTAACATCTTAACACCTGTTTTGTTCCCGGAAAAACCTATTATCAATAATCACCTGTTAAATGCGTATAATATTATAACTCAAGTCTACCATCAATGGAAAATCAACGAATTGCCTGAACTTATTAACTACAGCCTATCTGAAGCAGAATATATGTGGACAGATAGATTGTAGTGTTTAGAGAAACATGCATCCCATTCTCTTGTAAATCCAGGTTATGAAATGTCCTCCAAATAAAAATTGTCTATACATCCGAAATAGTGGAGAACTACATGAAATGGATATTCTTAAGTGGTGTATTACTACTCAACTGACCAAAAGTAATACTTTTATTCTTCTGAAGGTTCCAGATTTCCCAGTACAGCTACATCAAAGGGAGCATGTCCTGGGAA